TCTAGACGGAAGGCGTTTCGCAGATGACGGAAGACCCAAGGAGCATAGTCTTTGAACTTGAAGTCGTACTTGGCCGAGGGAACGAGTTCGTTGCCGGTGCTAAGGAGACACGATCATGTCAGCATTTGATGGTGCCAGACGGGACGAACAAGTCCGCTAGGCAAAGCACAAAGGAGTTGGGTAAGGGGAGCAGGGTTGCAGGGTTGCATTTACGTACATATCAAATGTAGACTTTTGCTTAACATTAAAGTCTGCATCGGTCAAATCGCGGTCCAATTTTGCATTCGTCCTCGAAACGGAAACACGGATGCCCGTCAGCATGTTGTAGGCCGTCACCCAGTTGGCATGGCTCTCGTCAACCTTGGTGCCAACCAAGACGCGGTCATCATCCTCTTCCTCCTTCCGCCTCCGCTTGCTGGCCCGCTTCTGTCGATATACTTCGGCCCATCGCATGGCGTCTTCGTCGGGCGCAATCTCGTCCCGGGGGGCATCGGACTGCATGGATCTCGTTGTCCGGCGGGCCAGGCTGAAGGAAGCGGCGCGGCCCGTAGGGCTGGCGACTGTGGGGGAGAAGCGTCCGCTGGCCTGGGCGGTATCGAGTTCTCTCGAGGTTCTGCCCGACGGTGGTTTGGGCACCTCGAGGGTGTGTCTCTGCTTGGGCCCCATGCCGGTGCCTGGGGGCTGCAAGTGAGCAGACAGTGAGGGCGCCGAGTTGGAGCCGCTGGGCTGGTAGGTTGCGGGAGATGAGAAGCGCTGGGGGTTGATGCTGCTGTTGTAGTTGTGCGGCAGGGCGAGGTCGGACGTCATGGGCGATGCAGGCGTCAGAGACGGCGTCCAAGGCTGAGGCGGGCTGTGCGACTCGACGTCTGTGGGGGGCTGAGTTGGTCGGGCAAAGGTAGCAGAGACATCGTCCTGGGCGCTCCTCGCCGATGCCCTGTGGTTCTGATTGCTCGCTGGCTTGCGGGCCGCATCTGCAGCTGCATGCGAGAATTCGAGCCCGTTGCTGGTCTGTGGCACGGAGCGATGAGGGAGAGAAAAGGCGGTGCCATTGGACAGGCGATGGTCAACGTCTTGCACGTCCAAGTCTTGCCCATAGCCTTGCGCGCCGTAGCCGCCAGGCAGACTCTTGCCGTTGGAGAGAGTGCTCATGCTGGTAGGGCGTGTCTCGCTGCCGCTGGCGTCGTCTCTCCACCGGTCGAGGTCGCTCAAGGGCACGGGCGAGTCCGAAACGTCCGAGTCGCGGGTGGACAGTGTCGAGCTCTCGTCGAAGCGCTCATGGACGGCGTAGGACCGGGCGTCGGTTATGGAAGCCTCATTCGCCTGGTCCTTTGCACCGAAGTGGTCGTCGAGCTTGATCACGGAGCCGTTGGAAAAGACTGTCGGGTTGTCTAGGGTCAGGAACGAGGGCATTTCGCTGCGACGGCGGACGCGAGCGGCAGGCTGGGTGCTAAATGCTACCAATTGAGCGATGCTTCCTGGATCGATGGGCGAGCTGAGCTGAGCTGTGATGGGATGGGATGGGATGGGATGGGATGGGATGTGGGATGTGGGATTTGCTGGCAGCGGCCAAGAAGGTCGTTGCACCGGGCTTTGATTCTCGCGGATTGGATGGTGCAGGAGATTGGGCAGAGAGACCAGCAGAACTAACGCAGCGCAGCAGCGAGCAAAGACTGGCGCGCCGACCCACTGAGCGCAGCGCTGGGGGATGACGAATGGCCCGGGGGCTGCAGCGAGGGAACGGCGCCTAGAAGCGTGCAGCCAGGGGGGGATGGATGGAGGACGGGAGTGTTTAGGGCTCTCGGGGGGGGCGCTGTGCAGTGCAGTGCAGAGCTGTGCTGTTTGTTTGCTCGTGCGAGTACAGTATTGGTGTATCGATGATGTCTGGTGTGCCTTGATGGATTTTGGTGGATGGAAATGGAAGTGGGAATGGGAAAGAAAACGAGCAACGTTCCGAACACGCAAAAACGACAGCGCTCGGAGGCTTACGGTATCGTATGGATGTCCTGTCCCTTGTCCTTTTGGCCCTACCAGGGACATGGACATCTGGCAGCGGGCTGTCGGGGTCCAACGTGGAAAATTGAAATGAGGCTGGTCTTGCTTGGGCAGTGGCGGGTTTGTCGTTTCCTCCGGGCTGCGCTAAAATGGGGTCAAGGGGGTTGGCAGCGGAAATGGGCGAGGGAAAAATGGATCAGCGTGCAGTTGATGGGAACAGACAGACATCCATGGGACTTGGGAAGAAAAAACCTGGAGACTTGCTGCACAGCACGCTGGAGCCCGCAATGCAATGGATGGATTGATTGATCCCGGCCATGCTACATACAGTACAGTAGAGGCTCCAGTGGGCGGCCGCTCAGCCGCTGCGAGGGCCAGTCAAGAGTCCATCCGTCGCATCACGGCACAGCGAATGTTGACTCTACATGCACGGGATTGATTCATGTCGTTGATGGATGGAATCAATGGTTCTGCTATTGTACTGCTACTGCTGCTGGATGGAACAATGACGGATGGGCACACTGTACACACATCACCTCAGACTTTGGCGTAGGACGGACCTGGTTCAGCCGAGTTCGCGCTGCTGATCCGAGGCAGTGCTTTTTGCTGTGCGCTGGCCAAGATTCTGTCTAGTCGCATCGTGGTCCCCCAGCGCGCGTGCCACGGCAGACTTGCATGTGCATGTACCGCGAAGGTACCAGAACTGTAGGTACGTTAGGTGCATACGCGTAAGATCAATTCCATTACAATGGAGTACTCGTAGATACTGCACAGGTGCCCATTTTGGATGCCGAAGCGGATTGAAGAGTTTGGCGGTATTGCTGTTGTCCCAATGTTGACTCGCAGAAATGATTTACAGGAGGCTCTGGCGCTCTGGCCTCATGGCCTCAAACCGTTCCACCAACATGCCCGCACCAAGCAGGGGGCAGATGAGAGCAAACAAAATCCATCCATCCATCCATCGTATTCCGCATGGGTGAAACCAGCTTACTAAGAATCGCGGCGTCCAATCTGCCCATGTTCGTGAAATCAAGACAAGACTCAACAACTCCGGCGTTCCTCACATGGACTTAAGAACTGCTGCTCCGTATCTGGACCGTGGATCGTATCATGGCACAGCTTCCACGGCCACTAGGTACTGTAATGCTCCATTCCAGCCGAGATGGTGGTACCCGTCCTTGCGCTGTGTTTATCGCACACCAACAAGTAACTCCGCACTGACATCAAATTGGTTACTCCCTAAAACTTGGGCCCCCTGAGCGTCTCTGCTTGGCACTAAACGTGTAAAGGATCAACCCAATCGAATACGGATCGAATCACAGTCGCCCGTCCGCTCTGCTTGGAGCTTCCATGTTCCGTAATCATTCCTGCCACCCAAATAAAAAATGAAAAAATAAGAAAGAAAAAAGAAAAAAGGTGGCCCTGTCAGCACTGCCTCGCCCATTATATTAAGCCATGCCGGCCGAAACTTGCCGGGCCAGCGCATAAAGACTGGTAATATCTTGGCGCCGTGCACAAACACTCAGCCCCTCTCGCTCAGAAACATTGCTGTCGCCATCCCTGAATCCTGTCTCCAGTTCTCATTTCTACTTACCGATGGAAAGAAAAAAAAAAGTCTCCCTGTCTTCTAGAAGAGCTGGTGGAACCTGTTTGTTGCTGCGTTGGTTAGACGCGCACAGGCAAAGCCCTAGGACAGCGAAGGAATAAAGAGGGAGCCGAACCCAAGGACAAGAAGAATTGAAGCTTCTTCTTTAGGCTGTAGGAATCGAATCGATGCCCTGTCGCCGTCGCCCCCATGTCGCATCGCCTGCTTCAAAAGGATGCATCTGCCGACACACGGATAATATTATGGTAAAACCTCCTAGGGGTAGCCTCAGGTTACTCGAGCAACTTGTTCTGCGCGGGACAGTGAAACGCCTACTGCTTGCTTGCTTACCTGTACACGCTCAGCATTACATGTGAATTTGCTTTACTTTTCGTTGATTAGTACTTTCTTCAAGCAAACATCAAGGTCAGCAGCTCCTTGACCGAGAGAGACAGTGGAGGTACCCTCATGTTGGTCTGAGTCCCATGGCGTCATCGACGTCACGATCGGTCGTGTCGATCTTTTCACAACCCACGGAACAAGGTTCTTGTGTTCACTATCGCCATGTAACAAGTATTGGACTGGAACTTGGTAGTTGTACGCCCCAATGTAGTTGAGTTCGTGCCGTTCTATGCGGAGACTCCGTGGGAATATTTTAGGTACTGTAGTGCACATGATATCGCCTGTAAGATCGTGTAAGATGGAGCGTCAAAACAATGCCAACATGTGATGCGGCAAATGTACCCGTACATCCGATGTTTCCATGCTTCTCCTTCCCTCTCATGAACAATACCATATACATTAGCTTTTTTTTTCTTCTCTCAAATCTCATTCACAGTAGACGACAACATCTTGGGTATTCATTTCTCCATTTGTACAGCCGCTTGATTCAGCTTTCTTGATAGTCGCTGTCACAATCCGACTAGCTACCCTACAAGACCTGCAATCATGTAATATTCCAAAGCCACGATGAGCCATGTGACGTTTCAAGGCGGTCGATATTGAAGCATCTATGGATTAGAAATCTCGGGACCGATTTCCTTTCATCAATGCCAAAGCAGAGTTAACAAGTAAAGTGAGCTTTCAGTTTAGCATACAAAGTAATTGATCCATTTCTACAGCTCGAGATTCAAGGTGCGGATCAAGAATTAGACTATCCCTAATAGGCTAGACTCCCGAGCTGCCTCTGAATTCATATCAACGGATGCCTCTGGCCATTGCTTGATATCACATCCACAAAACATTTCCCCTTGGCCCATTCTTCTGTATAAAGTTAGAGTACCGAGAACTTGACAACATCCTTCTTACCGTAACTTGCAAAACTTCTCATCATCTGCCTTCAGGATGATTATAAATAGTGGAAACACACTCTCAACAATGGTATCCATCGGGGAATTGCCTCGAGGACCAGCGAATTGCCCTCATGGAGACCACGGACATGGAGAAATCTGCTGCTACGGCTCCGTCAGTCTTGAACTCGGAGGTTGGAGATACTGAGCGAACATGGCTGGAGTCAGATGAGAATCCTCTAAACTGGCCTCGATCTAAAAAGTACCAGACAATTGGCCTGATCTCCTTCCAAGCATTCATCTCGTAAGTCTTCACCATCGGATAACATTACATGGATATCTTCTCTCTTACTTTCTGTAGTCCTCTCGCGAGTTCCATCATGACACCCGGTTTACCAGAGTTGGTAGAAAAATACAACATCAAATCCGACACTGTTCTAGCATTGACTCTGACGATATACCTCCTGGCTTGGGCACTTGGCCCGCTCGCCTTTGCCCCGTTGTCTGAGATGTATGGTCGGTGGTGGGTGATTAACATATCGAGCGTCATATTTACTGCGTTCAGCATTGGGTGCATTTTCGCCAAGTCAACTGGACAGCTGATTGCTTTCCGGTTCTTGGCTGGCATCGGAGCGTCGACACCGATATCCATCGCGGGAGCGGTTATAGCCGATCTTTACATCCCGGAGGAGCGAACTCCAGCCAGCGCTATATATGGCTTGGGTTTGCTGATAGGACCCCCGACTGGCCCCATCATGGGAGGATATTTGACACAGACAGTTGGAGTTCGATACGGATTCGTTCTAACGGCGGCTCTTGGTGCTGTAGCCTTAGTACTGAGCGTGCTACTTCTTCCAGAGACCGACCATGCAATCATCCGATCAAAACGTGATTCGCGGCGTGGAGGATTCACGGAGCTCTTCAACAAAAAAACAGAGACGTCGGTTGACGATGAGCGGACACAACCTTCTACTCCCCAGACGGGGTCAGCTAAAGAAGCAGCTATGCGGCCCTTGGTACTTCTCACAAGAAGTCCTATTTGCTTCATCTTGAGTTTTTACGGAGCACTGTTAGTACACATCTTCATTTCAAAACTTCTCGACAGTATCCACTGATCACAACCACCTGCAGCGTCTACGGCTTCCTCAACATGTTTTTCACGACTTTTCCAACGATATTTGGCGAGATATATGGGTTCAAGCCTGGACCAACCGGTCTGACATATATAGGAGGCGGACTCGGAGAGCTGTGCGCCACGGCTTTGGGCGGATGGGTTGGAAACACCGTCTACCACAATGTGAGTGCCGAAACTTTCCTCACGCATCTCCTGTGGACGAACTAATACCAACGCTCCGGCCAATAGCTGACCAAGAAGAATGGCGGCATCTCAAAGCCCGAGTTTCGCATGCTGGGAATGCTTCTCGGTTCCGTTGCCGTCCCCATCGGGCTCTTCTGGTTCGGCTGGACAGCACAGACACGTCAACACTGGATGCTGCCCATCATCGGCTCGTCCATTTTTGGATTCGGCATGATGTCCATCTTGCTGCCGCTGCAGCTGTACTTCATCGACGCATTCAAATACTCGGCTGCCGCACTGGCCGCTGCCTCGCTCGCTCGCTCGCTGCTTGCATTCGCCATCCCCCTATTCGCCCCACAAATGATTGATGCGATGGGACTGGGGGGAACATATTCTTTCCTTGGCGGGTTGAGCATCGCAATAGGCATCCCGCTGCCCCTTTGGGTGTATTCCCAGGGGGAGAAGATCCGAGCCAGGAGTGATTTAAATCACTGAGAGGCAGCAGAAGGGAAGGGGATAATCTCTAGGTCTCCGTCAGTTTTTCATGATGCCTAGCCGCCTACGCGGATTGCGATTCTCAGCCCTTCTTTGTTCATTTTATGCTGTGTCCGAGCTGGAATAGAAGGCTTTTGAGGAATATGTGGTGGAAGACATGAACGCAATTGTGAAAGTGGCCAATATAATACATGTAGGGAGTGCTCAGCGGGGAAACCATGACATCTGTAAAGCACACGCACAATCATCATTGTCATTCTTATTATTTGCTGAAAGGCCCCTTTTGGGTCTCACAATAATGAAGAGGGATTTCAATTCGAACATACAGGGCTTAGCAGTGTTTATGCCAGAAACGAGCGGCGAGCAGAAGGTCATTGTTCATGCAGTATTAAACCAGGCTGCTTACTCATCCGCTTTCGTCCAACTTGAGGCGTCTAGCTGTGGACCGCGGCTCTTCTCACCTACATATACATTCCACACTTATGCTTTGAAATAGGAGGAAGCCTGATTCCTACCCAAGGTATCATGAAACTGGGTTCTCAGAGAGTTCATGCGTGCCAGACATGCAGAAGAAGAAAAATAAAAGCAAGCACAGTCCGCACTACCGAGGAGAGAAGACAGAACTAACTGGGGTCTAGTGTGACAGCAAGCTACCAAACTGCTCTCAATGCACACGGCTGAACAAGAAGTGCCCCGGGTCGACCCAAGGCCTTATTTTTATCCATAGTGTAGATGGCAAGTAAACCATTCACATTACGAGGCACCCGCGTGTCTTTTATTAACAGTCGTCAAGAGTCTCAACGACAACAGCAGCGGCAGCTCATTCGCCAGGTTCAGGGCCATCAAGTAAGGGGCTGCCTCATCACTCGAAGAGAGCGCGTACTGATGGGTTCAACGTCCAGCAAACAAGTACATTCACAATCCCACCTAGCATCAGCAGTGGCGCACATGAAGTGGTGTCCCGCCTTGCCGTCGAAATCGGATCGTACCATTTATCACCGTGGACGCCTCACCCATGGTTCTTGTCGATTCCTCGATTGGCACTCTCGGCGGACTTTCAATCGCGAATGTTGCTACCCTTCCAAGCCATGAAAGTGGCCTTTAGAGCCCTTCCAGAGAATGATGCCTCGTTGAAAGCCGCGGCGTATCAATACTACTCCAGCGGCTTGGAGCGCCACCAGGCCCAGCTCCACCAGCTTGTCCCATGGCAGAGGCATCAGCACCTGGCTTCCATCCTTAATCTTCTTCTCATGTCAATGGCACTGTTGGAATTCGAGATGATGGCGCCTCTCGCTACTGATTCTTGGTTCCCTCATGCTTATGGCGCCCTAGGCCTCCTGGAACAGGTTGGACCTCAAGGCTGTCAGGAATCGCCATTTTTCGAGATTTTCTGGCAGCTACGCTTTTTTATGGTAAGCCAGAGGTGTATTCGGCCTACTAACCATCGACATGATACTAACTTCTCTGCAGTCCTACGTGGCACTGTCTACTCGCAAAATGTCATTCCTCGGGTCTCGGAGTTGGATGGAGACACCCTTTTTGCACCGTGAGAAAACCGATTTCGACCATATCATTGACACACTTCTTTTGGAAGACAATCAGATAGTTAAAGGGGAGACCTTGGGTCCTGAGACTATCGAGCCGCGGCGGATGAGCGATGTAAACTTGGCTTACGGGCAGGGAGCAAATTTCAAGTTTGCCCATCCTGGCCACATTGCTGATTTTGAACGCATAGTCCGAGTCCTTGTGAACGTACGAGATCTCGTCTCAGCAAGTGCATCGAATTCCAACCCCAAGAGGCGAGAATCTCTGTCGACAGCTATCCTTGCCGATTCCAAGCACTTGATGGATCAACCTTCCTTACCGTTCAACGTTGGGCTGCAAGTTACTGGTGCGGCGAGTTTGGTCGCTCAATATGCGCCCAGCTCTCTGCAAAAACAGGAGGCGGCACAGCTATATGCTGACTGGCATGGGCGATTTGTCTTGACAGAATGATCAGTGGCAGTGTCGTTTCAAGGAAAATATACAAGGAAGCTGCAAGCTACGTGTGCCTACGAACCGCCGTTAAGGTTCACGTTGTTTTGGGAAAAGATGGCCGCTTGGAAGGTATGAACCTCTGGTGAGCGGCTACTTCGCGTGCATTGCGCGTGGCTCATCTCTCCTTTCCCAAGCCTAAATAATTCTGACTCTTGACCGAATGCATGTAGATGGCGCCTGTCCGCAATTCAGTATCGAAACAACTCCGCTTCAAGGCATCTATAATCAGCTGCTCCCTCGCTCAAACCGCCCTAACGATCCGGCCGGCAACCTCTGACTGAGTCCTCGAAAATGAATAACAACTCGAATGAATCGCCCGCATCGCCGGCGCCACCCTCCGGCCACCCTTCTCCTTTACTGAGCGAAACCCAGCCAACCGACGGACCGGGCGATATGAGCCCACCCCAAAGTGGCAAGCTCTTTTCGGGGGATCGAGGGCTACCAAGATCGAATTCCATACAAGCATCACAGCTGTGGCCAGTCACCACACAGGATGGCTCACCGAGCATGATCCATCAGTGCATGATATCGTGTCCGGATTTGAATCACACCGCAAGGCAGCCTTGGGTAATTGATTACCTACGAATTCCCGTACACGTGTAGCCAGACAATCTAACAAGATATCAAATTATTAGGCAACCTCGCGCCAAGTGGGAGGATGGCAGCACCAGTATAGTCGGCGTGGCTCTCGCTCTCAGCCGACCACGCCACCAGGTTACAGTTTCCGAGAACGCATCGCCGTCCGTTTCCGCCGCCGGCGCCCCTGGGAGTCTCCAAAGTCCTGTCGAGGCTCAGCAACCGCTCAGCTTGACATGCCAAGGTTCCAAGACGGACGAGAGAGGAGGCGGAGAGCGCGAGGCTCGCTGGAACGACACAGCCCTTCTGACATTGGGAGCCCTCGACAGAGCACTCCTGTGGGAGAACGAGGAGCCGGACCGCTAGTGGTGGCGGGAATCGTGATGGCGACCGCTGACCTGGACAGGCTGAGCCAGGCTTACAAGAAGGAGGAGGAGGAGGAAGACAAAGAAAGGTGATTCAATGATTCAAGAGAGAGTTGGGACTCAGGGTGACGGCATGATGCTTTGTTGATACAGCTGTGCAGCCACTCTGCAAGTAGGATAAGAGAGTAGAGCCTTATCTGTATTGATACGAAGTATTCTTTCAACTCTTTGGAGCATATGCCGTCTTTTGTTGAAGCAGATACGTAGGTATGGTGAAGATTCAACTGGCTTTTAATGAAGACAAGACACTCATATTGAGTCTACATGTCTGTACGTGCATGTACTTTACCAGACTGAAATCCGGGCAAAAGTGAAGCTCCACACTCGCTCAAAGAGTTATACATGCAGTCTTACATTTCCATATCTGACATACTGTATCTTAGTACCTACATGTACGTACAATATGCAACTTACAGCAACCCACCCCTGAATCCCGACATCGGGCTGGAACATGAGGTTACAGTAGATACCTTATGCTCCCTACCTCTACTAAGGCATCATATCTGTCTGTACATGTACATACATACCGTTTCTCCCATTATCTTCCATTTTTAGCCTGCGCGGATGACGCCCAACTAGTACCTACTAAGGCATCGTCCGGAGCAATTGCAAGCGCATCATGTGCCGTGGCGGCGGTGGAGATTTCCGGTGGAGATTTCAATTGTATCGTTGATGTCGTTCCAGCGCCCTCCACAGAAGGCAATGGCCGGGTTTCATCGGATTAGTTAGTGCTCGAGTTTAGCGCGTAAGGGCGCGATTCTGGGGAAGTTTTGGTTGCCGATGGTCTGCCGAGGAGCAATTGGGACGATGGATCCAGTAGCCGACTTGATACTACAGGTACGGTACCTAATACTACATAACGTAGCGGGTGCCTCAATTCATTGAACTCGAGCATGCACACGGCTGTGCCAGATCCAATACCAATTCCAATTCCCCTCTCCACAGACGAGGACGGACCCGATTGACCATGTTGCGACAATCCTTCAGGGCCTTTGCCCGCACGGCCGTTGCGAGACCAGCCGCGGCGAGAAGTTACGCTACCTTCAACTGGGAGGATCCCCTCAATGCGAACAACCTCTTTACCGAGGAAGAGCAGGCCATTGCAGAAACCGCAGAGCGATACTGTCAGGAGCGGCTACAGCCCAGGGTCTTGCGTATGGCGTCACTCTTTTCTCTAGTCATTTACACGAGGCTGCTTCGTAGTTGCCATTCCATTCGTGCGGCGTTGCTGACTCGCTGACTTGTGATTGTCTTCCTTTAGAGGCCTACCGAGACGAACACTATGACCCCAAGATCCTCGAAGAGATGGGCGAGCTGGGCCTGCTTGGCTCCAGCATCAAGGGCTACGGATGCGCTGGCGTTTCTTCGGTGGCCGGCGGCCTGATTACACGAGCAGTCGAGCGAGTCGATAGCGGCTACCGGTCCGGTATGTCGGTGCAGTCGTCCCTCGTCATGGGCGGCATCCACGAGTTCGGCACCGAGGAGCAGAAGGAGAGGTTTCTCCCGGAGATGGCCAGGGGCAAGCTCATTGGCGCCTTTGGCCTGACGGAGCCCAATCACGGCAGCGACCCGGGCAGCATGGAGAGCGTCGCGAAGCCGCATCCGACTAAGAAGGGATACTACTCACTCAGCGGAGCCAAGACATGGATCACCAACAGCCCAATCGCCGACGTGCTGTTGGTCTGGGCTAAGCTGCAGGAGACGGGCAAGATCAGGGGCTTCTTGGTTGAGAGAAGGGACTGCCCGCCTGGAACGCTCGAGACGCCCGCCATCAAGGACAAGAACGGGCTCCGAGCTTCCATCACGGGCATGATCCAGATGGACGGCGTCCCGGTGCCAGAAGCCAACATGTTCCCTGACGTCGAAGGCCTCAAGGGGCCCTTTAGCTGCCTCAACAGCGCCAGATACGGCATCTCGCTCGGCGTCATGGGCGCCCTGGAGGACGCCATTGCTCGAGCCCGCACCTACTCCCTGGAGCGAAAGCAGTTCAAGGGCAACCCTCTGGCCAGGTACCAGCTCATCCAGAAGAAGCTCGCCGACGCCGCCACAGATGCCGCCTATGGCACGCTGGCCGCGGTGCAGGTCGGTCGGCTCAAGGACGAGGGCAAGGTGACTCCCGAGATGATTAGCATGGTTAAGAGACAGAACTGTGATTCGGCGTTGCGCAACGTCCGCGTGCTGCAGGAGATTTTCGGTGGAAACGCCGTGAGCGACGAGTATCACATTGGAAGACATGTGGCGAACCTGTTTGTGACGCAGACGTACGAGGGACAGAGCGACATCCACAGTGAGTATTTGTTGTGTTTGCTTGATGCTTTTTTTTTTTGGAGTGTTTTACTGACGATGGCATGTTCTAGGTTTGATATTGGGCAGGGCGATTACCGGTATACAAGCGTTTGTGTGAATGTGGTAGCAATATAGATGGGTAGATGAAGAAGAAATAAAAGCCATGTAATCACGTTCAGGACGTATGGTATACCACGTATATAAATTGTTATCAACGTGCTTCGCCAGACTAGACCAAAAGCCATCTACATTCACTCACAGCAGCATCCATCATCAAACGTTCGGTCCGTGATTCGGGACCACGATGAGTTAAAGTTGCGAATGGCTGAGTCGAAAACCACCAAGCGCAAACCTTGGAGCGAGATTCTCCGAAACCCCACCGTGGGGTGCCGTTGACAGATCCGTGCGATTCCATGGCCGGCCAGGCAAAGGAACAGCTCCATTCGGGATGCTACTGCGTCTCCCGTCCCTGAGGCAAAAGCTGGCCGTCCGAAGTACATGGAACCTGAAAGCACGCCAAGCGCCGTGTGTGCCTACAGGTAGCATTTGATCGCAACTACTGGCGGTTTGAAGGGGAAAGGGGGCCGGCGGTGCATCGTCATGGGCTTCATGCTGTCATGTCATGTAATCATAATCATAATCATCACAAGGTTGGCCGCACCCCCCCCTTTGGTCATCCTGACATAAGGCGCCCAGCTTTGTATGTAAGGCATGAATGAGCGTGAGTGTTTGTGTGTGCACGTCCAGGCCATCACGGTGCCTCCCGCAAAGAAGCGTCAAAGGGCAATCGAGTCACGCCTCGGGTTTGGCGCCTTTCAGCCGTCGAAGCTGAGCGAAAGACATGGATGGGCGACATGTCACCTTTGGGCCGTGACAGCGACAAGAGTGCCCTCGCCGCTATCGCCGTTTGCGCGCAAATCCGCTGCACGGCTGTTAGTGTCCGGGTCACGGCCCAAGCAGCAGCTTGCGGTGGCGGTGTCTTTAGCCACCAGTGTGGCCCAAGGCTGGGAAATGAATTTATTTGAAAAAAAAAAAAAAAAAAAAAAAAAAAATCAAAGAAGAAAAACTGGACTCTCTTTCGGCCTTGCCTTTGCTTAGTTACCCAGTTTGTTAGTGGTTTGTGTGCGGGTTCGCAGCCACTGGCCGTGTGCAAAGCCCGCTCTTTTGGTGGCTACCCGCTAAACTGTACTCATTACTACGACTCCTACTGTGCCTTTCTCTTCTCTTCCCTTCCAACCCCTCCACTTTGCTTTCAGACATACAAACTCGATCTGCACAGCACCGCCATCAGGGACTCTGCGACCCCGATCAGATAAAGCCTCTTCCTAGCGCTCCGGACTTGCAGACGGTCGCCTTGCATCGTCTCCAACGTCCGCCTAGGTTCTTTTGATTCTTTCTTCGCCCGTGAGTTTGCACCGTCTCCGCATCGTGACCCGACCAGTCCGGGAGAGCAAGCAAATACTGACGCCAGCCTGCCAGCCTCGATCCGAGATCGATCTTCCACCACCCTCTTAGATACCACATACCCTCATCACAATGGCCCTGAAGCGCATCAACAAGGAGCTCAAGGACCTCGGCACGTAAATCTCCCCTTCTCTCGTCTTCCCCTCTCCTCCGTCTCTTGGCTCTTGCTCCCCGCCCCCTTGGTGCCCTCTCTGGATACTTTTGTCAGGAGTGTCGTCGTTTGCAGCCCAAAGCCGTCGTGTGAGGTGGGGCCATGCTGAGCGGGGGTCTCACCAGCTCGAACGGCATGGGCTTGATGCTCGACTTCTGGAATGTCTGGCGTGTCTGGCACCAAGTCTCGCTTGGTTTTGAGCGTCGAGTTATGTATGCTGACTTTATCGACCGACTAGTGACCCGCCATCATCCTGCTCCGCTGGTCCTGTTGGAGAAGATTTGGTAAGTCGGGAGCCTTGTTTCCATGAGTCAACTCCATCGGAGGATGGCTGTTGTTCGCGAGGAAAGACGACGACGTTGTATACCAAGAGGAGCTAACATGTCCTGCAGTTTCACTGGCAAGCTACTATCATGGGACCCGTGAGTTGATACCCATGGACTCTAGGCACGGCTTTGTTTGGTCCAGACGGCACTTTTGTCGTTCGGGATGAACAAACAGATGGCCTTTCCGACATGGCCGCTTTTGACAAGATGGACGACTAACGACCGACACAGGGTGATTCACCATACTCAGGAGGCGTCTTCTTCCTGAAGATCCAGTTCCCTACGGATTACCCCTTCAAGCCCCCGAAAGTCAACTTCTCCACCAGAATCTACCACCCCAACATCAACAGCAACGGCAGCATCTGCCTTGATATTCTTCGAGACCAGTGGAGCCCTGCTCTGACCATTTCCAAAGGTAGGTTATCACGTTGACGAAACAAGGCTCTATCAAATCAAACCACTGACATATGAATCACGCAACAGTCCTCCTTTCCATCTGCTCTATGCTGACAGACCCGAACCCCGATGATCCCCTTGTGCCTGAGATTGCGCACGTGTACAAGACCGACCGGCCCCGGTACGAGGCGACGGCTCGGGAATGGACCCGCAAATACGCCGTCTAGGCAACACCACACGGTTTCTTTTAAGGGGTTTTGATGGCGCTGGGTGTTTGACGTCCTCTATCACGCAATGACGGTGCGGCATGTTTGGCGAGCCTCTACGTTATAAGCGGGTGCGGGGATGATATTCGAAGGCGGACAGTGCAAGTTTTTTCCTTCTTTCTTCTCCTTGCTGTTCTTATCATCTCTTCGGGTACACCGCGTTTATGATGCTGGGGGCGAGACGCATGGCCGGCGGACAGGTGGCAGACTAGACAGATACATCCGCTATTCAAGGGCTTATGCGGCTGGACTTGACTTTGGGTTTGCATCAACAACGTGTACTCTGCATCCAACAACAGGCATCTGATTTAATGCGTCTATAAGAATGGTTCATTTGTGTGTGATGCGTGAATTGTGCTGTCGAGTTGCGAGTGAAGTTTTGCGTAAAAGTGTTGCCGCTAGGGGGGGCAGTAGAAAGTGAAGAATGACAATCTTGGAATATGGTATGGGTATATGCTGGTCACATGTTACGGCAGCGTAGTCTCATACAGAGAGGATGGAAATACATACAGAGTGCGTCTTAGTAGCTAAAGGATGGACCTCCAAGCCATGTCTATCAACGTACGGATAAACCTCTAGGATGGTGACTAGATAGATAATCAGCGTCAATATGAAAGGGAAAAGGTCATGCGTTGCGGAGGATTTGGCGCTAATCTACAAGAGATTCTGACATGGAGTGTCCATGTCCTCAAATCATTGCAGGGTTATGCGCAACCAGGCAGGGAATGCACGGGGACACTCCATGAGATTAGCGCTATTACCAGGTAGTCGGCAGGAAACAAACGGGAAAAGAAGAGAACTCTAGTTGTGTCGGTATTCTAGTAAACAAAAAGATATCCAGATGATTAAACAGGAATTGATAAACAATGAAAAAGAGATACTTGACGAGTTGGAGAAAGGGAAGAAAAAGAGGCCGGGTCGGGCGGCAAAGCGCCAAGGGCAGAAGCCGTCACACCTTTTGTCGCATCTTGTTTCATGTAGCCTCGCGCTCAGCCTCCTTTTCGCAGCCCATGATGCATGCGGGGAATTACGCGACAAGTAAAAACGGCCAGGGACGAAGAAAATCGAACGATTTTCCACAAGTCTTGAAACTCGATGGATGCACATGGTTGATTGTCTGGGTGTTTGGGTGCTTTCCATTTGCTGCAGCTTTGGACCCGAAAGATTGCGATTTCGAGGCTTTCGATGAAAGCTGAAGGGAATCTAGGGGGGGCTTCCTCGCTTGGGGGGATTTCGGTGGAGAAGGTGGTCCTTTGGCCTAAGCAGCTCCGTGTTCATATGGGTTGTACGGAGGTTGGTTTTACGATGAAGATGCTGTGGTTGGATGGATCAACAAGAGACAACGATGGAGACATCTTCGGGTTCGGGAATAGCATCGCCTTGCATGCCAATATCCCGCTGGTATGGGCTTTCCAGATGCTTGGTCCCCCGATGATCACACAGGTACTCTGTACACTCGTACAAGTTGCTTTCAACGGCCCCAAAACGAAAATGAAAAAAAAAAAAAAAAAGGCGCCCTTGGCATCAAACCAACCGTCAATGGTCTGTTTCGAGACTCGGCTGGCCGGCCGCTAATTGGCTGCCACGGGGGGACCCATGTCCGGCAGTCGTGCGAGTTCGTTTTTTTTGCATGGACGAGCTTCTGCAACCTGTAACACGGACGCGGCAGCGAATCCCCGGCCGTGCTCGCCCTGTTTTTGGCGTAACCCCCCGGGGGGGAATTTCGTCTCCTACGTACGACTTTGGTGGGAAAAGTCTGGCCTCTTTTTATTGTTCTCTCATCTCTAGTTTTAGTTGCCTTGTGCCGTCTGTTTGTTTGTTTGGATTTTCCCCCGTGGGTTGCGTTGATCGCAAGGCAAGGTCGAGTTTGCACTGTTGAATCTTGTGGTATGTGAATTCGGTTCCCTTGCGATGCGAGACGGATTCTTCCTCCTTTCGACGCTTTGGTACTGACGATTGGTCGTCTGCAGATCTCGGGATTGCTTTCTCTCCTTCGTTCCTCTTCTTTTATATATTACAGCCGCGTGTGTTTGCACCGGTCTTTTATCGACTTCAAGTCATTCCACTCTCTTATTCGACAGGCTGCTGCTCGTTCAGCGGGATCTGAACTACCGACAACTGCCTGCGCCAATCGATCGCTTTCTGAACTGGAGGATCATCATAGAGACTGTACCGTGACCGACCGTTTGTTGGGATACAGAGCGAGAGGCTTTTGAGAGTATACGACCGGCCAGCCACAACTTTGCTTTACAATGGACTACGAAAAGTACGAGAGCTATGAGCGGCCGACGGAGCGGTCCAGATGGACGCCCCTGACGCGCATGTTGCTCTCGGGAGAAATGACACAGGAGAAGCAGCAAGAGCTGACGGCGCGAGAAAAGTTTGACCGATGGATGATTAACGAAGGATACCGAAGAGTGTACGTTGCTCCCAAGAGGACCTCATGAAGCAGGGGGGAGGGGGAGCAAGGAGAGGAAACAAAACAAGAACCCCGATTTGCTGACCCAACGCGAACAACAGATTCGTCTTCGTTTTCATGCTGGCCCATGCCCTCATCTTTGCCTTTGCCTGCGTCCACTACGGCCTCAAGGACAGCTTGGCGACATCCCGAGCCACCTTTGGTTTCACGTTCGTCGTTGCTCGATCGGCCGCCCTGGTCCTCCACGTCGATGTCGGCATCATCCTCTTCCCCGTCTGCAGAACCCTCATCTCGCTCCTCCGACAGACGCCTCTCAACGGCGTCATCCAGTTCGACAAGAACATCACCTTCCACATCACGACGGCCTGGTCCATTGTCTTCTTCTCGTGGGTGCACACCATTGCCCACTGGAACAACTTTGCCCAGGTGGCGGCCAAGAACAACCTTGGCATCTACGGCTGGCTGCTTGCCAACTTTGCCTCGGGCCCCGGCTGGACCGGATACGTGATGCTCATCGCCCTCATGGGCATGGTCTTCACCTCGATCGAGAAGCCCCGACGCGCCAACTACGAGCGGTTCTGGTACACGCACCACATGTTCATCGTCTTCTTCATCTTCTGGGCCATCCACGGAGCCTACTGCATGATCCAGCCCGACGTGGCGCCCTTTTGCACGAGCATCGGGCCCTCGGCCATTGGCGTGTTTTGGCAGTACTGGATGTACGGAGGCTTCATCTACCTGGCGGAGAGAATCGCCCGCGAAATCCGAGGCCGCCACAAGACGTACATTTCAAAGGTCATCCAGCACCCCAGCAACGTCTGCGAGATTCAGATCAAGAAGGAGCACACCAAGACTCGAGCCGGACAGTACATCTTCTTCTGCTGCCCGGCGGTCTCGCTGTGGCAGTACCACCCCTTTACGCTGACCAGCGCCCCCGAGGAGGACTACATCTCCATCCACATGCGTTGCCAGGGCGACTTTACCATGGCCGTCTCGAGTCTCCTGGGCTGCGAGTGGGACAAGAAGGGCAGCACGAGCAAGGTCGTGGGCGCTGCCGGCGACGAGACCAACGACCCGGCCCTGAAGCGAGTCTTGCCCAGGGTCTACGTCGACGGGCCCTTTGGATCCGCCTCGGAGGACGTCTTCAAGTACGAGGTGGCGGTTCTCGTCGGTGCCGGTATTGGCGTCACGCCTTTTGCCTCGATCCTCAAGTCCATCTGGTACCGGATGAACTACCCGCAGCAGAAGACGAGGCTGCGCAAGGTCTACTTCTTCTGGATCTGCCGCGACTTTGGCTCGTTTGAGTGGTTTCGGTCGCTGCTGCTGGCCGTCGAGGCGCAGGACGTGGACAACCGCATCGAGATCCACACGTACCTGACGGCCAAGATCAAGGCCGACGATGCCACCAACATCATGATCAACGATGCCAACGCCGACAAGGATGCCATTACGGGCCTGAGGAGCCCGACCAACTTTGGCCGCCCCAACTGGGACATGATTTTCCGAGGCATCCGGAAGCTGCACACGCCTTGCGAGGCGGGTGTGTTTTTCTGCGGGCCCAAGGGTCTGGGAAGTTCCCTGCACGTTTACTGCAACAAGTATACGGATCCTGAGTAAGTTCTTTTTTTTGCTTCATCCATCATCACTGACGTTTTTCTTTTCTTGTTTCTTGTGTGTGTAAACTAATTCTGATTTCCTCATCTAGGTTCTCGTTCGTCTGGGGCAAAGAAAACTTTTAAAAAGTGCCTACGATTCTCTCAATCTCTTTGTCAACGGCCTTTTTTTTTTCATCTCCGTTTCTTTCCCTATTCTTCTCCACCGCGACAAGATCGATACTACTACAGCAGTTGCCCCCCCCTTTCTTTTGCTTTCCTCGTATTTTGTTATTCCCCTTTGTCGACTCTGTCCCCTCTCATGATACCAGGGCTCGCTCTCCCAGTGGTGGATGGAGAAGGTTTTTCTTTTTATAAACGTAATAATTCCATAAAAGTCGTTTTGCGCTGGACGCATACACGTTAACTGTTGGCGAGAGGCCCGAGGGGGGGGGTTTTGACGAAGAAGAGGAGGATGGGATATGAGGGGGATGGAGCAGGCTGATGAGAGATGACTTGTACAAGATATATATATACATATATACAATTATCTGAGTGTATGCGTTGCGTACATGTGTCTCTCGTCTTGTGTGATTCCTATCAGGTTACAAGTAAAAGCAGAACGAAATGTCGATCAAGATTTGGATGAATACAACTTTGATACTACTTGACTACTACCGACCCATGAAGCTGGGATGCCCGATTTAGAATGCCTTTGCCGCCAGTGTCAGCGTATCAACCCACATCTTACTGGCCGGCATACACGTGTAATACCTTAGTACCTACTAGGTACTGGATGTACAGGGTATTAGAGTAATGCCGGCTTTTTGTCACTTGCGGAGCAGCGATGGAAATTCATCTGCCGCTGTTGGGCTAGTAGGCATCAGCAATCGTCGACTCTGCAGCAAAATGAGGCAGGTGGTCACGATCCTCAGATGTTTCACTGTTTCACTAGTTTTTTTTTTCCCTCTTCTCATTTTATATACTTGTACGAATCCACGGTTTGGGGTAATCAAGGGCGAGGGCCGGCCAAGTGACATGATCTTTTTTTTGGGGGGAGAGAGGCTTCGGGATATCCGATCCGGTATCACGGGAGCAAGATCTCACCGGGCATAAGGATTTCCGGGCCTAAAAGATGCAAAGAAAGATAAGAGGGAAGGGAAAAGGAAAAAGAGCACAAAGGATCGTCACGAGAGTAGCTTCATGCAGTCTGACATTGCAGCGGGCGAGACGGTTTGGTTGGGCGCCTCGTTACAAAGAAAAAAACAACAATAAAGGGAAGTTACTAGGTAGTTTTAGTATGGTGCGGTCAGAAAAAAGGGAATAAGAATAGCAGCAAATCTCAGCTTGGGGCATCAGCGTTTCCAGCCCGGCGGTCATCTTATGAAGGGTGGGTATTCGATCTTGTGGCTTTTCTCCCTCCAGATGGTTCCATTCGGGGGGATTTTCTAGGTTGTGGCGGAGGCTGATGCAGATTTGGGGAGGGAGAGGAATGGGGATGACAGTTGTGTTTGGAATTTCGGGGTTGTTGGGGGTTCTCGGCTCGTATTGTTTGCTGCACGTTGTTTTTGATTGCCAACACAATAATGGGACACTTTGGGTCCTCGCGCTATTGAAGAGGAGGCATGGAAGGGAGAGACAATAATACTCGGTCACGCACTCGATAATCAATGACGAACCGAGTACTAGTGTCGAAATAGTGCCAGCTTGGTGCACGTCATTTCGCATAACGACTCGTTCGCGGGCGAGGCGATCAGGCTTACGGTTCTGGGCAAGGTGAGCACATGGCGATTTGCAGCAATGGATGGCGTTGAGTGTGCCAAGTGCTTGTAGGGGGGCCGCAGCGCGGTACTTTGTGTGAGGATTACGTTGACGTTGACATTGACGGTAATGAAATTGAAGATGAAACAAATTGCCAGCATGGCGTCGGGTATCGTATGAACAGGGTACAGTAGCATCAACATGGACCTCCGGGTGTGTAATCGTAGTAATACTCGTTTCTGCTCCGTATATAATACGAGTACACGTTACCTGTCTGCCCAATTGGCAGGTGACTCGGCTTTTCAACTTGACTCGACGCTCGGTTCTCTTTTTTTCTTTCCAGGGGAGGGGGATCCTCTTTTTTTTTTCTTTTCTCTTTTACTCACTCGTTCTCTCTTTTTCCTTTGGTGTCTTTGGATCTTTTCCCTCTCTGAGCAGTTCGTATTCTGGGGGGTCCCTGCATTGCCACTTTTTCGCCGCTAAGCTGCACCGGGCAAAAGCGCAGCTGTTGATTCACCTTCTCCTGAAGTCCCGCGTGCAACATTCGTATGTACTAGTACTAGCCCGACGGGTCCCTCCGCCAGCGAAATGCGCAAAAAAGTGCTTCGTTTTCTCTGTGCGTGCTTCTCATCCATGATGTGTTTGCGACAATACGAGTAATTACCTGTACCTGTGCGGTGTCGCCACGGGGTACCGGTACCTGCTGGCGCACGTACAGTTTTGCAGCCCGTATTGAACTCGTACCGCAGGCGCTCAAATGCTTAGTAGACCAAGCTCTGGGCGGCCTCACCTTTAGTGCACCTGTGCTCCGTAGAACCGCCAGACTGCGACAGCTGGACTGGAACTTTGGCGGACCACCCGCACTGGAAGATGAAAAAAATCCATCCATGGATCGCTTACAGAGGGCAACTGGCATGCTGTGGACCTGTACTGCTGTACACGTACTGTACGTCCTCGTACAGATACCCGCGCGCCCGACTGTCCGAGTACCCTTGGCGCAAGTACCGGGTACCCCCAACGGGGTCCGCCTGCGTGGCTTCTCCGGGAGTCCGCGTGTGCTGCGGCCAATGCCAATGGCCAAACAACGGGCCGTTTCTTCCCTCTGGACTCTGGCCTGCTCTTGTCGCCGTCAAATTCCCAGGGCCCTTGAACTTGCTGCTTTCATCCATCATAACCGACCCCTTCCACTCGCTTGTTTCACTCGCCTGGCACCTAATCGCCATCGTCATCATTCTTCATCATTTTTCCCTTACTTTGTTTTGACTTTTGACTGCGTTTGCACCACTGTTTTCATTCTTGTACGGCCTCATTCTTAAGACGCATAGTTTGGCCCCATCTCGAGATTTTCCTTCAAAATGCGCCTGCCGTTGGCACTCGTCTTCGGCGCGCTGCTTGGAAGCGTCCACGCAAATGTTGTGATCCGACAAGACGACTCGGGCTCTTCGTCCACCGCTCCAGGCCCGACCGATGGAGGTGACTCGTCCAGCTCTTCATCGCCGTCGTCGACCACTCCTCCCCCGACCTCGTCGACTCCTGGCAGTAGCAGCAGTAGCAGCAGTAGCAGTAGCAGCAGCAGCAGCAGCAGCTCTGACGAGGACAGCACCACCACCATCTTCGAGACCGAGACTGTGACGGGCCCCGACGGCAAGACTGTCACAAGCATCAGGACCGAGACGACGACCATCACCACGACGATTACCACGACGTCGACGGCTTTTACCACGACCACTGTTACTAGCAGCAACGCGGAAACGGCCACGACGACCGTCTTTGAGATCACCACGGTCCTCGAAACGCCCACGGCCGCACAGAAGCGGGATCTCAGGATTGCGCCCAGGACGGGAGTTGATCCTCTTCCCACCGAGGTTGTTGATGCCGACGCCCTGAACCAATATCTGGCTCTGCGCGACTTGGAGGCGCGCGCCTTCGTCACCGATGTCGTGACCGTGACCGTCGGAGGCGGCAGTGGCACTACCATTGTCGACACTACTACCAGGACCGTCAGAGACACCGAGACCACCCGGACCGTTGTTACCAGGACCATCACCCAGACGCACCAGGCCAATGCCAAGACGACCGTCACCTCGACCAGCACCTTGACCGTCACCTCGACTGTTGTCAACACCGGTGTCCAGGAGACCAGCAGTGCCCCGACAGGCTCCGGCACGGGCGTTCCGGATAACAACAACGGCCATGCCACCGATAGCTCGGGCCTGTCCACCGGCGCCAAGGCTGGTATTGGTGTCGGCGTGGGTGTCGGCGGTCTTCTCATCATCGGCGCCGCCCTCTTCCTCATCCTGAGGCGTCGCAACCGCGGCTTTAGCCCTGACCACGACGACCTGGTTGGCGCTTCTGAGGTCCCGATCGGCGGCGGCGGTGGCGGCGGAATTGGCGGTCCCGGTCGCCAGCAACCCATGTCGGCTCACACCGCCAACGCAGCAGCTTTCCTGGCCCCCGGCCGCACTCCCGTCAAGCCCGTCGCTCCCGAGGGCTACCGTGGTACCGCCCTGGGTGATGGACGTGCTGGATATGCCAAGCCAGAGACCTACGGTTCAGCCTACACCTCGCCCAGCCCGGCGACGACAATGGCAAACACCGTCAGCCCCGTCTCGTTCGACAACAGGACCAACCTGCCTCCTGCTCATGCCGATGCTGCTGAGCTGGGCAACGACAACGTCAACGCTGCCAAATGGACAAACCCCGAAGCTTCCGAAATTGACGGCAATGCAGTCCTGAGCCACCAGAGCGGGCCAGTCTACGAAATGCCTACGCAAAATTACCACTAAAAGAAGTGAAAAAGATAAAAAAAGAAGAAGGCAATATTCGGGGACCTAGGAACTAGATTACTGGATCGGCAAATGGGATGGCTTGACTCCTAACTGATTGATTGGGGCAAGGCCCATCTGCGGCAGCGGCGGGAACATACAAGGCACGTGTCTTTTGTATATACTGTCTATACCCGGCGTGTTCACCACGAACTAGGCTTGATTGCAACAGGAGAGGCTTGGTGATTCCAACAATATTTGGAGGGGGAAACATTCTGGACTGATGTGATGTATGATGCCGGAAGACTCGACAACGTGTGACGAATGAGGTTTGAGGAACTTGGGAGAGCAGAGCGGGAAGCCGATTTGTTTTTGCTCTGTTCTGTGTAGCCACCTTTTATGTATCTTTAATAATGGACCGTTTCAATTTTACCAAATTGTTTCAACTGCCGTCCGTGTTTTCTTTTTCTTTTCTTGTCTCTTGTCTCTTGTCTTCTTTTCCCCTCCCTCCTTTCTCTTTTCTCTTTTCTCTTTTCTCTTTTCTCTTTTCTCTTTTCTCTTTTCTCTTTTCTCTTTTCTCTTTTCTCTTTTCTTTGTTTCTCTGAATTTCCCGAGCAAATAATGGTATTTGTTATGCTTTTCCTGAAGCAAGTTTTGGTTCCTGGCTAATGTGCGTAGCCATGCATTCCGCGGCAAAGAACCGGCTGCGCCCCCCAAAGCCCGCCCGCTACGGCAAATTTCAAACTTTGAAAATTAGAGTAAAAGAAGCTTAATGGGATGAACGGGACTAGCGAGGATGAGGGTTTGACGTCTGGGGATTGAAGGCATGGGATTGCCTGCGTGAATTGTTTGCAATTCCGATGATTGATTTTTGTAGATGAGTTGCGTAGCGACGAGATTCTCTTGTTCTATTCTTCGGTCGGTGGATGTAGGTAAATGTAGATACAGGTGAAGAACGAGGTGGTTGTACCAAACAACGCCACGCCGTCTTTAGAAGTTACCAGTTACCGAATTCTGGGAGTGGCACAGGCACAAAAAGGGGCTTCATCTTTTGATTGATTGATTGGTTACACGTGCTCATGGATGACGAGATGAGATGCTCAGCAGCCCGATGGGACGGATTGATAAGCCTCCAGTCCAGGATAAGGCTTTACATGCATGAGAACCTGGAAACTGACCGACTCTTCACCGTATCAGCAGAAAAAGGCCAAGCAAAAAGAGGCTTTTTTTTTCTTTTTTCTTCTTTTTTTTTTTTCGAGGTCCGAAATGCGGGCACGCTAAGGTAGTTTGGATTCGCGGAACGGCCAACTCACGCCACTTAATATTTCGCTTCCCATTGATACTACTTGTATATACTACAGAGTGCCTTCCATTCCTCTTACCTAGTAGTTATAGTAGTTTTTTTTTCTGGGTCACGAACTTGTGACTCTTTTTGAGTTGTTTCGACGCTCCGTCTTTTGACTTGTTTTCTTCTCCTTCTTCTTCTATTTGGTTGCTGCTACTGCGTTTCACAACATTCAGCCGCAGTCTGGCTTTTATTCACTTTTGTTCATTGCCGAGTACAACTTTTGTGAAACGAGATATTACTAATACCGAGGCACCCCCGTTTTGAGACATTGTTTGTGACCATGTCGAATTGATTCTCCGGCGGGATTTCTTTTTTTTTTTTTCGTCTTCGGTTTTATTATTTCTGAGACATCTTGGCTTCTGCGAGTGGCTGGACGAAAGGAACTGAACTGAGGTGGGGACTGAAAGGAGAAGCGTTGCTTGTCTTTGTCTTTGGCTTCCTGACCGGCTGTTTGGGTTTCTCGAGGTTGTCATATTCTCTTGTTTCGATTGTGAGAGATCGAAGCGCTGTTGGACGGACAGAGAGACACCGCAAGAGAGAGGATTCATCCAGGATGGCGTCACAAGGGATCGCAATGGGAACTGCGCCCGATCGAGATCAGGAGGAAAAGAGGACGCAGCTGCAAGATCGTGCTGCTCAAGAGTCAGACAACGAGACACTGCTCCAAGGGGTCGAAGAGAAGAAGTTGGTGCGGAAGCTGGATCTCTACATTATCCCGCTTGTCATGGCCTTGTATCTGTTTAGTTTCTTGGACAGGTAAGGCATCTCGCTCTCACTCTGGACTCCTTGTCTTTCACTTGGAGACGAGATCGGGATGACTGACAGGCTGCAGAGTGAATATTGGCAACGCTCGATTGTATGGCCTTGAAGAAGACCTCAACCTCTCATCCCAGCAATTCCAAGTCGCCGTTTCCATCCTCTTCGTCACATACCTCCTGTTCGAGGTGCCCTCAAACCTTGTCCTCAAGCTATTTACTCCTCGGCGGTGGATAGCCTTCATCGTCACGGCCTGGGGCATCATTGCGACTCTCACCGGACTAGTGGAATCATACGGCTCGCTCATTGCCTGCCGTCTGCTCTTGGGAGTTGTCGAGGCGGGCTTGTTCCCCGGCCTCAGCGTCTATCTCACCTTCTTCTACACCAAGCATGAGCTTGCCTTGAGGATAGGATACCTCTTCGTCAGCGCTGCCATTGCGGGTGCCCTCGGCGGGTTGCTGGCGTATGGCATTGGACACATGGACGGCGTTCGCGGCATGAGCGGGTGGCGCTGGATCTTCATCATCGAGGGCATTCCGAGCGTGGTGCTTGGTGTGGTCACGTTGATTGCGCTGCCGAATGATGCGCCGTCTGCGTATTTCCTCACCGAAGAGGACAAGGTCCTGATGGAAGAGAGACATAAGCGGGACTATGGCAATACAGCCTCCAGCCGCGAGTTCAGTCGACGAGACATGATGAAGGCGTTTACGGACTGGAAGGTCTGGGCTTTTTCGTTTGCCCAGTTTGGCGTGGATACCATGCTCTACGGTGTGTATTTCGTCCGAGGACGATTCAAAAAGAAAAAAAAAAGAGGAAACCCTTTTGACTAACCATGTGTCTAGGATTCTCGACTTTCTTGCCCACCATCATCAGTGCTCTCGGCGAATGGACAACTGCTCAAGTCCAGCTCCTCACCATCCCGTGCTACTTCCTGGGCGCAGTGGCGTACATGAGCATAGCCATGCTGTCTGACCGGCTCCAGATGAGAGGCGTATTCTGCGTCATCTTTGGCATGATAAGCGTCGTCGGATATGCTATACTGTTATCCGATTCGTCACCCGGAGTGCACTACTTTGGGTGCTTTCTTGTTGCAGGGGGACTCTACGTCGTTGTCGGCCTTCCAATTGCCTGGGTAAGCTCTTACTATACATCTCAGACAAAACGTATCAGGGGAAAACTGACATCTCCAAACAGTTACCGAATAACACCCCTCGGTACGGCAAGAGAACGACTGCCACAGGTATGCAGCTTACCTTTGGCAACACATCCGGCATCATGTCTGCCTTTATATAGTGAGTTTCTCTGAGGCATCCCTGCGCATTACATTTTTGATCTAACAGCCATATTCCTAGCCCTGTGCTTGACAAACCGCGCTTCATCCGTGGCCACGCCGTTTCTCTCGGCATGGTTGGCTTCGGCACCTGCGTCTATGGCTTTCTCTGGTTCTGGTTCCGGAGGGCAAACAAGAATCGCGATGCTGGGGAGCTGAGCGGAGAGCATCAGGGGCTCCCGGACGATGAGCTTAAGGAGCTTGGTGATGACAGCCCTCACTTCAGATACACGATCTAATGCGCACAATGATGCCGTCATGCTGGATAGATGATCAACGCCTGTTTGTTTGTTTTTCTTGGTCGTAGTAACGCATTGACTGCGATGAGTTTTGGGAGTACGTCTTATGGAATAGTTTAATTATCATCATAGAAATAGCACATGCTACCATGTTTAATCCTCAGTATACCGCAACAGAAACTTTGTCTCGAAATTCAGAACTAGCATCACACGTGAATCCAAATGGCTAGCCACGCTGTAAACAACAAAATAATTCCAAAAACTGTAAATTAATCCATCATAACGTCGTGTATCATCACTGCCTCTTCCTCACCACCGGCGGCCACTTCCTCGGCGGCGTCGGCCTAACCTCAACCTTCTTCTCATTGAACAGTCGCCGTACATCACAGAGCACTAAATCCTGCCTCACCCGTTCTTGATCGGTATACGCTCTCGTGAACCCCCGTTTCAAGTACTGTAGTTCCTGGAAGCGTCTCCAAGCCGAGTTCTCGTAGTTCATGCTTCTCCTCTCCATGAAGCTCCGCCAGCGGCGGTATTCGTATTCGCGAGACCACAGAGCGTGCCATGGGTCGACGAGGGCTTGGGCGGAGGGGGAGAGTGGGAGGAAGGGCGTCCAGATGGGTCGGGTGATTGCTAGGAAGTTGAAGGCGTGAAGCGTGGCGAGCGGTAGAGAGGCTTGACCGGGTGCGGGAGGCGAAGGTTCTGCATGTGTTGGGGAGTTGCTGGTGAGTACGTCGCCACCCTGCTGTGGCTGTTTCTCAATGGACGCCAAGTTGGACGTGATCTGCTTGTGTATCCTCTCTAGGATTTCTTGAATGTCCGCTGCATTCATGTCTAGGTCTTTGCGGAGCTCGATGGGGAAGAATTTGTGTTTGTGTAGACTGATGGTGTCGTCCTTGTCTTTGCAGTCCGAGCACCACGAGTTCTCGCAGAGGGTGCAGTAAATGTAAGGGTCGTAAATAGATTTGTCGCAGACGAAGCACTGCTGCAGGGCGACGGAGCCCATGTAATATCCCTCATCGTCATTCCATCGAACCTGAGGTCTGGTGAGTATGAACTCGGCCAAAACCCTGGCGTCTATATCGTATCCACCACGTTGAAAAAGGAGTATGGCGACGTAATCCAGCGTGAGAAGATGGATTTCTATCGTGCGAGGGCCAGCAAGAAGCTCATCTATTCGAGAAATGATGAGTTTGTCCAGGTCAGGCAGTGCTTCGGGTTTGGCATCGAAGTTGCCCATTGCATAGTCAACGGGAGTCAGCCCGGCGTGGCTAGGTTGGTCCATGATGGCGGAGAAGATGTCATTACCAGTCTCCTTGAAGATGGTGTCACACGCGGACATGAGGCGGGATATGATTTCCGCGCCTTTTCGGGACCGGGCTAGGGCAGGCACAAGGGTACCTCCTTGATAGTCCCTGTGAGTTAAATGTTCCCGCAAGCCCCAGCGCGGCTCAAGCAGCAAATCTATAATGGGCATGATGTTTTTGTTGCTCGAATGGGCAGCAACTTGGATGGCTGTCTGCCACGTCTCCTCACCACCAGGGCCCCTCTGAGCACGCAGCGGATCGGCACCCTGCTCAAGAAGCCATTTGACGTGCCTTGCTTCTGCGTCTATTATGGCCCACCCAAGAACGGTAAGCCCAGTCTCATTGTCGACGGCGTGCAGGTCCAGGCCATTGTTCAGCAACAGTTGAAGAGTCTTGAAAGGTTTATCGCCCTTGGCATCAAAGATCCGGCTGAACGCGCTCGTAGTGCCAGCGCCGTTAGGAAGATACATTTCTGCTCCGGCGTCAATCAATAGCTTGACCATGTCGAGATTCCCATGGCTGCAAGCAAATGCGAGCGGGGTGCAATTGTAGACCGTAGGCACATTGATCATATGAGGCGCAGCTTCTAGAACCATCTTGACAATGTCCATGTCTCCCACATCACAGGCGGTGAATAGAGGCGATTCCTTATAGTAGTAGCTGACCTGGTCTACCTTGGCGCCCCTATCCAGGAGAAAGCGGACAACATCTTTCTTCTTCCGATGGCATGCCGCATTTAAGGGGGTTTCAACCATGAACCCCTTTTCCAGCTGAAGATCGAGAAGATTCGGCTCATGCTTCAACAGAATATCGCACATCTCGACATTGCCTTTTCTGGCTGCCTTGTGCAAGGGTGATACTCTTTCGCCGGAGTTGAGATAGATGCTCATATCTGCTCCATGCTCCAGCAAAATCGACACGGTTTCAGCATCGCCTTGGTCGACGGCGCCTATTATACAGTGATCTTCGTCATCTTTGAAATAGTTGACATTAGGAGGATGAAGCGACTCCAAGAGCTTCTTTATGATCTTAGGGGTGGGGGGGCCAACCCTCGTCACGGCTGTTTCAAGTAACGCGGCAACGCCGTAGCCTTCTTCGATAGAGGCATCTGCGCCGTTTTGTAGAAGTAAATCCACGATGGATTCCAGGCCTAGATCCACGGCATGGCCCAGCGCAGTAAATGGAAACCAGTTGCGCCTAAAGTCGTTTACCGGTGCTCCGTAGACCAACAGCAGCTCAACCATGGACCTATCCTGAACAATAACGGCATCGTGAAGCGGCGGCACGCTCACCATGGGCAGCATTCCAGGGTATGCTCCAGCTTCCAGAAGCCATTCCAGTGCCGTATAGTTACGGCTATTGACGGCAAATCCAATAGCTGTAGTGCGCTTGACATGAAAACGTTCGGTCAGTGAGCTTACAGCATCCAGATCCAATCCTGGCCTTGAAAGCAGTATCCGAAGAAATTCTGTCCTGTCGGCGCCATCGCTGGCAAGATGAATTGGTGCGAACCCAAGCATGGTGACCTGGTTAATATCTGCAAAAGGGAGAAAGGCATTGAACATGTCAAGTTTGCCGTCAAATATGCATCTTGCCAGGGGTGGCTCTCCACCCAGCATCCATGCTTCTGCGTCTGCACCAAAGTCGATGAGCAACTTAACAAGCTCAACCTTTCCGGCAGAGTATGCCCTTTCGAGCGGCGTAATACCCCATGTATCCGTGACGTTGAGCAAGGCACCGAACCTGATCAGGAGATGAGCAAGCTCGTGTCTGCCGCGAACGCATACCACGTGCAAAGGCGTGATGCCGTGATGGTCACATATGTTTGGACTGACTCCATTGAGTAGCAGTGTTTCGACAACGTCGTATATATTTTGATCTTGGGCCTTGGCACCCATCAATCGATCCGAGGTAAGGCAAAGTGTGAGCGCCGTCCTTCCACCTTCATCGCGCGCATTCACGTCGACATTCCATTGTAAAACGTGCTCGACCATACCGCGGTTTCCACTAAGCGCCGCTGCCATTAGGAGAGTATGGCCATGCAGACCTGTGATATCGGGCCACTTTCCCGCAAATTTATCAGAGAACTGAGCGTTTGGAAACGGTACAAATTGGGTCCAGCTTCCGAACCTGCTCTTCCAAGGAGCACGGGGAGACTCTGATGCCGGAAAGAAATGCTGTATGACGGCAAGGCAGCCCTCTCGAACCATGGCCATGATCGGATCCTCGGCCGGTAGTTCTCCCTTTTCGCTGACGAGCCATGATTTCCAATGTAGCCACGTCTGATACTGCGGGCAGTCGGGGGACAGGAATCTTTGCAACAGCGGAACCAATTGTGGATTGAGTGTCTTCAGCTTGGGAAGATAGGTCAGCCAGCATTGAGACGCAAAGCCGTAAAACGCAGCCGTCTTGGCCATTCTCTCAGAGGTACCCTCTTTGTCAGTCCACGAGAGAGGCAGGCAGTCGCAAAATCGATCTTGAAGTAGATATGTAAGGCAGACGAAAGCCATGTTGGTTTGCCTGTGTTCCAGGGAGAGGTAGTTGCTTAGATGGCTTCGAACGGAAGAGTGAACAGAAAAGATGAGGGAGTCGGCTGGGCTGACCCAGAACAAGTCTCCGCAGTACTGTTGCATGGATTTGGCAATACTTTCCACTGGCATATCATCTTGGCCATACAAACACTCTAGAATACTGTCGAGTTGCTTGATAGAAAAAGCGAGGCCAATGCCTTCGGAGGCTATCAAGGTGAGAACTGTACGCAGATGCCTTTCGCTGTTGTTGGCGGATTGCAGTAAAGGCAGCATCTTCTGCTCGTAGAGCCGTGCCAACTCGGTTGGAATGTAATCTTCTTGAATCTCTTGGACCGGGTTCAAACTATACAATCTCTCAATTTCGTCGGCCGCAAGTTTAGCATAGAGCCAATAGGCTCCTGCTTTTTGAATGACTCGTTCTTTGATCTTTTGTATCAGGTCTTGGCCTGATTTCTGTCTAGTGTTGGAAATAGCCAAGAACCTCTTGTTCAGGTATGTGGAGACGTCTTTTCTAATATCCTCATCTGGTAGAGTGCAACATGAGGTAGTACTTGAGGCCGAATAGGTAGCGTCTGTCCATCGGCTCGTTATGACTAGCTTGACCTTTGTCGGCATATCGAGCGGGTTGCTAGAGCGGCTCTCCGGTCCCAAAACGATCGGCTGCCTCAAGTGCTCTATTAGGGCAAAGAATTCGGTGAAGTTGGCTGAAGGCGTTTGCTCAAGTCCATCCACGACTAGATATATTGTACGCGGCGAGCAAACTTTCCGAAACGCGGTCCATATTTCGGCATACGACGATGAGTCGAGACGAGGATTGGATTCATCGTTGCTGCGGCGGAATTGGATAGGAACGTGCAAAAACCAGTCTGGCCACTCCTTGATCAGCTTCCAGGTGAAGTACTCCCAAATTGCCGGCTTCTCTTCTCCCTTTTGGCAAAAATAGCTCATAACAACGTCTTCGGGCTTGAAGGATTTGAGATGGGTAAAGACAGCACGGGCTAAGTGTGATTTTCCATGTCCAGGAGCCCCTATATAGAAGATTGTGCCACACTTTGGATCCGTAAGCCAGTTCTTGTAGATGGTGCCATCCTTGAACCATTCGCATGTGCCGGCGGCAGCAAATAGCTCATTTCCGTAATTGATATCTGACCAGCCGCTTAGTGAGCGTAGAAAGCTTTCTCTGGAGGCGGTTTCTTCCTCCTCCTTCTTCCTCCGTTCACGGCTTTGAAGGTCATCGTCAATCTTGCTCCTAATCCTTCGTCGATGCTTGATTACTGGGAAATCGAGTTTCTTTATCCCTGGGATTTCTTCAATCGGGATTGGTCGTTCCAAAATCCGTGATGGTGTACGCGGGATTTTGGCGGGAAAAGTAGGTACGGTGCGTTCTGATAGCGTGTCCACCAAGAACTGGGCGAATATTTGCATAAACTGCATGAATCTGTCGCTGAATATACTGGAGAACCGAGGCAGTTCCTCATGGCTGCACTCTATTATGTGATCTGTGTTTCCTTGTAGTTTCTCTTTCTGGCATTGGAGAGGAACGACCTATGAGGATATCAGTAAGAAAGTACTCGGTTGCCTTATCGAGGACGCAGAGTGGTCTCACGAGAGCCTTATGAGAGTCGGCACTCGATCCAACGGTCTTTGAGGGCAGATTCTCCCAAAAGGACAGCAGCCTGAGGTAACTAGGCTTGCATGCAATAAAGGTGGTGTTGATACGGCTCACTATGGAAACAAATTCCCTGACATCTTCACTCCTAGTTCCATCCTTTGGACCAAAGGTGTCTATGGTCCCCTTGACTGATTGGAGAAGTGCTTCAGAGTCTGTGTCGGCGTGTGGTGTGCCAAAGAAGACGACACCGGCCAGCGCATTCTTGGTCCGCGGATAGGTTGGTGTCATGAAACACAGCTGGATCGCCTACAGTTACAATGCAGCAAGGTTAATCACTTGATCGGCGTATGTGAAATGCGAACGGGATTTTACTGACTTTCTTCACAATGATGCCTCCAAAGCCGTGGGCAATGAATATCAAGGGTCTTCCCTAGTGGACAGAGTAAGAAAGTGGTTCGAAATCATTCACAAAGCGTGGAGAGTCATACTGCAGATCTCTCGAGAGCTTGCTCCAAACAGCAAAGCAGATCGCTTGCGTGGAATGCTGGGCTGGACGATGACAAGTTTGCTTCTACGTCGCCATTGTAGCTAAAGGAGAAGATGCGAATCGGCCTCTTTATGCGAGTGATGAACTCTTCGTCCTTGATCCATATTTTGCCGGTAGATTCGTCGTGCCATGTAGTTTCCGGATTGCCGCCGTATCCATGGACGAAGACGAGACTTGAGAAATGTGATTAGCCACGATATCGCGATATCATGAGCACAGCAGCCCAAGACGAGGCTGTATCGACGAGGCACTCACTCAACGTGCGGGCTTGCGCGGGAGAGCCATATCAGTTCCAGGTTGAAATGCACCATGTCAATACGCTGCGGATGATTGCCACAGTATGTGTTTACTGAGCCTTGAGCAAAGCAAAAGGCGAATGAACAGTCACGAAGCTCTCCAAAAGACGAACGGTGAAGAGGACAATTTGAGGCAGGACAAGATTGAGGTGATGCCCTCGCACAGGTGTTTTACAAGCTGAAAAAAAAAAGGAAGAAGAGCCGCTTGCCAGTCTGACGATGATGCCTAGCTGAGCCTCGAGCTGAAAAGCCGTGGTAGGACCAGAAGGCAGCCAGCCCTCTGCTATTGGCTGCATGATGGATTTGTCGACTAGCTAGCTGCCTGTAGCGCGCGGCCTTTGAGGCAGAGAAAGGCATCCATGCATGAAGAGGAAGCGGCGGGTATCAGATCAGCGTGAAAGGGATTGATTGATTCGATGGATGCCTTGAAATCATGCGGTCGCAGGTACATGTAGGAGCCTGAGAGAGTTGATGCTGCGAGAGATTGACCGACGATGATGACCAGGGAAGAAGAAATAAAAAACCAAATTAGAAATCAATAGTCAAAAGCCAACCTAGTCAAGCAAAATCCAGCCTCGTCTGACGGCGGCTCGTGCGTTCCAGATCCAGGGGAAGCGAAATCGAGTGTCTCTGGCGACGGAATGATGTGCAGAGTCTAGACTCTGAGCGACAGCCGACGGCGATACGAAGCTGCAAAAGGCGTCCCATGGCGGAGAGAATGAAGCGAGACGGTCGGGAACGGGGCTCCGCATGTGCTGCAGCAAGCAGGCTCTTAGTGGTCGAGGGGGCTGCTTTAGCGGTTCGAGACGGGCATTAGCGGAGTTGGCAGCAAGTAGCTCCGCTGTAGCTCTTTGGTTGCAGGTCTCCATCGCACCAAGTCCACATATGCAGTCCACGCTTCATGCTTCGACTGTCCCGTCTGTTGGATGCCGGTGAGAAATGACTGGAGGCTGCTATTGCAGTGACTCTACCAGCATGAATGCGACGCTGGGGCATAGCTAGCGCCTGGAACCTGCATGTGCGGGCTTTTGAATCTGACAATCACTCGACAGAGTTTCGCTTCTACCCCGCTTGCGTGCAGCCGGTGCTTTGAATCAAACCATTTTGATGCATCCATCGCCAGAGCATGGAGAGCGGGTGAGATATCCGGAGTCCAGCAGGAACCGGTAGGAATGGAAGCAATTAAAGTTGTATTATATCACTATGGACAACATGAAAGTATAAATAAACTATCCATTGATTGATGATACAAACAGACATGGACGCTCTTACAGCATCTTGTCTTGGGTGCTCATCATCCGATGTCAAGGTTTGGCTTGACTAATATCCAACGAGTCAATTGGACGGAAGCAACGGCTCGAATCCCCCCATCCCTGTCCGCATTCAATCAAAATTCAATAATAAAAAAAGACAATGGCGAAGGCGAAGCAATGATATCCTACAGACGGAGCGGATGCTTGTTTTGATATGCATTAGCCAAGGAATGGCCTGCATTTTACTTTTGGTATGCATGAAACCCAACTAACACGCCGTGCCTGAGATTGGTTCGATTGGCCTCCCCCATGATAACAGAAACCGGCTTCCCCTCGCTAGATAGCAATTGCTGCATAGCTAGCAGCTCGACCGTTGTCTTTATTCATAAACAGCTTTGCATCCCTGATTCCCAAGATGCATGGATCGGACGGGTGGTGGTGTCTGATTGCGTCTTCTCCCTTGGTCGACGCTGCGGTTGACGCCATCTTCTCCTCTTGGTGCTTATCTCTCGATCCATTGTCTGGAGAGATACAAGAAGAAAGCCTGCCCCCCTTCTCTACGCGGATCTATTTCATTCCATTTTCCACCGTCATCTATATCGTATCTATGCTTGTTAGCATTGCGTCGTTGCATCTACACGTACCTACCTACCTTACCTACATAGTACAGACACTCAGCTGGGGGAACATAAACACTCTTCATTCCAACCCACGGCCACCACAACACACAAACTACATACTTACTCTCTTCTCTCAACTACACAACATGGCTTTCAAGCTGCTTAAACATTTTGCTCTCTTGTTTGTCCTCCTCGGCCTCGCCCTTGCTGAATATGGCGCTGTCTCCTCTGAAGTGATGGCGACAGCCATTCATGGTCAGCGAGGCGACAGCTGGACATATCACGACAATTCATCTACCTTGAATGCCTCCGCACACTCATCCACATCCGCCACCAAGACATCACCTTTCAGTATGGACAGACACCGATTAAAGGTTGGCTTGACAAACATCATCCTGCAGGAGCCCGGATTTGTACTCCTCAGTGTCTCGTTTGTGCTCATAAGCGGAGGTATGGTGTTTCTGTAGGCACTTGCGAGGTGCTTTGTTGTATTAGTACGTGTAAGAAGATTGTCATCTCGTGTGTTTTTCAATGGGTGTCAAAGGAGCTTTTGCGATTATTTGAGGCGTTTTGATGATGTTCGGAAAATATGGGAGGAAGGCGTGCTTGGTGTACGTGTGGCTTTGGGCAGCACTTGTTTGATCCGACGACGATGAATTATGGGAACGGGATGTTGTGGTTATCAGAACCATTGTGAGCTTTTTTCAGCGAATGCTACAAGTTTACACACCAGTCTGCAAAGTATACTCTATGCATTGAAGCAATTCTCCGCCATCATGTGTATTCGCCTGCCTTATTCATACCTACCTACAGGTAGGTAGTATCTACTTACCAAAGTAGTACCTACAAGTGTTTCGCCTGGACCTTTAAGCATCAATTGAAGCTATTGATGCCCGCTACCCGGAAGCTATCAGTGATGCTGAGGGTGTTTATCATTCAAGTACCATGTCAAGTACTACAAGGCACCTAGATGGTCATACACTTTTTGAACAAATGCGCTCTAATTGCTTACCATAGGGTAGAATCACTAACGATACTGTGTCTTGTATCGGAAGCTCGAAAGCAGAGAAGGAGGAGAAAATATATCCAGTAGAAAACACCTGTAAAATAGGGAATATAGCTGCTGCAGCGTGTTTGAGCGCAACATGCACAAATCTTATGCATTAGGTGCTGTAGGCAGGCCTGATATTTGATGCCAGTCCTGGCCGGCTCAAGCCAAATGTCAGACCTCAAACCACCAATTGGCGGAAACTACGTCATGGTCATGGGCGTACGGCCTTTGGGCTTTGATCCCGGCACGTCAAAGAGACGGTCGAGATGAAGAAACGCTGTTTGCGTGCATCGAGTTGTAGATGTAGAGAGTAGTCACATGTTCGTCACAGCATCTTGAGTATAGCTGCATGAACAATTTACATGTATTCTGTCTGTAATTGCATCTTGGTCTCATACCAGCATCAGGTACACACATGTAAGCAGGCAGACGCGGGCAGTATAAGTGCACGTGAATTCGACCAGCTGCACTGATTTGACATCAGCACGAACTAACAAGCTCTCGGGCATGAACCAACGCTTTGCAATGCACAAACAACCAACACGCAGCAAAGAGACGCTGTGCCACTGACTGGAGTCACATTGATTGGCATAAGGCTGCAGTGAGGACGAAGCTTGCCAGAGATCTGAGCGATTGGCCCACCCAAAAGCACCAGAAAAGGGTGGCGTGAAACGTCCCGGTGACATGCACCTTGGACCTTGGACCTTGGACCTCAAACTTCAAACCTCATCGCATTCAACCTTGAAGCTTCCATCCTCCTGCGCTTCCACCAGCTGCGCATCGCCTGCATCGTTTCGCCCGCAAGATCCACGATTCATATATCTACGTCGGTCCAGAGTCCAGATCTGAGATTGCGCTCTCGACTCCATCAAGCTCGCAGCTCCTGAACGGCTCTTCGCATCTCTCGCCTGTCGCAAATCCAGCAGACGACCACCATGTCGGACACGGCAATGGCGCTGGCCAATCTGCCTCCCCCCGAGTCCAACCCTGAGACTCCGTCGGAGATGCCGTACGTTGCGTCCTAGTAGAGCTTCAGAAAGCTCTTGTGCTGACAAGCCCCGGGAACCAGCGGCACGCCCACGAGCACCACCACGTCTCTGTCGGCCCTGTCGACGACCGCCATCAAGGACGGCCATCGCGGCCATTTCCACACGGGCCTCTTCAGCCGCGGCCACCAGCACAACCCCTCCGCCACCAGCCTCGAGGCTGAGCGCGCCGACCGCATCTCGCGCCTGGCCGGGCTCGAGCGGGTGTCGACGCTGCGAGCGCCCCAGCAGACGCCCAGCACCGGCCGCGCCTCGTCCCTGTCACCCCAGACGACGCCGACGTCGACGGCCGGCTTCCCGCCCAACTACCCGCTGACGCAGCACCTGACCCCCGCCTACTTCGACAGCAATGGCCAGCCCGTTGCCGTGACCAAGATGAGCACCGTCGGTACCGCTAGTGCTACCGAGAGCCATCCTAGAACGATTGGCGACCGTGACGAGGACATCCTGAGCACCGACACAAACTACCGCGAGGCCGGCTCCGTCACAAGCACCGGCGTCGACCACGATGCCATGGACGAGGATCTCGAGGGCCTCGGCGCCCACTCGACCGGCTTCGAGGACCGCATGAGCGACGACGGCTCGTCTCTCGTCGGCTTTGGCGAAGGCGCCGGCAGCACCGTCTCCGGCCCCATCTACCACCGCCGTCCGGCTCCCGGTGCCGCATATCAATGGGGCCTCGAGCGCACCAACTCGGGCATGAGCGACGCCAGGCGAGATAGAGACTCGTACATGTCGTCGGGAGGCGGCGACACGCCAATGAGCGCCGCGGCCGTCCAGGAGCGCCAGCATGCTCGCATGATGGACGGCGTGGCCACGGACGGGCCGCCCACGAACCCGATTACCCCAGATCAAGACGTCTTCGTCGACACAACTTTCAGAGGACCGGTTCCCGTGGGCCGCCAGCCTGCCAGGGAAACCGTGGAGAGGATCGTACAACGGCTGGATAGCGGCGAGTCCAGGGCGGGACCGTCGGGAATGGGCAGCCCAGGTCGAGGAGGCGACAAGCTGGGCCGGTTCTACTTTGAGACTGACAAACGAGATGACTAACAAAGGGAATGGGGGGAAGGTTTTATCATCTTTCTGTTACTTCTTCGAGTGTGTGTATGATTCTTTTATTTCTTTTCTCTTTCTTTTTTTCTTTTCAAACTGGGAATTCGGTCAGGCAGACGGCAAAGGACACACAGCACCGCAGATATCTTCGGTCTACGGCGGTAAACAAACACTCTGGGGGGGGGCGTTGTATCACTACTTCTATTCTTTCTTCTTCCTTTGCCCCCCTTTCCTTTCTTATTCGTGTATCCACTTTGTTCTTCTTCTCTTTTCTTCACTTTTCCCCTAGGAGTCACGTTTGATGTGTTTTGACGGATCGGGAATTTGCTTGCTGGGATTTTGGTAGCTGGGGATTGATCAAGGTATTTCGGCTGAGCCGAGACTGCTCTCCTACGTATACGCACTACCTAGGATGGAATGAGAAACATGTTGATAATTCAAAACATCAAGCTATCTATGTGAACTACAATGCGTCTGTTGATTCTAACAAGACGATAGGGATAAGTAAGGCACCAGAGTCTAAGGGAAACAAAAAAAGCTGCATAGCGGATAACACTAAGTTCTAATAGAAAAAACTGAAACCCAAACGAAGGGATTATCGACATCATCCTCTGCCAAACGGTAATCTAACGCATCTAAACCACCTCCTTTTAGGTAAAATATATAGCAAAAAAAGAAAAAAACTCTAAGGCAGCAAAAAAAAAAAAAGCAATGCTCGGGCTCAAAACGAAAAGTCCCCCAAAATCCAAAGGGATAATTGCGCAGAACCAGAAACGATGAAGGACCAACCTTTTGAAAACAACGCCGTGGACAAATAAAGCAAGCAAAAAAAAAAAGACCCCCCCAGGCCAACCCTCCCTTTCCCTCTTCTCTCTCTTCCTTTCCTCCTCCCCTCCCTCCCGAACCAGGCCATGTGCGATAAATGAAGCACTTTCAGTCCGCATGGCTGGCATGCTTACCACCCGTTTCCGTGAAAAAACTCCAAACAACCAAATCCCCAGCCATGAAAAAAAAAAAAAAAAGAAACCATCATCCTCAATACGAAATATGAAAGAAACTGCTGGAAAACGCCCCCTCCCCTCTTCTCCCCCCTCTCTCTTCTGTGATGATACTGTGTCATAGTATCTAAGCGTGATTGTTAGACTGGACTAACAGGTACTGGTTTTTCTATCTAAGCATATGTAGATAGGGTGAACTGCAGCGTTAAAAAACGTAAATGTTTTAAAACGCCGCGAGGGAAAAAAAAAACGTATATAGATATTGGAGCCGTTGGTATAGAGAAAAGAAAACGGCAATGATATGCTGTGTGCTGTTGAAAAAGAGTTCGGCGCTGTGAACCTTTTTGTTTTTCATATTTAAAAGAGTCTTTTATGAAAGAGGAACCATTACTGGGAACGGGACTTTCTAGAAAAGCAGAATGATTTGGTAATCAAAACTCTTCGAAAAGAAAAAGAAAAGAGGGAAAATAGAAAAATCGCCATGAGATATAAAAGACGCTGAAAAGGGGCGAAAATCAGTAGGGCCTCATCATGTGCAGGGAAAGTCGAGGCCCATTCGCCTCGCGACCCTTTGCCAATCCCAAACAGCCACCCAGTCGCCTTGATCCATGAGCGCCCACACTTCTTCAAGCAACTCCAGGACGCGATCGCAGTTCTTCAAGCCTGTATACCCTCGCACAGCCCTGACGGCTGCTCGGATGCGATATCGTTGGTCGGGTTCGAAGCAGGCCGTGCCAATCACCAGGCACGGGATCAAGAGGAGAGTTTGTGATGGATCCGAAGGTTTGAACGATTCCAGAAGCCCTAGCGATTCGTCAACTGCCAGTGTGATCCGCTTGTCATCTTGCGCCGGTCGACGGGCGGGTGGCGGAGATGAAGGCCGCTGCCTCTGTGCCTCGGATTGCAAGTCTCCTTCGTGCATGGAGTTGGTTCTGGAGGGATGGCGAGTGGATGGAGCGCTATGTGCCGTCTTCGAACGGGAGAAGGGGTTGGCCGCTCCCATGAGCGGAGAAGCAGCCGTGGTGCCAATGGCCGCAGCCATCGAAGCTCGTCGCGGCTGTGGGTTCGACGGCATGGAGGAAAACACAACCGTGGGCAGTGAGCCAATGGTGCTACGACGGCCAGGGAGCGCCGAGGGAGGGTATATCGTCCGGAACAGATAGACCCATAGCATCTGCTTGTACAGCAGCCCGACACGATCACGGCTGTCGCCAGACGGCCAGCGCGGCGTCCACTCCCTGATGGCGGCATCAATCTCGGCGGCCTTGTACAGACTGGTGTAGTCCACGAGGGGGTCGACGGCGTTGGCCATGTTGACCCGGATTGCGTTTCGAATGCTGGTAATCTCGGAGAGGTGGCGAAATAGCCCATCAGCGACTCCCAGCAGGCGTGGAGGATGAATAGGCATCGTCGGCTCCCATTCTTCCGATGCGAGACGCTCCGTCTTCTTCTCAGGGTACCAGAAGAGATCGTCGGCATAAATGTGATACTGGAAAAACTCCGTGATAAAGGTGAGAAAGTTTGAATCTTCCGGAGGTGAGTGCTGCACTAGGAACTTGTACGCCTGCAGGTGAACTCTGTGGTCGCCTCGCGGGTTGCCCTCGGCTCGAGTCTGGAGGAGCAGGCACATCATCTGGCCGTACCGAGCAGCCAGTATTGTCTTGTACTCGGGGTCGTTCTTGTCCGTCTCTTCATTCATCTCGGCGTACATTCGTCTCATGCCCTCGTCGTGGTGATACTCGGAACGTTGCTCTAATGACTCTTTGGTCGTGGATGGGTTGTTTTGAAGAATCTTCATGCCGTAAGGCGTGTCCCAGTCAATATGCTTGCTGCTAGCCGCAAGTATCGAGTGCATCAAGCCCTGATGCCGATTGGCGAGTTGCAGTATGATGTCCTTGAAGGCATTCTTGGCCTCTCCTTCAACCGTCAGCACATTGCTGAAGTGGTTAACGTAATGCTTCCAAAATATCTTGTCCTCGGTGGTTTCCACGCCGTGAAAGATGGGCTGCATGGTTATAATGGGTAGGTTCTCCCATCGCTGTCGTTCTACTGTGAGGGTTAGTTAGACGGTTCGGAGGCTCCGTGGTGTTTCTATGCCCAGATTCTCTGCTTTCAAATCTGGTTCAACGTACCCTCTTCAGCCCTTTCCCTGCCGCTCTTCCAAACTTGCTTTTCATGGTATCCCTCACAGACGACGGCGTTCTTCTCACAGTTCATGCCTATTGATTCAGCCATATGTTAGCGCGAGTAGACTACAATGCCTTGAGGAATTTGAACGGAGCCTGCGTACATCTTGGCTTTGCCTCATCACACTTCTTCTTGCGCTTCCTACAAGTGATGCACCCAGTCTTGGAGCGGCCCTTGGTAACTTTATTCGCACTGACTATCGGGGTCAGGGGATGTTTCCTCGGTCGTCCACGAGGTCTCTTTTGCTTGAGCTGCGGACCTCCCAGCAGCTCGTTCGGCGGCGTTTGCGACAGAGGGGCTGCGGTTACGTCCTCCAGATTGATATCGTCGTCGATCGGTTCTAGTTTTGGAATGGCGAGTGCTTCGTCGGAGCCCTGCTCCCATTGCTCCCAATCTTCTTCGCCCTCGTCCGGATTGGCGTAGCCGGCGTTCCAAGAGTCTACACAAGACGACGACGACGATGCAGAATGATGGGCCATGGGTGGGACAGACGAGTTGTCCAGGTTGGCGTCGGTATTGGAGCTCACAGGCGAGAGCTGCCCCATCTGAAGAGGTGCCGTGGAAATGCCTGCTCTCCACGCGGTTTCGGTAGGAGACGGCGACGGCAGCACCATCCCATCATAGGATCCTTCATCGGGGGACATGCTGTTATCGTCTGACTGGGTAAAGTCTTCGTTCGTCACGATGGCGAGCGTGTGTTCCATTACACGTCAATAGCAAGCACATGCCCAATCGAAGCTGGCTCCCGAAAGAAAGAAGTTGTTGGCACGTGAGATAGGCTATTCGATGAGAGAGGCAGTCGGTGGGGGGAGGTAAGAGATATTGAGAGAGAAGCACCAGAGGCGGAAACCAATAGCGATTGGAGACGACAAAAGCTCTTCTCTCCCTCTTTGTGCTCTGTCACTTTTTCTTTTCTTTTTTTTGCCGGCCGGCGTACAAGTAGAAAATTGAAGCAAGGGTGGAGGCCCGTCAGGCAGGCGTGGTTGAGTGGCTGTTCGTGCTAATATCACGTTGGGTAATTCATCGACATCGGCACTGGAGACGATCAGAGGGATAGCTGGCCAGAATGCACGGTGCAAGCGAAGATCGTGGCGAGCAGAGAGAAGTAAGGATTGGGCGGCATGGAGGGGTTGTGGTGGAGGAGAGGTCTTATTTGGCGACCAGAGAGACAGGGTCCAAACGGGCATCCGTTTAAATCATATACATAAGATCCTCTCGTGAGAACCATCCGTCAATCGTGTTTGGGCCTCTCTGTCCCCCCCACAGCCGTCCATCTTGGCCCCCAGGCCTGAACGAGGTTGGGAACACACCACACCCAGGGAAGGGGGCGTGTGGGATTGTCGAGGAGCGCGAAGCTAATCGCAACCTCGCCTGCACTCTGGACAGTACGTGTATGAGCAGTCGCCGTTATTCCCCTAATGCTGCTACGACTCAAGAGCTGTTGTGCCGTCGCTCCCGTGGACAGACGATTGTGATGGGGGTACAAGCCAGCTTTGGGCTTAGGATTTGGTCGATGGGAGGAGCAGTAGATGACATCTAGACGGGGTTCGAGGCCTTGGCGCTCATCTCCACCTCCAAACCCACACATTCCCTATCCTAGCGTCGGCCAGCCAGTCCCTGCAGAGAGACGTGGAGGTACTCCCCGGTACAAGAAGGGCCTGGTCGGTAGGGGTCGAGCTGCTGCTCGTTGCTCGTACCGAGTTGGAGCTGCGCGTGCTGGGGGAGGGACGTGCCGCACCCCTGCGCTTCTGCTGGCGCCGTGGTGTCTTTTTGGTCTCTTCTCAGGAGACCCCGCCTACTCGTATGTATGTAGCTGAACGATTCCGGCTTCTTGATGGCTTGTGCTAGGCTCAAGCGAGTTCTGGTTCTGGGAGCTGAGGCTGGGCTGCTGGGCTAGTTGCGTCCAGGGAACGAGATCCAACGCCGGCCTCTGGTCTGGTGAGAAGAGCATGGGTTGCGGGACCTTGACGCCCAGTGTGCTTCGGGAATGTGGCACGCTATATGGGGAAGCCATTGCTGACGCCATCTTCTGGCCCGTCAACGTGCAACGCGGTGTCTGGGAGAGGCGTGACGGTGCGAGCAGGCACAAGCACAAGCACAAGCACAAGCAATAGGCCGTTTTGCCCACAACTGCTCCCCTCAACCCCCCGGCTAGACTCTGCGGCGAACAAGCATCAGAAAGGTTGCTTCCGACATAGCGTCCTGTATCATGATATCATTGCTCGCAAAAGCACAGGGTGTGTCAGGTAGCTGGACATGATTGATTTGTGGACGGGGGGTGCGGGCCAACGTCCCCGCCGCGGTTTTGCTTTGCAGCCCTACTTGTACTCGCATTCTGGCTCGTTGTTTAAGCAGCCAGCGCGCATAATCGTCGTCGTTGTCGGCGGCGGAAATGCTTTCCTTGTCCTGTCCTCTCGCCCGTCTCCTCACACTCTCCCAGGAGCCATTCGCCGTTGCCGTTGTACGTGTGCGTGTACGAGTAAGGTAGGCGTGTGAGTGTGAGTGTGAATGTGAATGTGAGCGAGAGAGAGAGTGTGTGTGTGTGCCCTTTAGGCAGGGACACAGACAGGCCGGTCGATGTCTGGTCGAAGCGGCGGCGCATCGTTTCAGGCCCAGACCGACAGATTGATGGCCTCGATGGGATTTGATTAGCTTGTTAGCGGCTGGCTTATTTTTGCCCTTTTCCCTTCTTCTGGCCGCGTGTGGCTGTTGCTGGCGTAACGACTTCAGCCAAGCCCGAGTCGAGATGCTTCTGTCGTAGCACCTACTACTGAGGGACAGGGATTGGTGCCCGTCGTCCTTGGTCCGGCGCTGCTGCATGGCCCGATATCTGCACTCGGGCTCATCCTGCCCGTGCCGTATGCTGTTTCGAGGGATACCAACAGCCGTAAGCTCAATGTCTTCGTACTTTGTATATACTAGTAGCACTCCGTACGGCTATCTTTGGGCCATTGTCGCCGAGAACTGGCTGAACCGAAGTGCCCTGTCATGGCACTAGAACGGCTCCTCAGGGCTCGGAGCTAATTCAATAGCGACCCAGTAATCGGCGGCACTCCCTGGCAGGTCGTGGCGTGATGAGTTGACGAGAAGAACCATGGCCGTCTCGTCGGCTTTTTCCCCCTTCATTCTTTGGTCTGTCGAGGTCAAAGGGAAGCCCTTTCCGGGGAGGATTGAGGATTGAAGCTTGGGGTTTTCGCAAGGCTGCTCAACCACTGCCTCAGGCTATCAGTACAGTACAGTACAGTACGAGGACTCACACACTAGATGAATCTACATACTGTGCCAAGTACTCTGAAGCAACTGCAGGAAAGGCAGCATTAGCACGAGATTCGGCGCTTCAGGGCATTCAACTTAACCGTAAATCCGTACATTAGTACTCCATACCCGAGGTACTTACCTCCGTATATGTAGGTACGGGCCGGCTTTATGTAGCAGCAGCAGCTTGCCTTTTGATGCTGGAAGCTCAGGCGTCGTGTCTTGCCTGTAGCAGTTGGTCCGAGTCCTCGTAGGTCCATCAATGCTTGTGATATCCTCCACCTGCAGGGCCTTCTTCGAGTACACGTGCACGCATGTAGTCGCATATCTGCCTTTGCTCATACGAAAATTGCCAACTGGCCTAGTTGGCTGATATCAATGATAACAATCTGCCCGTTCCGGCGCCTGCAATCAGTCTGTGCAGACATGTACGCCCAGTAGTTGACACTATCATCGTGGCCTCTCGTAGGCGCTAGCCGGGGGCCCAGCAAGTTGGGCCTTTCTCCCCTCTCATATTACCGCCGGGCCAAAGTCATAAACGGGCTGGTCTCCGGGCTACGGAGCTTCTCGTTGCCGCCAACCAGAGGATCCAGGACGATCACAGCGTTGCATCGCCCAGACGGAGAGGTTAGTGATTTTGGTTTAATTTGTACCTGGAGGACGGATACAGTAGGTCAGGCAATGGAAGTGCGGCGCATGCGGGATGATGATCGAGGAGCCGTCCCCGAAATGCAATATCAGCATGCCGTCTCCGTGCCTGGAGGCTGTGTAACCAGTGTCTCGGTTTCTTGGTTATGCTTCTGGCGATTTGAACTACATGTACGTGTCCAGCCATTTTGCCAACACTGACATGCGCTACCTAGGTCGAGATTCCATCGCCTCTTACGCACCGCGTACATCATGTATGTACATGTACACCACGTCACAGCCTGTCCTCGAGCGTGATCAAAACTACCGTGCACGAAATGAGAGCGTATCCGTACGTACGAGGTCACGATCCGTCCTGGACTGGAGCCCCTGAGCTGAGCCTCCCCCGGCCCACGCGGGCTTCCACGAGGAACACTCTGTAGATCATTATCTTATCAGCCGCCTCAACAACGGCCCATGAGCCCACCGTGCTGGACCTATTCGGACATACAAGGCAATCCTACGGTACGCATGCCTGTGCCCATTCAAAGCTAGCAGACGAGATCGAGCGGAGAAGGGCCATCAGGAGACCTGGTGCTGCTTGTGCTAAATTCAAGACGGTACGCTCCGAGCAAAACCCCCACGAGGCGTGGGGCCGACTGATCTGTGTTGGCCGCTCGGAAGTCGCAGCTGTTCTGCAAACGAGGAGATTGGCCAATGCTGAACCCTGTCCAGAGAAGCAGCGAATACGGTTTCTCCGTTTAAAAGACGACAGCCCAGACCCCGGTCCAATCCAGGCACGATAACAGCCGTCTCCACGACTACCTACTGTACATGGACTTGTATACCGTACGAGTATCGTATACTAATTCGTAGGCTGAGAGGAGGGGGAGCCTTCTCTTATTGGCAGCTGAGCTGAGGACACAGCCCAACACGATGGAAGAGCTTACTACTTACTACTCGTACGCGTATGGATTCAGTACGGAACGGCTGTGGATGACATGTTGCTGTTGGCAGCAATATCACGCCGGCCCGACGCTGCTCGTGATGCGTTATACGCAACTGATCGTTGAGGTCCTACTTTCACTGCTTCAGTACAAGTAGAGAGCATGTCCCACGAGCAATTCGAGGTCAGGGAACCTTTGAAGCATCTTGTCATTATGAGTTGTTGCCACGCGTCCGTAATCCATCCGTATAAGCCGTCCGTCCCAAACCGCACCGCCGAGACTGCTTCTCCAGACGACTTAAACGACGCCCCTCCCCAAGTGAACCGTGCCTCAAGATTTCACCAGCGAGCTTAGCTAGCGACTGTTTAGAAGCGGGCGCAACGGACCGTGTAGAGACGCTAACGGCTGAAGCCATCATCTGGTCCCCGCAGTCATCAGCTTCCTGACGGCGATCGTGTTAGTGCTGTGGCCTGGGTACTCCGTACTAATCCCACGGAGGAGAGCCTCGAAGCTCGCAAGGTGCTACTACTCCCAGGTAGTTACCTACCACTACCGTAACGATTCCGGCACGCCCAATGGAACCAGTCCAGCCTTTTGACGCCAACTCTCCCCCAGCTTACAGATTTTAGCCTCTATTCTCCACGGCTCGCTCGACCAGTAGACGACTGCATTGCCGAAGCTCCAAGGTCAGCAACGCTGGCAACGAAGGACATGTCACGCTATGAGGTGGACAGCTGCCGCCTGCCAGCCGCAGTGCGGTACTCGTATGTTGTTGGGGAGTAATGGAAAGGCAAAAGGCAGATGTAGAAACGGAAACCGTAGCATACAGGTAGGTAGGTGTAGGTGTCAATACGAATCAGCGCAAGTGACAGGTTATCAATCACATCCCATACAACCCAGTGGTATGTACTCGTCTGTAGGAGTGTTGCGTGCTTATCTAGTACGCTGCTCCGTACTCCTTCGTACATAACATGATACTTGTATCCGTACTGACTCCTTGTCGGGCTTCCCGGAATGGATACTCTTTCCGTCAAGACTTGGCTATGCCGAATCCACCCTCTCAGACGAGCTTCTTACGGTCACATGAGACGATTCCCCGATATTGCCCTACGGGTAAATACACCTAGAAGTAGTTACCATCTATGTATGTCAATTCTCATCCCGACTCGATGCCCTTGAAAAAAAAGCCACGATGGAGGGGCACCTCGAGTGGCCAAATTAGGAGAAGATGACTCGGGCTTTTTCTGGCCTCAACTCTTGCCCACTACTCGTACTCATACGCTGCCAGATCATATACTAAGTGATCACTAGATGCCCTTAGCATGTTTTTCAATCTCCACTCGCGAAGAGATGCTCAAACTAGCGTTACTAGCACTGCTAATTTCAACACGCAACAAGGCCTAATGATCGACGCTCCCTTGACACGATGTTCCCCTTTTCAACTTGCCAGTGGTAAATTGAGGCTAAACAAGAACAACTTTGGCTGGAGATAGGGAGCACTGCTTTCAATCGATTAGTGTGGGCTAGACAGATCCTTCCACTAGCCAGCTGTATCGTATGCCGGGGGCTTCGCTCTCTCTTTTTCTCTGTCTCGCCCCAACACACACACACTCACACACTCCCACGCCGACAGCCGCACACTCACATTCTCCGTGGGTCTCTCTCATGAATTCAGTTCGTGGCCAAGGAATTCGCATGGTGGCACAGGGCATTCTTTCCTCCCCGCATTCCGAGGAACATCGAGACGCCGGCTTCGACGGCACAAGGAAGCAGCATTGAAACCTCCGTCCCCCTGTGTAACCGTCTGGCCCCAGAAAACAATGCCGAAAGGACCGCCCTTGCGCGCCTCAAACGGCTTAGGCTGCCATGAGGCTGGCAATTGGGGATTGAATGCCTACGTGACATTGTCCAGGGCGGCTAAGTGGGCTTTTGGTACGGAGATTTACCTGGGGGTACATGGAGACACGAAAATATGACTTTGATCCTCCACGCCGGGCTCTTGGATTTTAGCAATCGCTAGTATAACCCTGACCTTGGCACCCCGATGGTGGCAATCTAGCCTCTGGTCTAACTCTGCTAAGAGGATCCGTCTGTCTGTCCAGAGAAGCGGTAATCGAGTGACCGCAGAGTGCTGGCATTCATGTGACTTGCTAGGGGGCAGCATTTATGCGCCAGCGCTATACCAGACGATGCTAAGATGAAGAGTGAAAAAAAAGAGAGAGACGAGGTTGCAAATTATAACCCCCGTTAGCATGGCGAGTAGCATGATGGCGGCGTCCAGTAGCGGCCACGCCGTTGTGATTGATCAACTTGGGCACAGCTTTCAATTCCAGCTGTCCACGCTCCATGAGGCCGTAGTCAGTGGTAGTCTCATCATCCATCCATCCATATACAGTAGCTGGTGGGGGGGAGGAATCTCACAGCCTTCTTTTTTTTTCCTCTAATCCTCGTAATGATCGATTTTTGGGGTAAAGTGAAAAAAAAGTCAATCTCAACCCCGGGCTGCCCAGCAGAGCCCAATGTCTCCTCCTTTGGGTCATTGAGCGGCCAGTCTAGACTCACCGACGATAATTGAGTTTGAACGGCGGATAAACACCAATGCGGACCGCCCTCGCGCCGCACCGCTCAGCCCATGCCAAATCTCTTGTGGCAAGGAAATCAATCAATCAAAACAAGAACAAGTTCGGGGAACGGCGTGGCGGCCATGGTGTGTCTGGGTAGCTCAGAGGAGCAAAAGCCGGCTAGGCTGGCGCTTACACCAACGCTTTTGAACGGCTCGGCCAATACCCAGGCGTGGGAGTGGCAGGCTAAAGGAGCTGTTCAAGGTTGCTCAGCAAGGCACTTGCAACCTGGTGTTTTTGGAGTCGACGGAGTCCGGGACAGTGGGAGTGTACATTGTTGAAGGCGTTCGCATACGGCAAGCTGCAGGTATCTTCTGGACGTATGGCTGATTGCATCCTTCACGAACCGGCCATCATCTCTCAGTTTGTCAAAAAGCCCTGACACGTCCGGGGCGATGGGCATGTGAAGTCTCTCCCCTGTAGTGTACGAGTACAGAACGAGGACAAGCTTCCCATTCAATGTTGCTCTCAAAGGTTGGTTGCATAGCGCTTATATGCCGTATACTGTAGGTACATTGATGTCAGCAACCATGCCTCTCCATCTGCCAAGCAGACCATTGTTTAAACCCTGAGACATACATTACATGTACATGGCATAGATGCCTGCGTCGACGCCCTACTGACATGGAGCCGCGGACCGTCTAATAGCCCGAGGCCACGGAGGGATATACTATCGTATTCAACGACTGCCATTGATCCTTCAAGGAACTTATCCTCCGACAAAAAGACCTACCGAGACTGTCTTTGGCACTCTATTTTTTTCATGCTTGCCTCGTCGTATGACCTTGTTTCTCCCCTCCCTTTGCCCGACGATGCCTTTCCCAATGGGTATTATCCCACGACATCTCCAATTAACGCATATTAAAAAAAATAGTAGTATTAAAATCTATGCGGTAAAGTCCGCGATTGCACGCTAAAACGAGGCTCTAGATCGTGGCGGACCATCGCATGCCATGTCTTGATTCAGGACCTCGCAAGGGATTTCTTCGGTCCATGAGGCGGCCTTGCTCGTGATTCTGATGCCAAGCCCAAGCCAATCCGTTCATCACATCTCAAGAAGCCGAATAAGCGGATGGATGGCATCGCAGCACGTCATCGCGGTCCAGGGAGGAGGCAGAGACGTCCAATCTAATCTCGACAGAACATTTTGTTAGTTTTTTTTGGCTTCATCTCGCATGATACGTGGGATGCGAAACTAGGCTAGCATCGGGACACGCCTGTCATGGTGACTGACCACACAGAGCACAGAGAGAGGAAGAAAAGGTGTAGATTAAGAAAAAAATGCGGTGAGGAGATGTATCAAGTCCGCGCGGTTCATGCTCATGACGATGGACAAGGCACTAAAAACCACGGGCTGTGAAGCTCAGGTGGTAGGGCGGCGGTTTCAGGACATTTCGTTGGCCGAGCCTCTCCCGTCTCTCTCTTTTTTTCCATCTCCCTCGCAGTCTCACTCCTTTGCTAGTAGTACTCGTACCTCTCTGTACCTCCGAAGTAGAGTAGCACTGCTAAAGGGAAAATACAACACGGTATACAGTGTTGGTTTCCCTCGAAGAGACCAAGACAGAACATGGTCATGAGCTTTATTCGATAAGACATGAACCCACTCCCCACCCCAACATCAGATTTGCTGTCCTCCAACGAAACAGCGAAGCGTGACCGAGAGAAAGAGCAAAAACAGCGGCATCGTCCCGCCGAGGAGCTTCTATTCTTGTTCGAGATGACGTCGATATCAGCGACCCAGCAGAAGCCCATGTTGCCGGTGGGATTTTGGGGGGTTCTGCACTAAGACCGGAGCTGAAGTTTTTTGTGGGCAGTCATCCATCTCTTTCTCCATAGCATGTGCGCTCATGGATCCCTTACAGATTGCAGCAGCCGGCCGGGGAGAAGATTTTTTTTAATTCTATATGCTTGGCAGGCGAATGGAAATGCTGTGTAACCACCTCGATATTGTTCCCAAGGTGCTGTTTCAGCCTCGAAATTTGTCACAAGAAAAGCTGGGGGCGGGGGAGGGGGAGGGGGCCAAAGATCGGGAACTCCTTGCCGAACCGGTCAGGGCAAGAAGAAGCAAGAAGCCGTGATAATCCAACGTCGTACTGTATGGGAAGTTTACTTTTGTCTTTTTTTTTTTCCTTCCTTGTGATATCTCCGAGCCGTCTATCCATCTCTGCTTTCGACTTGGCCGACGCAGCCCTTCCGGCGCTGATTATCCATCTGTCATTGCCTAGTCTCCGTCTTAGCGGATGATCTTTTTTTCTCTGCTGGCCTGTCTTTTTTGGTGAGGCTGATCAAAGGGTCTTGGTTTGGCGGCATGCAGCCCCCCCCGGCGGGAACATGGGAACGAACAAAATCGCTGTGTGCGATGTATTACGTACGTGTATCGTGTGCCGTAGGTGTGCCCTTTGAGAGAGAGAAAGTGGCCAGATTTGCATTTGCATTTTGCATTTCCTTACGTTACAAGGCAGCTTTGCAGGTCGGGCTCCTCGGAGAATTACCACATCGATTTCTTCTTTCCCCAGACTTTTAAGCAGGTAAAACAAAGTTAGATATGGAGCACAACGTGGGGTCATTTGCATCTGTCATTGAATTACATGCCCGCATGCACAAAGACCAAGCAGACACGATGCAACAAGACTGCCAGCGGGAAAAAAAGGTGTGTGCCTGTGAGATTGTGCCTTAGCCCACCATCCGGAAAGGTGGGGGTGAGAGGAGGAATGAGCACAAGGGCAACAGTCCGGCTGGGACTCTCTCTCTTTGCCGCTGGCCTTGATGCCGGTTTGGCCTGGCCCGGCTTTGGGCTTTGGTGGTGACCGGTGACTCGGCTGACTGACCCCCAACTCTGGAGCCCAGCAGACCAACCTCCGCCATGTCCATGTATCGGATCGTATTTCGTGCGTGGCCATGATGATTCCATGCATGCCGTAGCGCTGGCGTGCTCGTGCGGTGTCTGTCTCTCTGCCAACCCCCCCCCCCCCCCCCTAAGCGTGTGCGGCTGGGATTCGATGATACACAACATCAAGGCTTTGCTGCCACACGTATTGGGCCGCTATCAAAGCCATGTCTCAGTTTCGCCCTCCGCGTGTGTCCGGGGTTCGGCTCTCGTGTGTGTTGGAGAAAAAAAAAAGGATGGCAGATGGGGAGCAGCAAAGAGAGAGAAGGGAGGGGGGTAAACCGAAATCCTGCCTCTGGCAAATCACCGTCGTTACCCACGCCTGCAAGGCCAGTGAAGGGGGCCATTTTGCTTTACCACTTCCCCCGCTTCCTTGAGTCGAACGATGTGGTTGCTTGGTGATGGGCATTGGGTGGGCGATTCGGTTCTGAAACACCACACCAACACGCGGATTCTGGTGGCCTGTTCCCCCCTCCCCATCCGACTCAGACATACCGGCCGCTGCTCATTGTACAGCTATACAGTACGCGGCTAGATTAGACACAAGTCAGGCTTCGAGACTCCGCAGTGGTAGTGAGTGTGCTGTAACATTACCTCATCTTTGCGACGGGCTGCGAGCGAAGCATGGCCGAGATGCTTCCGTTCCAACCCGGCGGGCCAAGCGAAACCGTCCCGTTCAAGGGTCCCTATTTTTTCCTCTTTCTCTCTCTCTCTCTCTCTCTTTTTCCTCTCCTCCCTTCCGTAGCCCTGCTGTTTGTCTCGTCACGCCTTCTCGCTTCAGGTGTGGATGGTCCGGGATGCCTGTTAGAGCCCAGTTCCCGCTGCTCTTCGACCAGGGTTCCGGGACGAAGTTTAGCGAATGAGGTTATGGCTTACTTACATTTTTTTTTTCCCCTTGTCGGGTTATGTCGCTGGATCGTCACTGCTGTATATGAAAAGAGGCATTTGATAATTTCTTTCTCGGCAGTCTCTCTGCCGAATGGACGGTGCCAAGGAGAAACCGCCTGCAGGGAATTAACATTGCGAGTCAAGTTTGTGATATCGTACGATGCCGGTGGCAACGTCGAAAATCGGAGCCAAGATCAACCAACGACATGTTTCAGTAGAGGTGCGCGAACTTTGTAGATCCCATCTTCTCCAGTCCGCGTCGGCCAGTCTCTTGAGTTTGTAGGGTTTGAAGGCAAAGGCGCCATCAAGCGCGTAAACAAATTCATCATGCTTCACATTAGATTCACAAAGTTGTAAATTTCAAAGCACCTTTTTTTCAAACTACCTAAATCGAATTATCTGGCTCTATCTAGCCTTTTTGTCGCGCAATATGATTTCCTTATTTCCCATTCCCATATCCCATTCCTTAGCAGCTCTCCTGGCTGAACTGTGTTGTGTTGTGTTGACTCGTACATACAAAAGATTAGCGGTATTATTAATTCTCCTTACGATTCCGATTGCGCCGTCGGAAGAGATTTCCCAGCGTCGTAGCAGGAGTGTTAGTGATCTTCTTGCCTTCAGGAGCGACATTCTCCGCGGGCGAGATCGGCGCGGCTTGCTCAAACAGGGTGTTGGGGCGAGCATGGGCAGTCGAAGGTCGACGAGCGCTGACATCGTACCGTTGGAGAGAGAACCGGTGAACGTCGTCGAGAAACGTCTGCTGTGGCATGTGCTCCTCCGATATGCTGTCCTCATAGTCGCGGTCTTGGCCGGTGGCAACGTCGCGGCCCCTGGTATTGGTCGTGTTCGCACGGCTTCTTCCTTCAACTACTGGCAGGATGGTCGCCTTGTTACCTTGAGCTCTGTGCAACGCGAAGCTGCTCACGTTCAGCGAGGTGTTTGGCTTTCTCTCCATGATTCTTCGGACCGTAGGCTGTAGAGGAGTATGGAGCCGTTGTGTGCCTCTGTCTGGCAGTGGAGGAGTCTGGAGTTGCTGCGTGCCCCTGTCTGGCACTGGAGGAGCGCGGTGCTGCTGTGTGCCCTTGTCTCGTCGGCGAAGCATCAGTGTAGCCTGGGCAGGGGCGGCAAAGGTAGGTGCCGTAAAGACAGGTGCTTCCGGCAACTGTATGAGCTTGGGAGGAAGGACAAATGGTTTTGCCGCCTCTGGATGCTTTTCCAAGTACGCCTTTTCATAAGGACCGACCCCGAAGAATTCGTCCAAATCGCTCAGAGTAGGGGAGGGTTTTTGTTGCTGAGACCGAGAGCCATTGCTTGGTGAAGCAGCACCATATATTTCATTCATAGAGCGGGAAGGTCTTGGTTCGTGTGTAACTCTCTCCGCGCGCTGATCTGCGTAGCTTGTTTGTTTGGCTGGACCGAGTTTGGATGGAGTGATGATGCCCGAAATGGAACTACTCGAGTTGGAGCTATTCGATAGATTTCGCGGGAGTATAATACTGTTCATACTCCTATCAGCCTCGTAAAGAAGAGATCCGGGCAGAGGCACGAAGCCAGATTCGTAAGACTTGATTTTCTCATGGAACTTCTGAGGACCCTCACTCACCAAGTTGCTTGGCTTGGGTGTATATATGAACGGCTGGATGCTTTGAAGAACATCGGGATTCATCTTGGACTTCAAAGCTGGCTCAGGCAAACTTCGCTTCGGCTTCGCGATAGAGGGCTTCTTGTATAGATTAAGGGGGGCAGGCTGAAGCTCTGGTTCCATATACTCGTTGGTATTCCAAATATCAGCCGATGAGGCTTGAATCTCGGCACTATGCTTTCTCTCCACCAACTGAACTTGGCGGGCGTCATCAACACAGAGGCGGCCGCCTGACTGGCGAAGGATATCCTGCACCATCTCTTCTGTGGTGGCCCTCGATCTTTGTTCGGCTGAGATGGGGAAATGCGTCAGCGAGGAGTGATCGGACGTCAGTGAGTTGAACGAGGCACAGCTGTAGCTAGATGGAATACCAGTGCGCACAGGTGATGCTTCACCAAGCTGCTCAGGATGGCGGCGAGCTGTCTGGGGAGTTTTGGGAGCATCCTCAGTTTCCTTGCTGCTGTTGCCAAGAAACACGGCAGTCCTAGCACTATCATCCGAATAGATGGAGGATGTTTCAAAGGTGTCATCACTGAGCTGCGGTGTCGTATTCTCAATGCTGTCTCCTTCGTCACGCACGGATTCGGTGACTTCTTCAGTCGGTGAAGAGGGATCAAGCCACGCGCCTCGCTGACAGATTGGGGGTGGCCACAGATGTCGATCGTCAGAGTACAAGTCTTCTTCTTCACTTTCGCCAGTAGACGAGGAGGACGTTGTTGGTGTGGGAAGAGAATCTTCAGCCTTGTCAATATTCGATACGCTATTTCTCACATCAGTACGTTATTTTGACTTGACAGGAATTCAAACTCGTAGGCTCAACTCACCAGTTTTGCGTCACATATTCGGGAGCGAAATGGCCCAACACCGGGCTTTCCTGGCCCGAATCCTGCACAGCTTTATGGATCTGCGGCCTGCCTAAAATCCGGTTTGCCTTTTCAGGCTCCTCGGATACCAAGTGCATCAGAGAGTAAGCTATAGTATCAAGATTCAAAGACAGGCGAGGAGGTTTAGCAGGTACAGATGACTTTCCCTTGACAGTCTCCACGGAGTCGGCATCCGAATCATGTCCCTGGACGAGTGGCTCCAAATCCATGGGCTTCTTCTCTTCACCACCATTATTGAGGGAAAACCGGCGTCTGATGGCTGCTGGAAGCTTGGGCAACACGAGAAACTCTTCCCAGCGAGGACCCCAGAGCCAAACTTTCCTAGGAGGAGGAAGCTCGCAAGGGCGCTTCTCCTTTTTGGCGTTGGCTTCCTCTACAAGATAGAGTCTTGTGTATTCCATGTTGGATAGCCGTGGTTGGCACATGCTATATCTGACTTCAGGCTTGCTCAGCGATGCTTGTTCTTGAGCGGCAGCATCTTCTTGCTTTCTCATGGCGCTGGCCCTGTCTACCGACTGCGTAGAAGGGGCTCGCTGAGTATACAAGCTATGTTGGCTGGTTCGAATACTTGCTTCGGGGAAGGATGACGTACGGAGATAGAAGCTATCTCGAACTTGGCCATGAGCGGCTTTGGGGCGAGTAGGCGGCTTCGGCAGCTTGGTGGTCGACTTGGCCTTCTCACCAGCAAGAACAGAGGCAATCTGAGGAAACGTTTTGATTTCTGGATGCGACCGCATTCGTTGAAGGAGCCTAAGACTGGTCCTTGTGATTGTTGCCTTCATCGACTCTGGGATGTCTGGTGTAGGGGGGACCGGCGGGATGTCATCATCTTGTCTCTTCTTTCTCGCTGGCAACTGCTTCTTCTTGGCTGGCAATAGCTTTTGCTTTGTCTCTAGCAACTTTTGCCTGGCCGGTAATGATCCCCGTCTCGTTGGCAACGACTTTTGCTTCATCAGCAACGACTTCTTTTTCAACTTTTTGCTAGGGTCAAAAGTCTTGACGTCAACCTTTTCTCCTTTGACAACAGTTTCGCCGCCAGCATCATACTAAAACTTGCGGCGATTTCTCTGCTTGGGGAGGAGAAGCCCGAGTTGGGCCTTTTCTCGTGAATTAAGATTCAAGTCTTTGGCAAGCGGGTGCTGGTCAAAAGCAGTCTTTGACAGAGTGGAAGTGTTTTTGACTCTCAGCTTTGGTGCAGAGGAATCGTCAAAAGCAAACGCTGCTCCGTCGGTTTTAGAAGGAGAGACCTCTCGCCCTGGGAGACCTTTCAGCAGGGGATTGGGGACAGGGGGTGCCGATGCCACGAATTCTGGCGAAGAAGATCTTTTTGAAGCAGCCAGAGTTTCCACCTCGCGGGGGCTCTGGGGAGAACCTTTGAGGATGGATTTGACCATGACCACGGAATTTGGGGTAAAGGAAGGGCGGCGAGATCCTGATTTCCGGCGAGAACATTCTTTCTCTGCTAGCTGGAGGACATTGAAGCAGAGCGACTCGATAGTCTTGAACTCCTCAATGTATTGAGCGAACGCTTTGTACGCTGCCTCGTACCTTGGTAGGCTGCACCAGATAAACAGCTTCTCTTGTATCATGGCTTGCTGTTTGTCGCTCGACGGGTTGTCTCCCAAGAGATGGTAGAGAACCGTGAAGCGGATGCAGCAGAGAAGAGAGTCAGTGCATGGAGCAAGACTAATGTCGTCTGAGTTTTTCAAAAGGTTATGAGCTGGGAAGAGAGCATTCACAACCGCCATAATCTCCACAGAAGGCTTTCTAGTGACTCTCGCTTGCTTCAACTCTTCAACAACCATCTGAAGAAGAGAAGGGAGGTTAGCAGTAGAACAAATGTGCGGCTTTTGGAAGATACTCACGGAGGCTCTGAAGCCCATGTAAAACTGGTTAAACTTTTCCGTGGCCTTTCTGTTCAGCTCTTGGATCATTGCCGCCGATCCAAAGGCAGGATGGCCGGCTCTAAAAATAAGAGGCGTCTCAACAACGAGTCGACGGCGCCGAAGTTCGACAGCATTGAGATCAGCGAGTCCATCGAGGACTCTGTCGGGAACTAGGCCTCCATCCTCAGGTTTCTTAAAGACGTTCAAAGTAAGCTCTCTCAGTTTGTTTCTGGGGTTGAATGAGGCCTCAGGAGTCTGGTGAGAGGAAAGTCGCTTTACGTGCAGCCGTAGAGCCTCTTGCAGTTCGACATCATTATCAAAGCCTCGCTGTCTTCGTTGAACTGTCTGCTCAAAACCAACGTGCCGAGGACCACATCCCAATGCCTCTTTGTCGACAAGTTCTTTGAGAGGATCAAGACCAGTGGTGAGCCACCAGTCCAGGTACTCCTGGGGAGTGAGTGGCATTCCGATGAGCGGTATTAGGAGTCAATGAATTGTGATTTTGTTTTTCGAGTAACGGGGAAATCAAATGTAACGAAAGGGGAGAGAATAGCGTAGAGGAAAGAAAAAGGAGAAAAAAACTACGCCGAAACAAAGATAATGTAGGGATGTTCGAGAAGAAGAAGAAAACGAGATTGAATTAAGGTAGTGGTAGTCGCAGATGGTTAGAGGTGAAGAAAGTAAGGTAGAGAGCAAAAAATCCCCCAGCCTCGAGGGTGCCAAGAGGAGGGAGGAGGCATGTGCTAATAGGCAAGGCAAACGCGTCTGGCGGCGGACCGTTCAGATGACACTCACTTCTGGCATGGGAGTGTAAGTGGGCATCTGAGTTGGGAGACGGACACGACAGAGACGAGGAGCTTGATGTTCCTCCATCACGATCACGAGGAGGGGAAGATGGAAGATGGAAATTCGGCATATAAAAAGAGGCATGTCCAGAGACTCAATTGGCCTGTTCCAGAGGCTCTGGCGGGCATTGTCACCTGTAACTATCCCTGGTCCAAGATCGAGGCCATCGCCCAGATGTCCGATCCAGAGCTGGAGCCCCGAGATCGACTCCATCGTTCCCACCAGGCAAGTGGCAGCCCACATCACGCACGGCCGCAACTGCAACTGCATGCATCGAGCTGGCCCCGTCACGTGTGTGGGCATCGAAGTGGTTGCCCCTCTTTTTGGATTTTGGTCTTTGTTTACAGGATTGTTTACAAAGTTGTGGGCTCGGTTGATGACGCGGCTGCTTGCTGAGTGGGAGGGAGACGGGAGACGCGTAACGAGCCCTGGGAGAAGTACGAGGATAGGGCACATGTACGTGGACATAGCAGCATCACGAGAGACGTATGAAGGCAGTAGAACGTTGGTGTGTGACAGTGTTGTATCGTATCTGTATAGTAGAGTTGCATTAATCAATACCTAGTACCTACTCGTATACCACTAACACAGCACTCGCAGCATGCATGGAATCCCACTATTGTAATCAATCGATCAAAGACATTCGACCCCTGCTATTTGATGACACGCGAATCTACAGGGCCCAAACCAAGCAAGGGATTGAATTGACCGATGCGTAAAATGCAACGCGCCACAAAGCTTAGGCTGGGGCCACGCACCAATAATATGCCCACCGGGAGGCCGCCGGTGCCTGAGCCAGCAATTCCAGCGAGCTGTGGGTGCTGAAGCCCCTTTTGCGCCAAGAGACGTCAGGGGCATGGCAACTGAAGACTTGGTGTAACACAGCAGCAGATGTATCGGGATTGCCAAGAGCTGCTAAGGGACAAAGGTGCAAGGTAGTTCATCTACTTCCGAGCGTCCCTCAAACCTCAAAGTCCAGTCTCTTGTCTGGCCGTGTACATAGTTTCAATCTCCATCTGTCAACGACTCGTCCAGAGAGACACGATGCTACGCCAAAGCAGCCGCTTGACTCGGCATATCCCCCCGTCCATCCCCAGCAGGCTGGGGCGCAGCGGCGCGCGACAGTTATGCAGGCCCCGGTTTTCCACTCAGGCAGCTCGACGAGACTCTGGTACGTTTGTTTATTACTGATACTACTATTTGCTTTGTACTCATCTCGACGTCTCTCTTTGGTGTTTGGGAGATGCTCGTGTTGTTCATGGCTGCAATTGGAGTCAATGGCTGTTTGAAAACGCACACGCTGTGCTGCCACCACGCGTCTCAAGTCTATGTGCAATCGGCAGTCTCGTGACCGAGCAGTCCGTGGCTTTATGTAGTCTTGTCTTGGAGTCGCTGCGTAATGTCTAAATAGTACAAGATACGGTGCCCAGTTTCAATCAACTAACACCACTTTATTCATAGACGAGGGATCCTCACACTCATCCTCTCATAGGCGTCAAGATGCAGCCAAGGACTCTCTACTCAAGAAGATGGGCGAAAGTGCCGCCACCACATTTGCGTCCATCTTCGTTCTCGCCTTCGGATTTGCTGCTGCGGGCTTCATCTACCATAGGAGCTACAAGATGCTCGTCTTGAAGAAAATGACGCGCGCATTCGAACCAGGCGACCCGGTTCTCGACCTGGCGACAACCGCCAAGGAAGTGCCTCGAACAGTGGCTCCCGAGGATGAGCATTGGGTCCAACGCCCTGAACAGGAGCATGTGGACAGAATCATTGACGGCAGAGAATCCGGTCACTATTATCTCTTTATGGGAGAGAAGGGAACTGGCAAAAGCAGCATGCTCATCGAAGCCATGCGTAAGAGTGACGGCGATGGCGTGGCCATGTTTGAAGCCCATGCCGACACTGAAATCGTAAGAATACGCCTAGGAAAGGCTCTCGACTATGAGTTCCACGAGGACTACATTGGAGGTTACTTCAGCGAACGAGGCCCTCGTGAGACCACTGCTCTGCTTGATATCGAACGAGCCTTGAACAAGCTAGAAAAGGTGGCTATGAAGCTCGTCCAAAAAAGGAGAAAGCCGCTCGTCGTCATTGTAAACCAGCTGCATCTACTAAGGAACAACGAAGAAGGCAGAGATCTGATTGAGCTTTTCCAACAGCGCGCTGAACAGTGGGCAGCGGCAAACCTGGTCACGATGGTATTCAATACTGACGATTACTGGGTGTACGAGCGACTAAAGCTCCTAGCCACTCGCATGGAAGTTCTCGCCGTTACTGATCTACCCAAGTCCCAAGCCATCAATGCCCTAAGGAAATACCGTATGCGATATTTCAAGGAGATTCCAAACCACCACGAGCTCGAAGATGTATACGATCGCATCGGCGGCCGCTTGAGCTTTTTGAACCGCGTGGCAAAAAGCAAGGACATGGTTCGCACGTGCGAGCAGATCAAAGAGACGGAGAAGAAGTGGTTTCTCAACCAATGCTGGATCCTTGGCTCGGAGATGGACGATGACGTGATGGATCAGCAGAAATGGGCGGTACGTCTTATATCTATATCATTGCGCCCTAATACTCTGCTTCACGTAAAAGTTCTGCTCAGCTAACAAAATCGATACCCCATGTAGGCGGCTGCCATGGTTCTTGCTCTGGCGCTTGTTGACAAAGAAGAAGAGATGGCCAAAACATACGATCCAGTCGTGGGCCACCTGTTGCCAACATTCCCTTTCCACATAGCTCAGGAGCTCATGACCCGAGCCGACTTCATCCGAGATCTCGATAGTCTCAATCTCTTTACTGTCACCAGCCAGGCAGACGTTCGCGCAAGCAGTGTCCCGATGCATCTCGCCTTCAAGGAGATATGCGCCGAGCCTCGATTCCGGCAGCACCTGGAAGATACCATTCAGAGAATCTCTGATATCGAGAGTTTGGGCCGTACCCGAGAGCTCGTTGCCAAGGATCTGGTCCTTGGTGGCGAATATGACATTCAGACAACCCGCAAGGGCATCACGGTCAAACTGAAGCAGCCGGAAGAAAAGGACGACTAATCAGAACGGCGGCAATTACTAACAAACTCATGCACAAGATCAATTGGTACGAATAAAAGCAGCATTTGATGAGATATGTATCCGACGACGGTTCGAATACAATAAAGGCGACGATAATGGATGAAACGGGCCTTGGAGTTCGTTGCGTTTGCACAAGATAGCCATACAACGGCAAGCAATTTCCTTGAGTTTGGACACAAAGAGAGATGTCGGGCGACCTACCTTGATGGCGTGGTCAGAGCTGGAAGACTCTACAAAAGAATATTTCATTTGTCATTTCGAATATTCATTGTACCATACATATTTGGCATTACCTTTCGATTTAGTTGATTGTATTACCTAGCTTTAGATAATACCCTTCCATTGTGATTATAATACATATTTGTTTATACATCTTGTTAGATCGATCAAGCTTGGTAAATACATGTTCCTACGAGCCTCCCCATTTAGCCGGGTCAATGTGTCCTAGCCAGCACGGGACAAATAAAAGAATATTGCTGGACACTTGCTCTGAATGTAAGTCGGACGGGAGAATCTCGTGAATATTTTAACGTGCATCAACGAATTTATGCGTTTATGATTCCTTGACCTGCGCTTCTAGCCGCCTGTGTCCAATTTCCAATTTCCGGTGCGGTCTAGGGTAGTTACAGGGTAGGGCTGTTTTGGACTCTAAACCACCCCACTGCAATTTGACTGGTCAGCACACTATCGGCCGGGACTTTGGCGTCCCTAACGCGAAAGCTACGCGCGCGTGTACCAACTGTTAAGCTGCCTCACCGACAAGGCACAAACATCGCGGTTGGGCCAAGGCCAGTCACATCCCTCGAAATTCCAAGTCCCATAATATTTTTGGATCCCGAAGTCGAGACGGCCAAGGACAGGGACAAGCACGGCGAAAGCTTCATCCCCTCGCCACTCGCTGCTGCTCTCATGCCTGCCAACGCCAAATGGCCCGATTTCCAGCTGGCTTCCAAATTGCGCTATTTCATGGGCTCCAGTGCACCTGAGTCGACCCAATCGGAATTGGAATCGACTTCTTCACAGCTCGATCAAGCAAAACGCGAGCAACTCGAATCTGACCTGGGAGGCGAGGCAACCACTGCTGCAATGGCTGAGATTGATAACGCTCCTGTCGAGGAGATGGATGATGTTGAGGACTACGCGGACGAAGGCGAATCTGCCGACGTCGACGTCGACTTTGGCGATCTCGAAATGTTTGACAGCAACGCGTCACAGCTCCCGGTTTCTTCGCAGGCACCTCAGTCCTCAAAGTACGAGGAGCCTGAGTCCCCTACTTCCAGTGGGAGCGCGAAACGCGACAAATCGAGCAAGAAGAAAAGCAGGATGTCTGATGTCGCAGCCAATGACGAGCATCCCAATGCGGCCACCTCAAAGCGCAAGAAGTCGAAGAGAAAGTCTTTGCAGCATTCCGATATCGCCGAGGATCAGCCTACCGACACAAATCCAAACACATCGAGTGCTCCCACCGCCGGCGAAGATGACGAACGAGGACCCGATGCGCTTGAAGACGCCACCACCGAGATGGATGCACTGGATTTGGTGCAGGCCCAATCCGCTCAAAAGAAGAAGAAGAAGCGGAAGCCATCCGATTCCGTGGACGGCAAGCGAAACAAAAAGAGAAAGGGCATTGAAGATGCCCACCCGATTGTTGAGCAGACGCCAGACGAGGCCGAGAGCCTGGATGCCAGAGACACTGCCGCCAGTCCCCAACTCGGCACTGCGATTGAGGACAATGTCGCCAATGCCGACGAGCAATTGTCACCTAGCGTTGCTCGTGCTCGTCGTCGCAGCCAGACGGGAGAGGAAACTCGCTCGAGGGAGAATAGTGTACCTTTCCGAGCTCAAGTTGCCCCCATGGCTCCCATGGCAATTGATTCGCTTCCACAAGAAGAAGCCTCAAATGACCAGCAAGAGACATCTGGTGACCACGTAGATGATCGTGATGACGAGGAAATGCTCAACATCGCGCGAGAGGTATGGAGAGAGCACAAGAGTAGCCAACATGAAGCGGGCAATGGGGCAAACGAAGCGAACCTTGACCAGAATGCATCCGGCGTCAACGGCTCTGGAGATTCTGCTCAAGTAGAGGAGCAGCCAACGGAAAGCCCAGCACGACGGCGATCTACGAGAACAAAGGTGAAACCAGTGTTGCTTGTGCAGACCATGGAGACCAAACCAGAGACGCCTTCCAAGAAGAACCGTCAGGCACTTGGAGAGCTGCCGTCCCCCTCTGCCAACACGCCAAAGCCAAGAGCACGAGCTAAGCGTGCTACTAAGAAACAGAAGCAGCAGCCTTTGCAGCCCTTGGAAGAGGATGCTGAAAACGCAGAATATGAAGGGCCACCGGCGAGAACAGGCGGTTCGGGAAATTACACGCAAGGACGATTAACGGAAGCCGAATTCGATGGCATAAGCCGCGTTATTGAACAGTTCCGAGACGAATATGGAATGACACAAGCTGAAGTCAATCAGGTAAGGCCCAGTTGCACCGTGCCCGCCATGTTCAAAACTGCTTTTTGCTGCTGGCTAGAATCAAATTACTTACCCTGTATTCGAAAAATAGATGATCCAAGCACCTGGAGGTACAACAGCCGGCGATGCTCACGCACGCCTCTGGTACCGCCTCTTTGAAGTGTGCCCTGACCGCAAGAGGCAAAAGGTCATCAACGTGGCTCGCAAAAAGTACCATAATTTTGTCGCACGAGGAACATGGACACCGGAACAAGACGGAGAGCTCGCCCAGCTCATTGCCGTGCATGGAAATAAATGGTCCGACATTGCTGGTCTCATCAATCGCCATCCCGAAGATGTCCGAGATCGGTATCGCAATTACATCGTATGTGGCCCGTACCAACGTAAGGATGTGTGGAGCGAAGAAGAAGAGAAGCTGCTGGCACAAGTTGTCGAAGAGGCAATGGAGGCTATTGAAGAAATCCGAAAAGACCCCAAGAATCCCTATCATACGAAAAACATTGAGGACATACTCGACTGGCAAGATATCAGCAAGAACATGGAAAGAAAGCGGAGCCGGCTGCAATGCATCACAAAGTGGAAGGCAATGCAGAATCGCCTTTCTGGGAAGAAGAAGGACAAGAAGTCCGCCTCGAAGAAGAAGTCCGCCTCAGAGAAGAAAAAACGCCCGGAACCTGCTGAAATGCCCCTTTCGAACGAGGATGTTTCTTCTCAGCTTGATTCGGCCCGCCAACAACTCGCAAGTATGCATGAAGAGGAGCAATATCGCTTAGTCTTGGCTATCCAACAAGCCTCTGTGCTTTTGGACGCTGACATTCCCTGGGCAAAACTCCTTGATAAGAAGTTTCGCGGCCAATGGAGTCTTCACACACAGGTATTGCTCTGGGACCGTCTGAAACAGACAGTCCCCGGCTGGGAAGCTTTGACAGTGCTAGACGTTGCTCAGCACATCATCAACGAATATAACCGAACGGGAGGCCTACCTGAAATTAATGGCAGTGGCTACGATGATGATGAGCGAGAGAAGGAAATTCTTCAGCAGCTTCGTTTCGGCAGCAGGCCAGCACCAGCACCAGCACCGAAAAGTGCCGAGTTTGTCGAGGATTCTGGTGCAGAGGAGACTGGGGCAGCCGAAAACAACAAGGTTGACATAACTATTGATCCGGCTTTGATGGAAGCGCCACCGCCCTCACCTCCAAAGGCCACGCCCAAACCAAAGAAGAAGACATATGGTAGGAAGAAGGCGAAAAGGGCGATTCTTGACATCCAGGACCCCATCGAGGACAGCGAACCGGCTATACCCTTGGCTGCTGCTGATGAGGGTGAAGACTCAAATCTCGAGGAAGCGCAGACTCCCCAGGTAATGATACCTAAGAATTTCATGGCGAACAAGAGCAGAAAGGAAGAAAACGGCATTGCTGCTCTACCAGCGGAGCCTTACTCAGATAGCGACATGGACGACATGGAGGACCTTCCGGCTAAGATTCTGGCCTAATGAATGCCTATGCTGCCAGCGCCCTACTTATAATGGCGCAACACTGAGATTTTCACGGATTGGAGGGGTTTCGGGTAATGGTTTGGAATTGGGCATTTGCCATGCTTGAGTGCGGGTATTCATGGATGATAATTGTGGCTGGATGATAAGACGGTTCGGGTTTGATGAACGTGTGCATGTCAAACAAAGAATTGGCTCGATTTGTCTGTAAAAAGAAAATCAAGAATTAGGACGTCTACTTGCTCAAATTTGAGTAGGCTGCTGTGCGAAAATGAAACATGCTTAGATAGGTATCAGTAGATGCGAGCTCGATCGTGTGAATTTATTGATTTTTCCGTTTCGCTGTAAAGAATGCCGAAGCTCCAGCGAAGGCCGAGAGATGTTGGTAGCTGTGACAGTTCAGAGATGGAGTCTGGTTGGGGTTGAATCGTTGAGAGCCCGACTTGGTAGAGAACCTATAATATGAGCACAGAGCATGAACAATAGATAGAAACAATGATACGATGAATAAGAGTTCACATGAATTGCAAAGTGACTGTTGATTAATCTGCCATAGTGGGTTCACGCGTCTTCGGGTCTTAGCCATGAAAACCCCCTCAGTTGGCGTCTCTCAGCTAAACTACTGTTGCCGAGACAAGACCCGAGTGTGCCTGGCGTCTGCATCTTACCTCTAATTCCTAGGTATCGATTCAACTGCTGTTGGGCAGATATCGTGGCGTTTGTCATAGTGTGTGCTCGACCACTGACAATGGCCATGGAGGGCATGGAATCACGGCGGCAGAGAGTTGCCGTGGTTGGGCTGGGTATGTATTTCGCCTTTCCGGTATTCCGTCAGCACCAGTGCGGATTCCTTGATTTTGTCGATTCTCTTTGGAATGTAAGAGAGACGCAAGGAGAGCTGACGGCTGAACAGGGGCTATGGGGATCGTCGCTGTCAAGAACCTGCTGGAAGAAGGCTTTGACGTGGTGGGATTTGAACGCAGCAACTATGTCGGCGGCTTGTGGCACTTCACCGAAGATGAAGAGACGCTGAGCATCATAGAAAGTGAGTGGCCATGGCGCCGAGATTCTTGCCCTGACATACAGACCGGATAAACGCTCGCATCATTCTTCTCTTTGTTATAGTTCACGATATCATGCTTGGCTATTGTTCTAACTGCTTCCCATTTCCACTTCAGCAACTACGGTCAACGTGTCAATTGATCGAGTGAGTCTTGGTCAACGTTTACTGAATGATAAGATGCTCTCTTACTAACCTAGTTCGAAATAGGCATCCTTTACCGATTTTCCTTTCCCCGTAGGTAAGCACTGCTCTTTAGCCTTGATTTATGGCCTTTTGAAGACATGCTTTGCCAAACTGGCAGCTGAAATTGACGACGCGATGATCAGGAACCTCGACATTCTGTACTGCGAAGGAGGTGGAGAGCTATTTGGAAGCCTATGTGGAACACTTCGACCTCAGACCCCATTTCCGCCTCTCTACGAGCGTTGGGTCGGTATCCAGAGAAGATGACGGGAGATGGAGGCTCGACTTTGGAAATCGGCCGAGCGAGTGGTTTGACGGGGTTATCATGGCTACGGGTCCTCACATCAGGCCCATGATGCCTGAGCTCGAAGGCGCTGAGCTGTTTACTGGTCGATTGATCCACTCCAGGGCATTTAAAAGGTGAGGCCGTCGGCATGATCGAGCTGCTTGAGCACGCCGAGAGGGTCTAACGAAATCTAGGCCTGAAGTCTTTTCTGGGCAGCGAGTTGTCGTCGTGGGGCTTGGAAATACGGGAAGTGATATTGCAGATGCACTTGTTGGCCATGCATCCCAAATTTCGATATCACACCACCACGGTGCCGTTATTGTATGAATTTTTCCTCTTTGGTTCTTTCATCTCATTTGGAGAATGCTATATATGATGAACAGAAACTGACTGGCCTTTGAAAGATGCCTCGACTCCTCGACGGGGTGGCCGCCACAAGCCGCATATCGTACAGGTTCATCAACCTGCAAGGGACCCTCAACAGACTGTTTCCCAAGTTTGCCGAGAGGCTATACAACAAGACAGCTCGACAAATCATGACCGACGCATTTGGAAAGGTCGATCCAGCTTGGGGACTTGACCCAGCTCTCTCGGTTCTTGTGGCCAACCCGGTGATTTCCGACACGCTCATTGCCAACCTTCGATCCAAAGCGGTGTTGTCGATTAAAGGCATTCAAAGGTTTCTTGGAGGTCGACAGATCGAATTGACCTCTGGCGAGGTCATTGAAGCCGACGCGGTCATCTGTTGTACGGGATACAAGAATGATTTCGGCCTGCTGGAGAAGGCATACGATCCATCTTCAACGCCTTCGCCCAGCTGGCTACAGGCTCCTGGCTCGAAAAACCGGCCATATCCGCGACTGTATCAAAACGTCTTCTCCATGAGCGCACCTGATTCGCTGGCCTTCCTCGGCTGTGTCTGGTTCGTCACTGGTGCGTTTTGCCTTGCTGATCTTGCGAGCATGTGCATCGCGCAAGTCTGGTCCGGAAAAGCCTCGCTCCCGCCGCGATCGACGATGCAGCAATGGGTGGACAAGCAGGAGAAGAGGATATGCACTCTCGCGCAGAGCGGAGCCGTGATTCCCACTGCAGTACCTCCCAGCGAATGGCTCTCTTGGGCAGATAAAACGGCCGGTACGGGCGTGGAGGAGAATGTGGGCTGGGGATGGAAGGGATGGATCTTTTGGTGGCGAGAGAGGAAGCTTTGGAGGATGGTGATGGACGGTCCGTTTACTTCGGCTCTTTGGAGGTTGTTTCCTGGGAGGAGAAAGCGCTGGGACGGTGCGAGGGCGGAGATTATGAGGTTGAATAGGGAGGTTGAGGAGAGTAGAGCAAAAGCGAAGCTGTTGGCGGCTGAGAAGGCGATTAAAGAGAAGGAGGCTTGATGAAGGAGATGGTGTTGGGATATAGTTTTTGCAGCGATGAATGTTGGAGTTGGAAAAATGAGCGAAGTAGAGCAGACTGAAAGACATATATCTTCTTGCATAGGTACCTATTGTCGCAAGCACTTTTGAAGTGTTTAGGTTTCAACCATCCATGCCTCCTTGGCCATTCGTGATGACGGGCCATTTCGCTGCAAACACGGGGTTTCGTCTTTGTTGATTGTTCATGCCGTGAACCTTGAACCCTTGTCTGATGCATCGCTGCCTGCTGTGCTTGTGATGGTGCATGTGACGCTTCTTTGCTTTTTTTTATTTTACCGAGAACCAGGTAGTAACAAGCACATGACGTCTATTCGCGGTTTACAGCCTTTCCAGATTGAATCAGTTATTCATACTCGAACGCGCCGATCTCCAGAGTTGAGGCTCTACTAGTCTCGTAATCCCGCCTAGCATTGAAACCTGCCGGCCATGGGCTTCGGCACCGAACAAATGAACGCCGAATTGATGGTGGACAGAAGCTACCGAGTTCTGTGTAAGCTGATAGCTGAGATTTGATGTGCCAGGTGGGGGGCGCAGCCTTTCCGATACCCCTGCGCCTTGACTCTAGCCAGCAAAAGAGAGAAAATCTACTCGCTGGCATCATCAAGTCCAGTCGCTTCTCTCTCTGGTCTATGTTCAAAAGTCCTGGAGAAAAAATCCCGCCGCAAACAATCCGCCTCGGAACTGCGGTATGGATGGCTAGTTCTCATTCGTGATCGGTGCTTTTACAAGGTCTTCGGATTCTGCATGGCGACTTGGTCATCTTTCGGCCCATGATTCATTCGTCCAGGTCAATCAATTGCTTTTAACACAACAGCCGCAACCGAAGTCCTAGCGCCAACAAGCCGAAGCACGAGTGTGAGTGTGCTCCGTATATATATCGAGACAAGAGACGCAATGCTCAGAATCGAAACCGGAAACCCCTCACGCATCAATTTCAATCATTCAGCACAGGCGACCTGATCTGTCAACTTTGTTGATTTTATCTCTTCAGGCCTGCACAATGGCGTCTGTCGAGGCTCTTTGGAGCGACCTCACCTCGAGGCTGGACGAGAGACAGCAGTCTATTGCTGTCGCCGTCGTTGCTACTTTTCTCGTCCTCATTCTCACAACAAAAGCCCTCACCGGAAGCTCTACCACGGTGGACGCAAGCGGCAAACACAAGATTCCTGCATCGCCAAGCTACTGGCTTCCGTTTCTCGGACATGCGTTTTCCATGGCTCAAGGCGGCTTCCTGGCCAGCATGCGGAGTCGATTCCCTGATGGCATCTTTTCTCTGAAAATGGGCGGCAAGATGCACCACTTCGTCTACAAGCCTTCGCTGGCTGCGGCACTCTTGAACCTGCATCGCCCGGCTGCTGAGGAGCAAATGCTGGCAAATCGCCTGCTGGGATCTACTTTTGGCGTGAGCAAGAAGGACGCGGCCATTTACAACAAGATATTCCCCGAAGCTCTGGCTCTCTACAAGTATCTTAGCTCCGAACCGGGGCTTAGCGAGATCACTGGGGGGGCTTTATCGCAGGTGAAGCAAACTATTAATAGCTTTGTGACATTCAACTCGAATCCTATGGACCAAACCGAATGGGAGAAGATGGCGGACGTTGATGTTATTGAAGAGGGTGACAAAGGGGTTCCCACCACTCAAGTCGACCTGATGGAGCTGACGAGGAATTATGTCGCAACAACAGCGATTCCAGCCATCTACGGCACTGATTTTGTCGAAAACTTTCCCGAGGTGTGGAAATGGATGTGGATATACAACGAGGCTTTTGTTCTGTTGGCTATGAGCGTTCCTTCTTGGATTCCCTGGCCGCGTCTTCAGCGCGGAAAGCTGGCAAGGAGACGTCTTCTGGCATTTCTGTACGAATTCAACGAAGCCATGGACAAGCACCTGGACGGCGAAGAGGTCGACCCCAAGTGGCAGAATCTGGACAACGTCAGCCAGTTGGTCAAAAGCAGGATTGTGCTGTTCAGGCAGCATGGAGTGTCACTCGACGGCCGTGCGTCCTTTGACCTGGCGCTGCTGTGGGCTTCGGTTGCGAACTCCAACCCCCTCATCACGTGGATGCTCTTTGAGCTTTACCGGGATCCTGTGCTCTTGGAACAGGTTCGTGAAGAGATTGCGCCATATGTCAAAGCCGTGCAGCCAAAGAACGAGTTTGGATCTGCAGTTTGGGTGCCGCCGGTGCTCGAGGACATCGACATCGATGGACTGATAACCAAATGCCCGCTCCTTAAAGCTTCGTACGTCGAAACCATGAGGGTTTACTCTTGCGGATGGGCCATGAAGATGATGTACAGCGATACGGTGGTGGAATCAAGAGGGAAAGGCGGAGAATCCTTCTTGTTGAAGAAGGGGACTTATGCACACATCCCTCAAGAGCTGCACCAGTTTGATCCGCAATACTTTTCAAACCCGACTGAGTGGCAGGCCGAGAGACATGTGCGCGAAACAGTGGATGAAAGCGGCAACAAGGTCCTGACGGCAGAATTGGGAACGATGCGGCCATATGGTGAGTGTTTCGCTTCTCCCTTCGAAGCTTTGCCTTTTGACCCCTTTTACTAACCATTTTACACATAGGTGGCGGCTTGAAGATGTGCAAGGGAAGGCAATTTGCGCTGCGAGAGATGCTGCTATATGCGGCTGCCATTATCACCTTTTACGATATGCAGGCGCCCAAGGGGGGATCATGGAGCGAGCCTCAGACGAGGAAACTTGTTGCCAACAAGCATCCGAAGAAGCCGCTCAAGGTCTGGATCAAGCGGAGAGCGTTGCCAGTCGAGGGTGGGGAAAAGAGAAGATAGACGAAGATGGAGACATATTTGACGAATTTCATAGTATCTGTGCCTGTTATTCTGGGTCATCTTGGCCAACACCTCTGGGCTGTGTGAAGTTGTAAGTGCTGATGCTGTAGCTTGAGTCTTGTTGGTTCTTTTGTCAGCAAGTGATTCGTCGGAAATAAGACAGCAGCCGTCAGTGATTGCTCTTCCGTTGGCGCATGGATAACAAACAATCAAACAAACAACTAGACTAGATTCTCCATACGGGGCATTTCTCACCTACTCGTATCTCACCCAATCTGCGCATGTAATTCCGTCCAACGTCGGCCAGGCGGGCATCTCACCGAAACCAACTCCGTCTCCAGTGGACCAGCCGTGATGCCTCAGGTGTGAAGGATGACACCATAGCGTCGCCGGCTCGCGAACCGGAGCCGAGCTTCAAAACGCCGCGACAAGACAAGACATTGATATTTCTGCGCCAATTTGCCGGACCTGTCCAATTCTTTGAAATCGCATTTCTTGTGCGACTGTAATCCTCTGGAAGCCCATATTTGGCCCTCCAGCCCCTCGAGAACCGGCACACGTGCGCAAATCTCCCCGCCAAAAAGCTGCTTGTCGCGGGGGACTTGGATCTGGGCCGCTCGAAGCTCTCCTCCCTCTAGCAAACCCGCAAAGCTCTCTCTCTCTCGGCTTGCTTTCCGCAGCTTCAAGGATGTTTTCCCTTGAAGGGAACCTACGACAATGATCCCCCGAATTCTGCCTCGCGCGCCGCTGGCCTGCCCGCGATGCAGCGTCGCGAAGGCGCATAGCCTCCCGCCGTGGCTCCCGCAAAGGCCGATTGCTTCTCTCCAACTCCAACGACCCCTCCGGACTTCGGCGGTGTCTCGCCGCGAGCAGACGCCGTCGCCTATTCCCGAATCGCTGAAACCTCCCCCGACGAGCTCGAAAACATCTCCTGCCGAGACGACTATAGCTGCTGCTGCCGCTGCTGCTGCTACTGCTAAAGATGCCGCCAAGGGCGCTGCCAAGGGACCCAAGCCCAACAGTGATCCTCTTGTGAGCGTGGACAAGTCCGCAACGGAGCAGCGCAAGGCCGACTGGGCCATTATGAAGGAAATGTCGCGATATCTGTGGCCCAAGGGCGATGTGGGCACAAAGGTTCGCGTGGGACTTGCCGTCGCTCTTCTGATCGGCGCAAAGGTCCTCAACGTACAGGTGCCCTTTTATTTCAAGAGCATTGTTGATTCGATGAACATTGATATTGCCGCTGTCGGCGGCACTGCGACGACGGTAGCGGGTGCCATGATTATCGCATACGGAGCTACGAGGATAGGTGCTACATTGTTTCAGGAATTGCGAAATGCCGTCTTTGCTTCGGTTGCGCAAAAGGCGATCCGCGGCGTGGCTCGGAATGTCTTCAACCATCTCTTACGACTTGACTTGAGCTTCCACCTTTCCAAGCAGACAGGCGGGTTGACGCGAGCCATGGATCGTGGTACGAAGGGCATCAGCTTTCTCCTGACGAGCATGGTCTTCCATATTCTCCCGACGGCATTGGAAATTAGCATGGTCTGCGGCATCCTTACATGGCAGTATGGAGTCAAGTTCGCAGCGGTTACGGCGCTGACCATGGTTGGATACACGGCTTTTACAATCTGGACGACGGCCTGGAGGACAAAGTTTCGCAGACAGGCCAATGCCGCCGACAACCGAGCTTCGACCGTGGCAGTGGACTCGCTGATCAACTACGAGGCTGTCAAGTACTTCAACAATGAGAAGTTTGAGGTTTCGCGCTATGACAAGGCATTGAGAGAATACGAAAAGAGCTCCATCAAGGTAGCTACCTCTCTGGCCTTCCTCAACAGCGGTCAAAATGTCATCTTTTCTACGGCCTTGACTGCCATGATGTACTTTGCCGCTGAGGGAGTCGCTGCGGGAACTTTGACTGTCGGAGACCTTGTCATGGTGAACCAGCTTGTCTTCCAGCTCTCCGTCCCGCTAAACTTCCTTGGCTCAGTGTACCGAGAACTACGACAGTCTCTCTTGGATATGGAGACGCTGTTCAATTTGCAGAAAGTTAACGTCAACATTGTGGAAAAGCCAACTGCGAAGCCTCTGGCTCTGGTCAAGGGTGGAGAAATCAAATTCGAAAATGTCAGCTTTGGATATCACCCCGAAAGACCCATCCTGAACAATTTGACCGTCACTATTCCTGCTGGAAAGAAGGTTGCCGTCGTTGGTCCCAGTGGCTGTGGTAAATCCACCCTCCTAAGACTCTTGTTCAGATACTACGATGTTCAGGGCGGTCGTATTCTTATTGACGACCAGGATGTTCGCGACGTCACTGTTGATTCCCTGCGCCGGGCCATCGGTGTGGTGCCTCAGGATACTCCCCTCTTCAATGATACCGTCGAACACAACATCCGCTATGGCCAAATCGATGCTTCTCACGACCAAGTTGTGGCAGCCGCAAAGCGAGCCCGCATTCACGACATTATCGAGAAGTTCCCCGAAGGCTACCAGACCAAGGTTGGCGAGCGAGGCATGATGATTTCTGGTGGCGAGAAGCAGAGGTTGGCCATGAGCAGACTGCTCCTCAAAGACCCTCCCTTGTTGTTCTTTGACGAGGCAACAAGCGCGCTGGATACACATACTGAACAGGCCTTGATGATGAACATCAACGGCATTCTTCGCGAGAAGGGGCGCACAAGTGTGTTTGTGGCCCATAGGCTGCGAACCATCTTTGACTCGGATTTGATTATTGTGCTGAAGGAGGGCCACGTTGCCGAGATGGGCACGCATAGAGAATTGATTGACCGTGCTGGCGTTTACGCTGAGCTCTGGAGTGGTAAGTCTTTGTTCGAAAGTATCATCGGGACGAAATCATTTACTGACAATACCTATAGCCCAAGAGACTATGTTTAGCGAAGATGGTACGGAGACGAGGGAGGCGAAGGATGAGGAGGCGGACGAAGAGCTTACTGAGAAGAAGAAGAATTAGCCCTTTGCTTTCGTCATTGGAAATTGACGAGGTAGCTGGGCAGACATATGATGATGATATGCTAGCATGTACCCGTATATATATGTAAAATGATACCATAATCATCTTGATCGATGAGCACACCGACATTCGTAGCTGCCTCTTCTATTCATTTCTGCTTCTTTGGGCGCCACAAATATCCTGAATAATGTTGCATCGGAAAGCTTTATTCGCTTCCTCTCTATATGTTTAGTCGAAATAAGGATTGACCCCATCCGTTGCTTGCGTGTCGTTCGCTGAGAGCTTCTCTTGTCCGTCATGCGGTCTTCGATTTGGCGGCGATGGTCCTGATCTATATCCTCCTATTTCTATAGCATCAGCTGTCACGCTGTGCTATCTTCTTGTATGTACTAAGTGTTGATATCCTTTAGCATCGGCCGTCGATTTGCTGTTGGAACGGTGTTGGGTTGGCCGTGGCGGGTTCTATTTATTCACAAAAATGTCAGCGATGTGCATTGTTCTTCATTGTGTACCGTTGCTAATTTTGTACAACGTATCTTGGTTGCTGAAGGTAACAAATAATGAACAGTTTTGAACGAGACTCTTGTATTGTCTTGCCCTATTCAATTCGATGGTCCATACTGGTCAGTTGTAGGATTTTTTTTTTCGGAATCTTGATGCTCTGTATTCTCTATCTTCATAACAACGTTATCATCATTCGGTCCATATCTAACATCTTAGCATCATAATCTAGAATGACATACTCTAGAATAACTCGCGCAAATGGCAAACCCCAGATGATGGGAGTATTGCGGAAACCCAAATATCAAAACATCATTCATCTGCAGAATCCTCACTTTCGGTTGCCGTGCCCCTAACCAGCTTTTCCAGTGACTCTGCAGCTTTTCGTGCACCTCCCGCCTTCGTAAGTTCTTTGCCCAAAAGCTTTGCTCTCAATGCATAGCTCCCGTCTGAAAGGACCTCTGTGGCAGCCGTTCTGACTTGGCTGAGTGTCGGATTGTCCGTTCTAAGGTCGATACCGGCACCGCACCAAGTTACCCGAGCGGCTGTGTCTTTTTTGTCTTCCGATTGACCGGCGCAAAGGAGAGGAACTCCATGAGATAGCGCCTGAGTTATGCTTCCATAGCCGCCATTGGTGATCAACAGACTCAACCGCGGGAGTAGGAGGTAGTAAGGTAGCCAGTCTGCATAACGGACATTGGCTGAAAATCCCACTTGTGCCTCAATCTTTTGCGAGTGCGGTGACACCACGATGAGGAGAAAGGTCGGGTCGTCCTTGAGCGCCTGAACTGAAGGTATGATTAACGAAGTAGGGTCCGTAGCAAGCGTCCCTTGAGTGATTCCAACAACTCGTGAATGTGACACTGCATCCTCCCACCAAGAGGGAAGCTGTATCTCTGCATTCGGATCTGTGCACACCAATGGGCCGACGTAGGTTATCTTCTTGTGCTGCTCTGAGTTGGGATCCAGAGAAAACTCGAGAGTGGAGCATGAAGCTTGAATGTGAAGAAAGGGGCTGTATTGAAAGGACTCTGGCGGCTCTCCATATGGAAGTATTTTCAATCCAAGTTTGAGTCTCTGCTCATTAAGCACAGGAGCCAAGAACAAAGGGAGTAGAACCCATTGGTCAAAGAGCTGTAAGATTCCATTCATAGCCAGACCCAGCCACGAAGCAGGAGGCGGCATTCCCGACACCGGCATAGGAGCTGCAGGCCCTGAAGTGTAGAATGGAATCACCCCAAGAGTCGCATATACGGGGATTTCGCCAAGTTCGTAGAGAGCGCGGGCGCCACCAGGGAAGACATCGACAAGGAGTGCGTCGGCGGCGAAGTCGGCCAAGATAGCTCGATAGTCGGCAACTTGAGCCAGGAGACGCATCGCGTGTCGACTAAACTGGCGGTCGAGAAGGCCTGTAGAATTCTCGCTTTGAAATGATGCGTCAATCACGGCGATGGCTCGAGTCTCAACAAAGATTGCTCCAGTGGCTAGAACGCGATGCTTGTGTTCCGCACTGGCCAGCCAAACAACTTCGTGGCCGCGATGCACGAGGGCTTGGGCAACGGCCTGCATTGGGTAGACATGGCCCGCTGGGAAATGAGAATGAAGAAGAAACTTCATCGCGGCCGTCAAAGAGCGCCCGAGTCGAGAAACTCGACGGGCTTGAGAGGTTGTTGTTTCTGGGGCCCTTTTGGTGTATAGGCTACGTTCGCGGGGCTCTGGTGGTGTTTTTGACTGCTGAGGATTGATGGTGCTGATGCGTGAAGGATGGGTGTTGAAGAAGACTGAGCACAACAACCTTGAACACAACAGTCCAAATGGCGGGAAAAGTGCAAACGGTCAGGTTTATTTGACTACTTAAATTTCAAAATACGACTTGAATTTCTGCTCAGGAGCTCTTCGGAACGGTTTGTTGCGAAACAGGTTCTCTTGATGCATTTGACTGCTACCCTACTGTGGAAGATTGAATTGTGGCAATGGTATGGAAGAGAAGCCTTGGCAGAGCTGAAGCCGGAACCGAATCATCTCCCCACTAGAATTGTATTACTGAAAGAAGTATTTTCGCTTGGGGGAAATTGATTAGAGGGACGTTGCCTTCATTTTCTCTCCTTCCGAAGATTAATGCTACAAGGGTCACCCACCGTGATCCCCCTTGTCTACAAATTTAACAATAAAGCTGAACAAACATGACGATAGCTGAACCATGTTCTAAACATGAATACATTTAAGAAACTGTTTATTTCTTTGTTGTTTCCAAACGGCCCCGCCTCAAGATATCATGGGAGGAGATCTGTTGTTTCCCAAAATCATTCAATAGTCGACGCTTACTCTCGAGTAGATGGATAGATTTGGATCGAGCAATGAGACATGATACGCAGAGAAGAGAGATCGGGATTTTGAAACAGACAATAAAGCAACAGATGAGAGATCTACAGATGTAAACCTTAACATGGCCTTCTCTATTGCTGCCGTGGCAATTTCGCACAGGACTGGAAGCAAATTCATGTCTACCGCTGATGAGAGACGACACCTTCTGTGCGCGAGCGCGAGAAAAAAAAAAAGCTCTGGCCTCAATAGACCTCCAGCTGCCCCTGCTTCTCCAATATTCCCACACGTACGATCATATCCAAGCTCTTCAATGTTCGAGTAGCCACTGGAACGCGTTGCGACCGGCTTCCTCGTACCGGATGAACCTTGGCCTCGATTGGCCTCCTGTCACGCCGGCTGCTTCTCTGGGTGAGATGGCGCCACGCGAAGTGGAAAAAGATTTTGTTTTCGTTCGATGTTGGTGTCAGGGGATATGGTAATCGATGGAAAGTGGGCGAGATAGAGAAGTCGTCCTTCCTATCGCCCCCGAAGTTCTCAATCGAGGATTCCAAAGATCTCTTCGGTCACTTTCAACGAGAGCACTGTTTGCTAGTCAAAGTTGATTAGACTTTTGGATACGCGAAACAGAAATGGGACAATCAAAGCTCACCGATTTCAAGGGACCCGGGAAACCCTTTGACGAACGGACAAAGACCATTGGCAAGACCGTCACCCGTGTACTTTTACGCGATACTCAAGACAATTGCTTGTTGAAACGAGGGCGGTCGAAATTTCGGCTTGTAATGAACCTGGACCTATTGCCATCAAGGCATCAATACCATTCAACGCTGAAAGATGGTGACCACTGAACAAACCTTTGATCGATATCTTTTATGCAACATCAAAAGTGGTATATCTAGAAGCATGGTCATGGCGAAAAGGGAGGGAAAAATAAAGAGAGATCCAACGTGGAAGACTCAAGGGCCAGGGAAGGGATTACGAGAAAGCTCCAGATAGAAGATGTGCAGGTAGAACGGCGATGGAAGACTCGTATTTGGTGCAGAATAGTTAAGCAAAAAGAAGTGTTTGCAACATGGCAGCGTGTGAATGCAAGAGGAATGAAGCAACGGCAGAGAACCAAGACTCGATACGAAGAGGAGGAGGAAGAGAGAGACTCGCAGGCGAACACTAATGCGTAAAGAGATGACAACAAGGAAAACCGAAAGGACAGAGAAAAACCACATTCAGGTTTGGGATCAAATCTAGGTGGGAGATACTACAGAAGGGGGCTTCAGGGGGGATAGGGCCTGTAGGGAGACAGTAGACAGAAGAGCACATGCCTCACCTCTGATTTACCACAGGATTGTTTGATAACAACGGCAAAGCAACACAAGCAAAGAAATGGAGAGGCAGATTAGCAGAATACGAGACTGTCGTACAAATTCTACAGATATTATTGAACAAATAAATTGGTTCAGGTCTGTTGCCAAAGGAGAGGACAAACGGTGCTGGACAGAGCACAGCGGCACTCCACCAAAACTCCCCAATCACCACTCCATCGTGATATCACGATATCAACAATTGATGCACAGCAAAGTAGAAGCAGAATAGTATATAGAACATGGACATGACTTCAGGCAAAAGTGCAATGATATTACAGTTCGTGATATTCAGGGGCTACAATCTCAGGGGAGAAATAGAAATTGCACTCGACCAAGAAGACAACTACGCAAAATCAAAGAGCATCACCATCAACACCAAGATGAGTGTCGAGATGTGCCGACTGCTGAGGTCTCCTGCACTGCACATTCAGAGGGGTGCCGCGGGGGGCCTCACCACCAAACGAACAGCCTCGAGGCCAACGGAATCGCAAAGAACACCATGGATGGAATATCAACACACAATCACAACTCTGGTACCAAAGTACTTGCTGCAGACAAACCGAATCTCTCCAATCATAAATCGGATCACAGAAAAACAAAACAAATCGACGTCACTGCCCTCACTTCGTTGCCAGATCAGCTGTTGCAGCCTGAGGAGCTCACGTGAGGAGTAATCTGGGAGGGGCCCACCCCCTACTACTTAAACCTCTCCTCTCCCCCTCCAACCTTTTCTTTCTTTTTCCTCTTTTCTTCTTCTTCATGCACAGCCCGTCTTGTCCTCAAGGCGGATCTTCTCACGGAGGTCGGTGCTTCTACCCGATGATTCAATGCAGAGGTGGCAGTCCTGCATGGGAGATCCCAACAAGATCGGCAAACGCGAACTCCGGTTTGCTAGCCTTTCTGAGGGAATCGTCTGAAACCAAGTGCGATGGAACCCTCTTCTACGGAAGCTATAAGTCGCTTGGTCGTGATGATCTCCCACACATGAGGGTATCTTTTTTTTTTTCATTGAGTTCGAGGCTATATGCCTTGACTTGAAGAAGAGAATCTCACTTCAAAATCTGGCTTGCTGGCGGCAGTAACTGGCGATGTTTTGTTTTGATGGTGGCGAAGTTTTGAGCGGAGGAGTTCAGGCAGTACGGCCCTCTTGAGAACTGGATTTGCTTTGTGGACAGAGAGCAAGCATAGAGTACGATGTCAGATAGCTGAGATACTATCTAGTAGAGAAATGAAGGATATTGAATCTGTTGTTGTATGCCTGCACCACCGTCCGAGCGAAGAAGGGCTTTGTGGCACTTGGAAATGGCGAAGTCCAGAACCAAAATCCGCTCCGCCCATCTCCTCGATCTCTTCAGACAAGGACAAAGACGCTGTTCTTTGCAGAGAAGAACACTTCTAGAGAGATTTCACGGTCGCTATGATAGTTATTTCCATTCCTCTTCACCACCCTGCTTCGACGACAGCGCCATCTGTGGTGTTTCTCTGTACCAGCCAAGCGACTGAGCCATCTGGAATTCTCGGGTACAGTCTTCGATATTTGGGAAGAACTACGAACGCGATTCAAGATCAAGATCAAGATCAAGATCAAGATGGCGAAATGTTCCTATAGCTATGCGTAGACTCTCTAGATCCAAACGATGGCGTAGCGATGCTATGATGCGAATTCTCCGTCGACCAAGCTGGCCAAGGGCAGATGCAAGGCTTGAGGCCCATATGGACACTTCTAAGGGTCAAAAAGAGGGCCACGAGTCGAGAGAAAAGGAAGGATCGCTGGAAAGATGGAGGCCTGAAGTCGCTTTTGCGATAGCTTCGTCATTTAGTCAAACCACTTTGTTTCTGCTCCATACGGCACCAAATGCCAGGCTCGGGGGTATTTCTGTTGTTTTTGCGTCGTCGACGCCCCGATCCGCTACTTCCTCTGTCTGCTGTCTATGATTCTGGCTTCTAACTGTGGAATCTTGACAAATCCTTCCGCTGACCATGGCCGATTACTGCTGATTTTCAATGCTTCAGATCGCACTCGTCAGCCGAGTCGACGTGATACGAGATCGTAGAGTAGGCTTGCACAAGAGTCTGTCACTTGGGCGTATAAGGGAGAGCTGGAACTGAAGATTTTGCTATGAGACCCTAGAGTCAAGATGACCAGTTGCTCATGGACCAAGTTCTACGAATTACTCAGTAGTGGCGGAGGAGGGACTTTTAGATCGCTAATCTATTCACTGGAGCGAATTTATCTCGAGGATAACTTCACAGAAGGAGACGCCTTAGAATGACGAATTCGAGCTAAATCTTTCACAACTTGGACGAAATGACGAGAGAATTTTCGCCAAAGGGGGCAAAAGAAAGCCAGGCAAAATTTCTAGTTTATTTCCTTTCGTGCCATGGAGACTGGAGATGTCGCACTGCCCATATATTCCCTAAATTTAGATACAATCCCCTTTCCAGAGCCGAGTCATGATTACTAGAGATTCTGGGGCTTAGAGAAAGTATAGATAGAAAAAATATATGTCATGTACTGTAACTCGGGCGAAATTTCATCGTCGATCGGAAATTTCGTCGTGAATCTTGGAGGATGTCTGCTTCATTTAGGGAGGAATCGGATCGGCGCTGCATTCGTTGCGAGCTTCGGAGGATGGAGCCTTATGTCTGGTCGAGCGTGATGTTCGCGAAATCTGGATCTGTCTGGAAAGCAAGGCATTAGTATCCAAACTGGATAGGTGGAAAGAAAATGATAAGGCTGGAGTAGAGGCCGGGGATGCCATAAAACGAATAGCAGGCCCTCTTGACTGTATGGGAAACGTTGAGATACTCTCCAAACTCCAAAATGGTGCAACAAACCTCCCGCAAATCTGGGGAAACAGGGGAGCCGTCTCTCGTATCCTCTCCGACTTGGGGACATGAACTGGGCAGAGCTGGGAGCCTCTCCGTAGCTGTGCCATCAGATAAATGGAGAGGACGGCAGGTGATGTTTAAATACTGCAGAAACCTTGGCACAAAGGAAAGATTGGGGATACCTGTTTGACAAAGTTCGTGGATTTTCCCCAAGGGACCGTGACCACAGCGAAACAGCCGGACAAAGAAAACAACGTCGCTGTTGAACAACGAAGGAAGGAAAAACGCGAGAGGAAAGAAATGGTTCAAAATGCCAGTTTCTATGCCATAATCCTACATGTAGCCACCTGTCCTATTTTGAGCGACGTTCAAAACAGTGCATCGTCACGCGTTCAAAGGCCTACGCACGGCGAAAAGGGTGAATGGGAATTTATTGGTATTTTATTCTCTGCCAATGGGTCCAGTTTGAACCACAGTAAAACTCAGAGTCTGATCCATGAAGAAATCTGAAAAGATGGTGCAATACGACTGGACAACCAACTTTCCACTCGAAAATCCTCCAGCCAGAAAAATGGCAACTGTATCAAAGAAGAAGAAAAACCCCTGCTTCTGTTCATCATGTTCCCGTGCGAAACCCCCAAGCATGACAAAATATTCAGCCCCTACATATCCTCTTCCTCCATCGGTTCTCCTATTTCATCCCCTTCGGGATACGTTTCCACTAGGAGGGTGGTGGTATGCATCTCTTGGAGGCATAGTCGGCCGAAAATGTTCCTTTGAGAGCTCACTTTCATCAGAATCAGCTGTCGAATTTTGACGACAATTCCCTCGTTCCTGGTGACTCGCAAAGTCGACAAGAACTGCAGGTGCAGGCACCCATCCACGTCCGTCATGTCATCCTCGATCACGTCTTCCACCTCTCGTTCGACGTGGCTGGCCTCCATACTTCTTTGCTAGAGAAGTATAATCTGATCAGCCGCCGAAATTGGTTCATCGTCGTCATCGTAAAAAAAGTCCGTCGAGGCGTAAAGCATATGCGAGATAGAGAAAGGTCGTTGCCGAAAAGCCGAAATCGAATCGAATATGCTAAAAAACTCCCCAAGAAATTGTCGGCCGGGTGAGTCGGTGGGATAGTGAGCTGTTGACAACGAAAATGCGCCTGTAGAGCTCATCGTGACGTTGGCGGCCTTCTTTAGGCAGGTATTCAAAGATGATTATAGGAAATTTGTGACTGAATGTTACGCAGGAGAAAAGGCGTTTCGAGGATAAAAATATTTCAGAGCGTCAGTTGCTGTCCTCTGTTAAATACAATACAGCTGATCAGTAAGTGACAGAGTCCACAGTCCCTGTCCCATTGAAGGAATAATATCGTATTCAGGCATGTAGAGGTGCAAACGCCGGGATACGCCCACAATATCTGGCCAAACAATTCATTCGGATGTCTTCATTCTGTAATGAGATTTGAATCAGATTTTCTACACGCCTGGCCATAATCCAATTCATGATCCAGACGGCAATTGTTGGCTTCACTGAGTGGACGATATGGCCCATGGAGCAAGTACACGAAGGATGGGATATATAGATCGAATCTCGAATTACAGAATGTATATTGAACAAGAGAAGAGTCTCTTGGATTGGAAACACAACTTCGTCATCTAATTTTGCTGCTCTTGAGAATACGAAAATAACCAGACCAGACTATTGGCTTTGCAAACGATGGGTACGTTGTTTCTCGAGACTTCGGAAGCCCGACTATCTGGAGTGTAACCATTGCGTGCAAGACTATCGTCTCTGGACAAAGCTACCCTAGGTTGAATGCAGCATGCATCTATTGTATTGGGTGGAATAATAAACCAAGAACAAAGCCTCGAGCCTCGATTGACAGAGCTAGTGGAGATTAGAAAACAAACTGATGTTGACATGTAGATGACTCCGACTTGCTGGAAATATGCGTTAATCGATATTAAATCCCAGGGCTCAATACGCACGACGTAAACTGGAGACAGCTTGCAGAAAATAAGACGAGGCAGTTCGTTGTTGTCTCTCAAGCAACGACACGCTTTCATCTTCGAAACGCGCTTCCGAGTGTGGACGCAAAGCGCTGCAATTTTGCTTCTAACAAAACAGCCCGCATTCGGTCAATTCCATGCCAAAACTCTATTAACATTACTGGCGATTCCTTTTTAGAATTTTTTTCCGCGGTCACTGATTATTGGCATTTTCATCATGACAGGTGGATGACATCACATGCCAATGCTGGTCGTATTTCTAGACAGCTTCCAGCAATTACTTCAGTGGTACGCAACTTGCCTTCTCAACACCCAAAACAATCCAAGCATCCGTGACTGATCGAAAGTATTCTAAAATGGCAGATAAACCCACAGATCAGGACCAATGTCAACAAGTTTCGGCTGGCGACAAGCACAAAACCGAGGTGGAAAATCCAGATGCAAAGCGAACCAAGATCAAAACAGAAACGTCTCTCGATGAAACCAACGAAAATGGCAAGGAGGAAAAACAAAGCGCTCATCAAGACGTGAAGCAAGAGATGGAAGATTCCAAGGCTGATGTTAAATCTGAAGATGACGCAAAGTCTACGCCCAAATCAGACACAGATGTTCCCTCGAGTATTCTCGAAAAGGGCATCATCTATTTCTTTATGCGAGGACGCGTGGATGTCGAGAGACCAGAGGAAGTGGGAGATATTGCGAGAACGTTTATTATTCTGAGGCCAATTCCACACGACGCAAAGCTGAGCGAAGGGCCACTTTCGGATGCTGGAACCTCGCGAATCCTCATTCTACCAAAGAAAGTGCTCCCAACCAGTGGCAGAGATCGTTTCATGGCGTTTGTAGAGAAGTCTGGGGCATCGTATGATGAAATCAAGGGCCAGTTTCTCGCTGGTGAGGCGTACGAGACCAAGACAAAAGGCACCAGGCACACTCCAGCAGCCACACCAATAGGCGAAGGTGTTTACGCTATAACGACTACTGGGCGAGCGAGCCATCTTGCGTACATGATTACCATTCCGGAGAAGCTCGGTGAGGTACAGAAAGACCTTGGAGTGAAGGAACAAGGAAGTTTCATCATCAGCACCAAGAACCCAAGGTATCCAGCACCGGCTTCTGCCCGTCTGCCCAAAGGACCAGAATATCCCAAAGAGTATGCGCTACTCTGTTATTCTCCGATGACAAATTAATGCTAATCTAGCTATGCAGGATCCTTGAGGAATTCCGAGACTTGAGGTGGATTCCATCTCGGCCGAATCACCTTGACCACGACAATGCTCAAGTTCTACTTATTGGAGAGTCATCTGGGATCAAGAAAGCCCTAGAGGTTCAAGACGACGACGAGAAGGCACCAAAACAAGAGCCCCTTGAGGAGATGGAGGAACTGGAAGAGAAAGACCTGAAGCGAATGCATCAGCTGTCGGGAGATCACTCTGCGGCAATCTACGCGGACTTGAAGGTTCATGCAGAAGACTACCCCAAGTTGCAGACTACCTTTTAGAAGGGCTCGAAGCAATTGCGCAATTATTTTTGGGTGCTTGCTTACTCGAGAGGGAGGCTCGGCGCATAAATATCCTCATGATGATACTGGAACTTCAAGGTCATGAGGCATGGATCTACAACCAAACGCTGAACCTGAGGAAATGGTGACGCGTATGCTGCGGGAATTGTTTCGAACAATATCTTGAGATATCTCCATTAGTCTTGGGAAATGTATGCATCTATCTAACAGAGCTCGGAGGTATCACCTAATGCTCAACGCATCAAAGCACGCACTTGGCAACTCCACAAGGAAGCTGTGGGGAGCAGCACTCAGATTTGTCCGATGCTGATATTATCAAGTGCAGAGGTACAATGTGGTGATGGGTTATGATAATGGGAGATGGATAGCCATTAATTTGTCTATGTGACTCTTCAATCGAGAGATCCACCAGATAAGCAGAATGATTCATTCTTGCAACCAGTCCCTTTTTGCTTATGTCCTGCCACAACGGGCCTGGCCTCCACGGTCATAATTTCCCGTACTGTTTCTCCAGCGGGAACTTGGCGCATCTTTTCAGAATGGTCCAACGTCGTATGAATATTCGAGGTATGGATCTGTGAGTCAAAGGTTGTGCAGGCCATTTTCAACTCTCGTCAGCCAAAAGTCCTTTTGTAACGTTAGCCCGTTCTGGCAGAATCGATGACTGTGCTAAGCTGGAACTAGAGCCAGAAGGGACTCGAGATCGAGAGATAGTAGCGCGGGGTATCACTAATCCGACCTCGACTCGGTGCGGGATCTCAATTGAAGGCGGGATATCCAGGACATGACTCACAGTCATGATCATTAGTAACATTACTAACAAGGGAATAGGGGAAGCATGCTGAGACGAGACAGTTCAACGACAGATGAAAGAGGAAAATATTGACGCGAGAGAACGAGGCTGGAGCAGAAAATTGGGATATAATAGAAGAAGATGAAGACACAATCTCGCAGAAAGCTCTCCATCGAATCAACATCCCAAAATGTCTTCTTCCGCTTCCTTTGAGCCCATGCCGGCGACGGCCGCGGCCACAGTTGCAAAATATCACATCATCTCGCCAGATTTCCCAGGCCATTTGGAGCTGGAGATTAGCCAGGCCGAACATCGCGTCAACCTCATCAACTTCTGGCAGATTCCGCCAGGCAGCCGCGTCCTCGAGATCGGATGTGGTCAAGGCACAACTACTGCGGTCTTGGCCGAAGCCGTCGGGCCCACTGGCCATGTTGATGCCGTAGACCCTGGTCCGCCAGAGTACGGATCTCCCTGGACACTTGCTCAGGCCCAAGAGCATCTCTTGGTCGGCGTGGTCGGCGACCGTATCTCGTGGAACTTTGCCGATCCGATCGACTACCTGGCTGAGAATGCTGACAAGTCGTGGGACTACGTCGTCTTTGCCCACTGCATCTGGTACTTTGATTCGCCTGCCACGCTCACCAAGATGCTGGGCGCCTTGAGGGGGCGAGCCAAGTCTCTCCTCATCGCGGAATACGCCCTCAAGGCGACGCAGACGAATGCCCTGCCACACGTCCTTGCTTCGGTGGCCCGAGCCACCCTCGAGGCACACAACAAAAACAGCATGGCCAACATCCGCTGTCTCTCCAGCCCCGGCGCCATCACCGACGCTTCAAAGGAGAATGGTTGGGTTCTTGATGAAGAGGCCATTGTGGTGCCAGATGAGGGACTCTTGGATGGCCACTGGGAGACGGGAACTGTCAATAGTCCTAAATTTTTGGATGAAATTGAGAAGAACGTTGAGGACCCAAAGGTCAAGGCGCTTTTGCGATCTGCTAGAGATGGCGTTATTGGAGTTTTGGACACTTTTGGATTGAAGAAGTCGTGGACTATGGATGTTTGGGTCGCCAAGTTCCACTGAAAGCGAAATGATTATGTCGCGAGAATGACTATGGTGTATTTGTTTACATCATCATAGCAATTTGAACTCTATTTCAAGAGCTCGTAGCGAAATGCACAAAGATATATTCTATTACTCCCTCCAGTATAATTCTTGATGGAAGAAACCTACAACTCCCAGGGCTCCGGGTCTGGAATATCATACCTTGCTGGAATCTGCCTCCACCTCAGCTGCGTGATCATCCATGTATGTGTCTTCAAATGGCTTCTCTCCCATGCGCGACCAGCACATGGCAGACATGAGAGCCTCGTCCGTTTCTTTTGATGAAAAGAGTAGCTCGGAAATTCCATCTCCAAGGTGGGTGACTGATCGATCCTATCAAGCCCCTATTTTAGCAATTGGAAAAGAGAGTGAGGATTAAGTTCAAAACCATAACATACCAGTCCCAGAGTCAATTTAATTATCCCATCTACCCAGTAGTTCTTGTAGATGTGGCGCGGCTTCTTGCCGGCAACTGCAAGGAGAATATTTTCCGCCACAATAGTTGCTTGACGCGTACCTGATCGAGAGTTTGGATTCGGAGTCTTGGTATCGGCAACATCACCGCATGTGTAGACATTCGGCAGAGAATCATCGTCTATTTGAAGGGTTGGCTTGACTTTGATGTGCCCCGTGGACGAGATCGAGTTGGGAGAAAGGTTGGCAATCACGTCGGAGAGTGGCCTTTGTCCGGCACAGTTCATCTATCGTAACTGATTAGTTGGAACAACGGAAAAATTGGAAGACATCAGGTAAGAATACATAGAAATCGTAGGAGATCTTTCGGCCAGATTTCAGGGTCACTGTTCCCGAAGCCGCATCTTCCTCCACAACGCGGTCTTCGAGGATAAGTTCCACGCCTAGTCGTTCAAGGCCTTCTCGCGCAGCTTTTTGGAGGCCTTTGCCAAAACGATGCATCACCGCCGGCCTTGAGTGGACCAAGATGATGTGCTTTTCTGGATAGAGGGCCTTGGCATCTGTGGCGACTTCGACTCCAGCGGCGCCTCCTCCAACGACGACGACCGTGTTGGCTGCTTCGATTCCTTTTTGCATCCCCTGCAGGAGCTTCATCCCCTGTAGCTTTTCTGTAGCATTGACTCGCGATGGAAGGCCATCTTTGACCCCTGCTCCCGTAGCAATGACAAGGAATTCGTATGGGATCACCTCGCCGCTGTCCTGCAGCTTCACAGACGTGCGATCAATGTCGGTGACCCTGTCCTTCACCCAGCGGTATGAACCCTCTATGGCCCCTTTCAGATATCCCCCATAAGGAATGAAAGCCTTGTGCTCGTGGCCTTGAACAACGCAAAATCTCGGAAGCACCCAAGTAAACTGAAAATGGCTGTTTGGCTCGATGACGACGACTCGATACGGGCTTCGTGGAGGCAAGGCTTTCGCAACGATTTGAGCCACACGGTAACCTGCAAAAGAAGCACCGACGATGACGATATTGCGAGTCCTTTCCTCTGCTCCTAAAGACCCAAACCAGGAGGCTTGTCGTCGCACGATGGCGGCTCCGAGAGCAAGTCGTAGCTCTGCCCAGATAACGTAGAGGGTATAACCCACAATCTTTGTGTACAGTCTTGCTTTTTCCAGCATTGTGACCCCAATCGCAGATACTTGTGTGGTATCTCGTCAAGAAGGTCAGAAAAGAAGATGGCAAAAATTTCACGGCGCTGCCATTGTCTTCATGCAACCTCGAGGCGAGTGGAAGGGGTGAAAATGCCGAAAATCGCGTGTCGCCATCTCCGGACGGCCTTGTCCGAGTCCGAGTCGGAGCTCCTCGAAGCACATGTGAATATTCTTGTTAAAGCCATGGATGGCTTGCAGGAGCTCGGGCTGCCAAGCGGCCGATAGAGCAGTCCTTGGTCACTGGTCTGACGCTAGAGATGCGACTTCAGGGATGTTTTTGATCAAGTGTGGGCCAAAAAAATTTATCAGATGATCTGATAATCGCGCATCCATCTATACTTGGCAGCTGATGTCCTCGTACAGGTTGTTAGTAGGTGCCGTATTTTGTTTCCAATTTTGAGAGCCAAATGCAACACAAGGGAGTATTATTCTATCTGAGAGTACATCTAAACTCCGGCCATGAGAAAATGAATTATTAATGCCAACAACCTACACCGTCTATGCCAGTTTTGGTGCAAGATCCGAGCCTCCAAACTCGGGATATCCCTTGGACTTCCACTCTGCGAAGCTCATTCCTCCGGCAAGAGACGGCATTTTGATCATAAGAGGGACCTCGATGTCTTCCTCCGTCCCTAGGACCTCGGCTTTATGTATAATCTTTTCATCCAGCAGCTCAAAGCCCATCTTCTTGTACAAGCCGACTGTCGAAGGGGACGATTCGAAATAGACGGGCAGGCCTGCCCTCTCACCCAGATCCAGTCCCCATTGCACGAGCAAGGCGCCGGCCTTGCGTCCTTGATGCCTCGGGTCGATGCCGATAACGTGGCAATCTAACAAAAGTTCGAATGTCATTAGTGGGAAAGTTGTTTCGCTTGGCATGCAACATCGCCAACAGCTGAGGCTGAACATGTGGACCCAACATGGATAAATTGACTTACAGATGTAGCGTTTGCCCCCAAACAGTCTTTCCCTCACCTCCCATAACGGATTCAGAATCTTTTCCGCTCTCTCGCGTTGCTCTCCTATGAGCCAGGGTACCCCGTGGTTCTTCCGCTCCTCCTCTGATCGCTCTGATAGGTAGACATCGCCGAGGGCCATGCCAATGATCTCTCCAGTGCTCGTATCAACACATTTGAAAGTGTATTGGGACCCGCTGGTATGCCAGTAGGCCAGTGTTCCGGCAGCGTGTGCTTTCTTGAACTCGTCGTCGATCACTCCGGGAAAGAGGATCTCGAGCATAATCCTTCCCATTTGGTCGTTCTGAAAGGCGTTGAAGTAGACATCGTAGACCTTGGGTATGTCTGGGATGAGCGCCGGGAGAACCACTTGAACCATGGTTAATTTTCTGAGAGCCGATGTTTCGCTGTTTCTGAGGAGTTGTATAACATCAACAACGTATGTTGGAGAATGACGGGATGCTTCGTCATATTTATAGCCTTACGGCCAGCTTTTGAGGGTTCTTTTGAGGCCATGTCTGGAACTATTGGTTCGATGGAAAGTGATTGCGATCTTGGCATGTGGCGCACGGAGGCCGAGGAAAGCAGCAAAACTTCGTTTTTTTTCGACGACTAGACTCGGTGGAATCGTTCTCTAGCCGCCAAAGCTGGCGACACCGAGCGCGCAAGGCCAACCAAGGCTGATACTCTAGCTTGCAGGACGGGTTGAACCTCGTGTTGGGCGCCTGGCGCTGACCAGCTTGACCTAATAGCTTCCATTAGCGGCATGTATATCCGAAGGAAGCCAGGATGGGGAGCAAACCTGGAACTGTCCTCGAGACCGGGAGAGCGTGCCGATCTCGCTCCATGTGGCTCGTGGGTCACGTCAAAAGTCATTAAAGTTATCTGATCCGTCGGTCAATAGCGCCGTCGAATGAAGCTTGCGCAGAACATCGGAATTGTTTCCGGGCGAGTTGGCGATGATGTTGGCTGAACCTGTGGAAGCATGAAGCTTAGAACTAGAGCACGCGAGCAAGTAGGAGGTAATGGAAATGTGTGCAGCGAGTGGCATGGGAAAATTCCCAGTATACCTCTGCTTTCAGTACCCTTTCAGGCTACAATTTTTCTCAATGCTACCTATTTGAAAGTAAAATGAGCATCATTGGAGAAGAAAAAAAGGATTTTTTTTTTCCTCGGTGAAAATATGAAAGAAGAAAGCACATTGTGTGGTGGCTGTTCTTGGACCCTCGCGGGGAACAAACGCCGTTGATGCTACAGAATTCTTTGTGCAATCTGTTCAAATCACAAAACCCAGGCGTGTTCGTGATTGATAAGTACTAGGTAGGTGCAGCTGAAAAAAAATATATACCCATTTGTAGCCAGAGAATCTGGCAAATTGCGCTTTCTTGACATGGTTTTGGATATGGGAGCTGGGGGTGTCTCTTGGGCAGAATAATTGAGAGGGGTCCTTCTCACTGCCCTTGCAACACCCTGTCCCAAAATGCCACAAAGAGACTCTCTACCGCAAGGCGTGACCGCTGCGGCATTGGCACTTTGATATCTTTCAGATAAAATGCACGTATAACCTTTAGTTTCTGGACTGTGTGCTGTGATATGCATTGTAAGCTATTCATGCTTACTCCGTATGCACATTGTGCAGGACATGAATCTCTGAGGCGCAACAGATGGGGCGAGTGAACGTTATTACTGACGTTGGCAACTGGAGGCAATACCTAAGCCAGCAGCCCGCAACGGTAGCGTTGAATTCAAATGCTGATGAAGTCTTCCAATTGCCGTATAACTGCAACTACAACTTGCAATTGACTCGATGCTATCAAGATCTTGTTGTCAAATAAACTTTCCACATCAATTGGGGTTCAAGCAAACAAAGGGGGTTTGGCTTCTTGTTGTGGCAATGCCTCCAATAACGTCAGACCATCCCCGGACGCCGCCCGGGTTGACAGGTATACGAGACTTGCAAATGAGCGGTCCATCCAGAGTGCTCCCATGTACTGGGTTCAAGAGGCCCTACCCCATCTAGGCATAGTAAGCTGCCTCACCAGCGACATCCGCCAAAAAATGGGATCCCAGTCTTGATTGTGGCTGTGAAGGGGAAGAAAAGGATCGCGGAATACGAAGTCGAAGTGCATCTCGACCTTGCCCAGCCCTTCAAGTCTATCTGTCTGTCTATCTGTCTATGCCTTGGTTTCTTGGTTCTGTGCGAGACCAAAAGCCGTGTGCGGACAGCAATGTCGCTCTTCCCCAAGCCTGCGGAGACGCAGCATATCGGGCTCTTCCTCTTGAACAAACGCCTGATCCGCATCTTGCTTGGCATCGCCGTCTTCTTCCTCGTCTCCTGTGGGCTTCTCTGGAGCCGGCAGCGTGAAGTCCTGCCGTCGTTGCCCGCTTCGCACCCCATGGGCTTTGGTGAGCCGGACGGCTATTATCCATACGTGACAGTTAGCGATTACGATCCCGTGTCTCTCGATCCCGCCAACAAGACGACCGAGGATCTTTGCGCAACGTTTCCCAAGCACCTGCTCAGTCTCCTCCAGCCGGTCCTCAAGACTGGCCATAGCGAGGATCGCGCAAAGCTCGAGGCCCAGCTCGATAGCGTCAGCGCGTGCTTTCAGCCCGACGAGCTACTCATCTTCTCCGACCTTGACGATCGCATCCGCAACCACACTGCCATCGACATTCTTGCGAATCTTCCGCCCAAGTACTACGACCTAGACTACAACCCAGATATCAAAAACTATCTTTTACAGAAGGAGCTGAGGCAGAACGGCACGCTAGACACGGATGAGGAGGCCAAGAAGCGCATCGATGGCTGGATCATTGACAGGTACAAGTTTCTGCCACAGATAGAGCGTGCTTGGCTGTTGCGGCCAGACAGGCCGTTTTACTTCTTCTACGAGACCGATACGTACGTATATATCAATGTTCGGCATACGGAATGCTGAAGGTGGAGGCGCTGACCGCGTTGTTTTGCAGATATGTCGTGTGGGACACGGTATTCCGGTTTCTCTCAACCTTCGATCCCGATACCCTGGTATACATGGGCTCCCCATCGCCTGGGCAGATCGATAAGAATCGCGACAATCTCAGAACGTGGTTTGCCAACGGCGGGCCGGGCTTTGCCCTCAGCCGCGCAGCGGTCAAGGCGCTTATACACCGTGACGTGTCACCGCATGGTCAATTCAGTGGACCGTCTGTCAGCGAGGTATGGCTGCCTCACGTCAAGGGCGATTGTTGCGGCGATAGTGCTGTTGGCTGGAGTCTGTGGAACAGTGGCGTGGCTTTGCAAGGCTATTGGCCCATGTTTAATCCTCACTCGCTGCACAGCATCCCATTTAGCGATCGTTACTGGTGCCAACCCATAATGACGCTGCACAAGACGTCGCCAAAGGACATGGTTGAAGTTTGGAAATGGGAGTTTGGGCAAAGGAAGCAAAATGTATGTGGAAAGACGTTTTCCTCTTATCCGATTTGTCAAAGCCAAGATCTAACATTTGTCTTTAGCGCCCATTACTGTACTCTGACTACTGGGGCTTCCATCAGCCTGGCACATTGGGCGTTGTGGAAAACTGGGATAACGGCGACTGGGATGCCTCCAAGTCTGGGCCGGACCAAGGGATCGACTCAGTTGAGAAGTGCGAGGAAGCGTGCAAAAAGGACGACGCCTGCGTTCAGTGGAATTGGAGAGGAAGAGACGAAAGGGAATGCGTTCTCGCGCGGTCGTTTAGGCATGGAGAAGCGCGACAGCCAGAAGAGAGAGACAACAAGTGGGTGGATTTCACATCTGGCTGGCTCAAGGACAGACTTGACAAATTTCGCAAGGAGAGGCAATGCGAAGTGGTGGAATGGGTTGGACCAAGCGTTACACGCATATTTTGAGCATTGACAGGCACGAATCGAGAGTTATATATACCCGCTGGCGCGACTCAAGGACTCTACGACTGGATGGATTTTATTGTATAAGACTGGTATTAATAGGGGTAATGTAGATAAAATACGTATATCACTAGAACATGTAGAACATTATCAATGTCAACACGGTATTCATATGGAACATGTGAGAACAATGCCAGCCGTCGGGTATCATTTCTATAAGAGAGGCGGCGTAACGTCCTCCAGTCGCCAACTTTTTCTGTTTTAGTAAACGTAGCGGAAGTACGGATTCTCCTTGTCCGTGAGGTCCTGGAAAGCAAGCTTTGCTCGCTCAGCTTCATCTTCAGGCAAGGCCATCTTTTTCTTGTTCTCAGCTCGCAGCACAAAGTACAATGTGGTCGATGCGAGGATGCAAATGATGTAACTGTACACAGCAAGTTAGCCAATTATTTGGTGAGACTGCCCATTGCTTCGGCTAGATCGTCATACCATATTATCAAACCAAGCCATAAGGCAGGATAGTGTCGGCTCTTGGTTTGCGACCATATCAACTGCGGACCAACAATGTTTCCAACACAGTATGCAACAAAGATTGTCGCGGCCATGAAGCTCTTCTTCGTATGGCCCGCCACGTTGGCCATTCCAATAGTGATGATGAGACTGACCGTGCCGCCAAAGAAACCCGTAATGGAGTATCCTACAATGGGAGCGGCAGCGTGGTGACTCCAGGTGCTTTTCCAGATGATGGCACAGCCAGCGATAACAGGCAAGCAGGTAAAGATGAGCATGAAAATGCGGACATTCTTGACTTTGGAACCAATGTAGCCCGTCGCTAGAATGACGATGAAACATAACCCACCCAGAGGAAACTGGAAAAGGATCGACTGGAGAGTGTTCCAGCCGAATGTCGATACGATCAGGGGTCCAAAGCCGCTCACTGCCCCGTTGACCGTGTATGCAGATGCCATCATGACAAAGATCAGCCAGACTTTGACATCCAACAAGGCCTCCTTAAGCTGAGATGACTTGAATTTCGTGCATCGCACTCCAGTTTGTCCGTAACGGAGCCTCTCCACGGCTGCGAACCGTTCTTCGGCAGTCAGGAACCAAGCCGATACCGGCGAGTTCGGCAGCGCAAAGCAAAAGAGGCCAAAGATGAATGTGAGTGCGCCGCCAAACAGGTATATGTACTGCCATCTCTTCAGTCCCCCGCCAGTGATCTGAGCAAAGCCGTAGTTGAGCGCTCCGCCAATGATGGTAAACAACCCAGTGCTGCTGAACCACCAGCTTTGTCGTAGCGACTGTTCGGACTGAGTGTAGTATCCCGAAACGATGCACATGAAGCCCGTCGGGATGATGCTCTCCACGAAGCCTAGGAAGAAGCGCTGCACAAAAAGGCCTTGCCAGGATGTTACTGCCGCGGTGAGCATGCAGATGGCCGACCAAAGAATGACGACAACGCCGAGGATTCTGCCCATGTCGAAGCGCTGGAGAGCAAATGTCATGGGATACAGGCCTCCCAGCATACCAAAGTAGAAGAGCGAGGTGGCCCAGCTGAGGCGTCTCGTGTCGACAGTAGGAGGCACGGTTGAGTTGTCAACGACACTTAGTTTGAGATCTGTGGTCATGCCGAAGAGGGCAGCTGAACCGAGAATAGCTTTGTCGTAGTAGACGAGGCCATCTGCAGGTACGAACATCATGTCAGTATCAAGTCATTTTGTTCCCATCTTCGCAGTCAACTGCCTCAACTCGGCTGTGAGTTATAAACACAAGATTGAGGGGGGAACTGACATCCGCATATCATTGCCGGGATCAGAAACCAGTCAATCTTCCTGATGGCTCTTGCTTCGACGATAGGATCGATGGCATGTCGCACCTCGCCTACCATGGCCACGGCATCATCCTTGTCAGGCGGGTTTCGATTTGCCACAGGGTCGTCCATTGTTGAACAGCAAGCGAGCCCGCGAGAATTGAAGGCAAAGAGACTTCAATCGACCACAATGTCAACGAAGAGAAAGAAAATCCAGATTTTGTCGAGTTTAGAAAGAAAAAAGAGCTCTCAGTCAAACGGAGCTTAGTGTCCGATTGCGGTTACGATAACAAAATGATATGGCTAAGCTAAATTGCAGAAAAAGAGCTAGGGATGGTGTTCATGATCGTTAATTGGTGGTTGGAGGTGGGATGCATCGGTTAGAACCGGACTGTGTGGAGCTGAGTTGGAATTGAATTGAGCTCTTTTGAACCCATGCCGTGAAGCTCGTCTTTGAGTGCCGGGGGGGCGAACGATGTCCAATTATGGCGCAGAAAGGAAAGATCCTAGAGTCAGCATCCAGCATGAGTGTCTCTGGTTCCATTGAACAAAGCATTTCATTCACTCTTGGAATAGAGGTCAAGATAATAAGCAGAAATATAAATATCATTCGCTGCCTGCCAATGCGTCTAGATCATACAAAACTATATACATTTCTGTTCATCGTTATTGAACTCATTAACGTGGGGGTATTTTCTCTCATCATCTTTCCTTGCAACATTTTTACAATTTGGAGGGGTTCTCCTTGGGGTTCTTGACCTCGACCAGCAGCTTTCCGGTGTTGGAGCCCTTGTACAGGTCAACCAGTCCCTGCTCAGCAACCTGGAGGCCGCCGGGGAGAATGTGCTCCGTCTTCTTGATCTTGCCCTCGGAAACCCACTGGGAAAGCTCCTGGCGAGCCTTGCCGTAGTCCTTGATGTGGTCAAAGACGATGAAGCCCTGCATCTTGATGCGCATGGTGATGACTCTGGAGATGTTGCTGGGGCCCTCGGGGTTGGCGCTGTTGTACTGGCTGATGCCACCGCACATGACGAAGCGGGCGTGCTCCTTTGCGCGGGCAAGGCACATGTTGAGGATTTCACCACCAACTGAATAAGACACCGGTCAGCGGGGAAGGCTCTAGTATCAAGCGTGATGACGCATAGACTTACCATTGTCGAAGTAGACGTCAATGTACTTGGGGGTGGCCTCCTTGAACTTCTCCTTGAAGTCGGCGTCCTTGTAGTTCAGGGCAACGTCGAAGCCGAGCTCCTCAACCAACCACTTGCACTTATCAGCGCTGCCAGCAATGCCGATAACACGGGCGCCGTTGATCTTGGCGATCTGGCCGGCAATGCTGCCGGTTGCACCAGCGGCACCGGAAACGACAACAGTCTCGCCAGCCTTGGGCTCTCCAATCTTGGTCATGCCGATCCAAGCAGTGAGGCCAGTCATGCCGAGGACTGACAGCATGTCCTTGGGCTCCCTCAGGCCGGGGTAGTTGGAAGAGGGCTCGAAAGCACCCTCGCGGAGGACGGCATACTGAGTCCAGCCAGTGAAGCCGCAGACGTAGTCGCCAGCGGTGGCCTGCTTGCTCTTGGAAGCAAGGACGCGGCACACGGAAGCACCACGCATGGTCTCGCCGATCTGGACAGGGGGCACATAAGATCGGACGTCTAGAATAAAAAAAAGACAGGTTAGACGGGTGTGAGGTGCGCGCAAGGACAATGAGAATTACCATTCAGCCAGCCTCGCATCGCCGGGTCCAGAGAGAGGTAAAGAGCCTCGACAAGAATCTCTCCATCCTTGATGTCGGCTGAGGTGGGAGCAGGAGAGATCTTGTGCTTGAAGGTGGTGCCAGGAACGATGTCACCGGTGGGCCGTTCGGCGAGAACAATGGAGAGGTTGTTGACGGCCATGATGAAGCTCGAAGGTGAACGATGGTGTTTGTCGTAAAGGGGCTTGAGAGTGAGTGATGCGCTAGTTAGAGAATGAATGATCTAGCTTGGGATTCAAAGACTCGAAAAACAAATCCGGCGGCGTACAGCTGTCTTTATACTACTCGCATCTCTGGCCCAAAGCGTGGCCGACCCTCCAGCTAGCATTTAGCAAGTATCGACAGCGGCGGCGGCGACGGCCTCAAAGCGGGTGTTTGCTCCATTGAACTAGGGCTTCAGCGTCTGAAACAGCAACATGGAGAAATCCGACAGTCCACGGAGACCCGCATTGCGCTGGTGTCGTCGTGTCATACCGCACCGCACTGCACTTGTCTAATAGTGCTTAGCAATTGGAATTCAAACCGGCGTCGATGGCCTCGGGCATAGAAGTGGCTCGCAGGGATGGAAACTCCTGCATTGGCTCTATCGAGACGTCCAAGCCAAAGCCAGGGGAACACAAAGCAAAACCGCCGCGATGCAACAGCGAAAACCCGTAACCAGCGGCTCTCCACAAAGCCACCCAAAGGCCCGCCAGTTTCGCAATGGGGATATTCCTCCGGTGCGGAGTTCGCCCTCGCCGTCGAGTGCAGCTCCGAGCAGATGCACCTTGTGTCTTTCGGCCGGCCGGCCGAGTCCTCGTTTTAGAAAAGAGCCCGGCTGCAGGCTCACTAAATCCCGTCTCTGCATAATTATGGGGGAGAGGCGAGATGCCGAGGTTTTTTTTTCGGTGTCGAGAAGCGGCAGCCACAAAGACATTCGAGCCGCAAGGGGAGACTCAAGCCCGGGACTAGCAAAAGGCACAACTAAGGTAGGAGAGAAACGCACTCATGTACAACACTCCCGTAGATCCTTGGGCATTTGACCACTTGGTACGGCAAGTACATGCAGCACCTCGTAAAAAGATAGCCTCGGTGAAGATACAGATTCAGGCAGTTTCCCGTTTGCGCCGCGCCGCGGCTTGTCCGCCATCGCTCTTGTTTTGACTCGCTAGACTAGTGTCCGATCTGCTGGCAGTGACCTGATTGGTAATCGCGGACTTGGGGCTCTACAGCAGGTTCATGCCGAGAGAGACTGAAGACGGTGTTTCAGACCGTGTTAATAGTCGCATAGTTGTGTAGCAAACTGGCTGTTACAAAGGGCTTAGTTTAGCAGATACACGTATATCTTGTGAGTCGTCTGACGGAGCGTACAGTAGGCATGAATCCTATCTGTTCCTATTGGATAAATAAGACCTGAGCATGAGTCTCACTTTAACATGCGCAAAAGGGCCACAGAATGATTGTACGTACAAGCAGACAAAACTCTACGATCTAAACTCCGCTCCCCAACATAGACAAATGACCTCATGCATCCATTAACGCAAACGACTCAATCGGACATTTCCAATTGACTATGGAGTACATTAGCACAGATTTTCCTTCTCCTTATTAATCGAGAGCGACAACGAGCATGACAAAAGGGAGCCCGAGAATATTGGATGCCGAGCCGAGGCCCATCTTCGGCACTGAGTCAAGCGCTAAACCGCCCCTGATTGGGGCTCGCCACCATCAAGAGCGGACCGCCAGCACTTTACGAGTATCTCAGCTTCGTGTTCTTAGAAACGTCGAGAATACACCAGGTGGGCAATGATTCTATATTCGGCATTGCTCCGACATCTCTTTGATTCGTATACCCCGTGCTGTTAACTGGTGGTTGGACAATCATATGGCGCTCAACAAACACACCATCTTTCATGTTTGCAAAGCCCAATTCCTGAAGCTCATTGTATGAGTGTGTGTGTGTGACAGCCTAAAAGCTGTCCAACGTTTAACCACCATAATTTGATGATTATTGATCATGTATTAATAATGAATCAAGAGAGTAAAAGAGATGCAGGGAGGCGTGAGTTATCTGGTTGAACAGCATCCCGTGGCTGCATAGCTGCTACTCTAGTAGAGACGCCAACCAAAGATAACTTGCCGCAGTACTTAGGTTGGCAACACTACATATTCCAGTGCCTGCATGGAGATTTCTCAAATATTCAATCATGACAATTATTAAATATGTTGATTATCAACAACAAATCGGGGCCTACTCCTGCAATCGAGTCAGGGTGGTGACATGTTCCTTCGGTGCTTGGATGCGACGAAACGGTGTTTGTCACAATCAACAACCCACCAGAATTATCTGAGCACATTCATGGATCGGGCCTCAAACCTCAGGCATACCTCCAGCCCCTACCAGCTGGAACCAATCCCCTTCCGTTAGGCATCACTATGATTCATGTCATGGATGCGATTCTTCCTGCAAAAACCTCTTCTGTTACCGGCAAGAGCGCGCAGACAAAGGATAACGATAGGTTAGTAGAAGAGACACCGTACACGAAGTATACTGATATCCGTAAGCCTCCCGTGCTTCGAACCGTAGCGTCCAAAGAGCTGTTCGGTACTTAGACAAGTATGCTGAGTCGTGGACCGGTGGCTAGGACAATTCGGCCGAAAGATCGATCACAATGACAGCTTTCCCGAAAAGATACGCCATCGCTAAGAAGTGGCAACTATACCGGTACATGGAATCGTGCATATCGCGTAGGATCCCGCAATCTCCGCCTTCCTCTATACTACATGAACCCGGACCCTGTTAGACATTGAGAATATAGATTAGGTTACCGGAACATAAGGCTGACTGTGCTGTGGGGCAGATCGCGACCATTAAGACGCTGGTATTCCTCAAGGGACCGGAATGCTTCCTGAGGCGTTTCGCGATTCTTCGGCTTGAGGCAACTAGATCTTGATGGCGGAAAGGTAAGCACCCGGCTACCGCGAATATATGAAAGGGTCCCCGCTCCGTGTCGGGAAATCATTTGATAGCACTCCGAACGACACTCCGAGAGCACGCTCTACATGAAACAAACATTCATCAATGATCAAGTAGAAATCCAAAAGCTGAGTTCCATGGCTTTCTAAACAGCATGACTGACCTGTGGTCAAAGGTCGATGGCTGTTGATATGATGGAACGTCAGCGCCATAACGTGCTGCTTGAGAAGCCCACTGGCTGCTCCCAAGAGGAGCAAAACTGCATCGAACCCCTGGTCATTCGGATTCGGCCGGATACCGCCAAACCGATGGCCTAGCCAGCTCGGAGATCTTCAGCCGCATGTCAATGATTCATCATGAGATTCTACGCAACACCAGCTCTTCGACAAACGCCAATCAGAGCCTGAAATAGAGTTCAGCGAAGGATCAACGCTTCACGCGATATCAGTCCATTCAGGATCCAAATAACCAAACTCGCCAAGACGATCGCGTGCATCGGCCGGGGAATCTCTATGGCCAGGTAATGTACGAGTACATTGCGCGTCTTTGCTTTTCAGCCGCATCTAGCTGCGTCGTCATACAGCAAATGGACCGAGGCCAAGTATTTTCCCGCTGTCTGTTGGCGGCACCTTGTTCGCAGCATCATTCCACATTGGGCACCACGAACAATTCCCGCTGATGGCAGCACCCTCGCGGCATCATTCCAGATTCGGCACTGCCAGCATTGACATCCTGTACGGATCTGAATCCCAGACTGCTACTAGAGAGATTGGCACCCGTCTAACACGATGCCACTGCATCCAAGTATTAACAAAATATTGAGACTTGTGGCGTCTTGGGTAGCCGTGGGCTGAAGCGGTATCCAAAATGCCAACCGCGACGAAATACGAAAATACGAATTCTCCTATCATTGGCCTGACCCACTTGGGTATCAGGAGAGAAAAAAATTGAAGTCAGAAGGCTTTGAATCCCGTGTTGCCCCGTATTCCGCTTAGCAGCAAAGTCGTGGGCCGGAGATATGATCAACCATGTCGATGCAAAGAGATTTCATATCAGGAATCTTGACTGCGCAAAAGGTTTGGCAATTACGAAACATGGCTTGAAAGGCAGCATCGAGTGCGTATACAAAAATAATCAATATTTATAAGCGCAAGAATAATCCAATGTTGTTTGTGTCTACTATTGATGTGCATTCTGCAGCTTGCGTAGCTAAAGAGGCTAACGATCTAGACCTGCACAGTTACTCCGTCCCTCCGATCAGGAGCATCGGCGCAACTCGCTCATATTTGACAGATGCCAGTCACAATAAAAAAAAGATTTTACACCACACTTTGTAATCAGAGCACTCTCCTTTTTCACCTATTCGATTTATATCAATTCACACAGCCCCATTGTTAGCACATACTAGTTTCCATTTCAGTCTTGGGCGTGCTTCTGTTCCGCCGCTACTCCGTTTGCTGTCGTGTCGAGCTTGATTGCCTGGACGACGCAGTTTAGGATATAAATTGAACGTTATCAGGATTCAACATCATTTAGGCAGAATCCTCCAGCAACAAGAAGCCCAAATTATTTGCAGACTCCTTTGGGCGCTCTCTCGTCTTCTTTCCAAGCCCCCTTCTCTCGAAGCAGTCCATCGCGAGTACAAACAGCTATATAGACAACAATACCGTCCTCCCCCTTTCTCGCTGTCCACGCACAGCCTTCTCCAGCAGTGCGAAAAACACTCTCAGCGATCACTATACTTCGACTTCGACTTTATCCATCATGACGACTCCGGGTCAGGGAATACCTGGGACGCCGGGCGGCTACGTTGTGTTCGGTCCACTGGCCAACTGTACCCTCGATGTCTGTCCTGTCGAATGGAGTGTCTACAAGTATCGACCTTCCATTGCTGCCAACTCCGTCTTCATAGCCCTCTTTGCCATATCCATCGTCATTCATGCGTTTCTTGGCTTTCGTTGGCGCCAGTGGAATTTCATGACCCTCATGATGTTCGGGTGCCTAGTTGAGATTGGAGGCTACGCCGGCCGTCTCGTCCTCTACAATAATCCCTTCTCCTTCGGCGGTTTCATGGACCAGATCGTCCTCATTACCATTGCTCCAGTGTTTTTCACCGCTGGAATATACATTACGCTATCCAAGACGTGAGCCTACTGTTGACTGAACTATCGTTGATCGCCAGCTAA